CGTATGGTGCAGTCGCCCGCTGGGCCCCAGTCAGACCTTCCTCTAGCGGCTACCATTGTTCGTGTCAAGGTTCAGTGCACGACAAAACCACACAATTTATTCATGAGGCGGTGACACAAAACAGATTGCGGCACAAACACAAGCCAGCAACACACTACTCCGAAACAAGTAAGCAAAAACCACACGAAACAAGCAGAACATACGCAGCTCCCGCTGATGCTAACCAGAAAATAGGGAAACAAGCACCTCCGAACGAACGCCACATGGTTCTGTCCATGCAAATTCCCCGCAAAAATTTCTCGCACTACCCGTCCTCCTCGTCGTCGCCATCCTGCTCGCCCTCACGCGCCGGAAACGGCGCAACAGGAGGGGCCCGTGGAGAGATGTCCTCCAGCCCGTCTTCAGAAATGACTACGGTGCTCCCCTGACGAAACGCCCACGCACGTACGTTGCTGTCCCACCACGGCCCGTCTGTGGCATTGCCGGTTAAAATGCTCTGACGAGCCCACGCCACCACGCACTCGTGGTACCAGCGTACCCCCTCGTCATTTTGGGGCGCCGAACGCGGCATCTGAGTGCCGTTGATGAGCGGAAACTCCACCTGCATGGGTAGACCCAAGAATGTGAGCGCAATGTTACATATCCGCCCTACAACCATCGCCTAGTCCGTGCGCGCCTTCAGCTACTAGCACGATACACACACTCACCCCGTATAGCCAGAAGGCTACTACATAGGTGCGCAGGACAAGCGGCGCAGGTGAAGCGCGACGGAAAGATTTGTAGATCCCCCTCTCGAACGACGCTGACGCGAAGGGGAGGCCATCGCGTCGATGCCAGGGCATTAGCTGATGTGTGCCCAGTTCTGCATAGGCGCCCGTGAATACCCCCCACGTACACACACAATCGGATTAACAGGGGTTACCGCACAACCTAGGTCACGCAGCGCGCGAATTTGACGGGGTATGCCGAGCTAATCTAGTGTTTTACCTGCGCGATGCCGCCCAATGAACTCCTGTCGGGTAATAGATGCTGCCGCGCCGACCGTAATGTCCGCAGGCAGCGCCACGCGAGAGAACGCTGGCGGGTCATACGGCAGTCCCTCCAGGACGCGATACACCTGCGAGAGAACGCTGGCGTACACATACGCTCGTCCCTGCTCCCACCGCGTGTTGCGATACACCTGCATCTTCCGGATAAACCATCCTGAGTGAGCAGGGTCGTTCGTCCACACCAGATGAAGCATGTGTCGCTGAGCCCATGTGCGCAGACGAAGAGCCCGGGCGAGCACAGCCTCGATGAGCACCGCGGACGGCCAAAACGTCATGCGCTGTACACGTGTGGAGTAGACGAGCAGCGCAATCCCTTCCTTAACAGCGTCCTGACGGTGAGCAGCATGGAATTTGTGAGTCATAAGCACAAATAACCGAACATTGAAAGGTCCTCAGCATGGCCAAAATGACCGAATCGTTAACACCAGCCCCCCATATAATACCTTCAGCCCGTTTAACAGGCCTGGGATGAACTTGTTGGCGGTTTCCAGCGTCTCTGCCCATATAACCAGCTGGTCAGTGGGCGGGCCATCCCTGCCACGAACAATCACAGTCTCCCTGGCGAGTGCGGCTGCCACGAAGGGAGTGTGTTCCGCCTCGCGCTGTGGCGCGCGTCCTGCGGCATTGTCCTGGCGGACGCGCTGGCGAGTAGTGGTTGTCGTCCTATTGCGCTGCCCGTGATTGTCGGCGTCCCCTTCTCCGACGTCTCCGGTGCCGCTGCGCTGTGCCTCACGGAGACGTGCGTTGAGCTCGACAATCTTGCGCTCGCGTTCCCGCAGGCGCGCAGCAAGGGCCGTGTTCATGCCCGGGCCCGGCCCCGCACCTTGCGCGACGCGAGGGGCGTTGACACTGCGCGTCGCAGCCACCGTGGGTCCACGTCCGCCCGGCGTGGAGACGGCGGGAGTCACAGGTGCCGCGTGGCTAAGCTCCGTGACATTGCGCTGCCTGGACCTCGCCGCTGTCAACACACGAGACGAGTGTGAGTATGGAATGCTAAGGTTGTATACCACGACTTGCGCTATATGAACACACCTTCAGCATCTTCGTCCACGAAGTCGGTTTGCTCCTCTTCAACATGCTCTGTCTCTATGCCTTCGTCGTCTTGATTTGCCGCCCACGTTGCGTAACCCGTCCCAGTCGTGGTGCCCGTCGTTTCCTCGTCGGACTGCTCGCCGGGCGAGGGTGCGGCCCCGGAACGCCCGCGGCCTGAAACTTCTCGCGACGCGGGCCCGTAGTACAACATGTCCTCGTCAGCCGCGCGCCTTCCCGCGTTTGCCCGTCCCGTGCGTCTCGTTGGCTCGTCCGGTGACCGTGCTGACTCCATCCTTGCGATACCTACGACAATGCCAAGGTGTGCCTTCAGGAGAATGACGCATGGCTTGCACATGGGTTGTTTAAATAGTACGGCTAGTAGCTGTCTGGTTCGGGGTTTGCAAACCTTACCCCCCTCTCCCTCTCCATGGTCCTATCCAGACGATGAATACAACAATACGTCTATCCCCCCTGTATAGCGTGTACACACGTCACCACCGACCCCCCGCTCGTCAGCACACGATATCTCATGTCATGCTGGCGCGAAAGCTGTCAAGGACCGTGACGCCTTATCCGGATAGACCGATACGCTGTCAGCATAGGTGCAAGTATCTGACGTCAACGAGATTTTTTCGATAGGATTCTAGCCACCGCTGTCAGCAGCCAATGGTCATCGAGTCAGGCATGGGTCACACATAGCCGTGCATTGGACGGTGCGTAACCTGTAATGACGTACCGTTACGCACGCTAGATATTTTCTCACCTCGCTACCTTATCCATTGCGTCGGAGACTGCCTGCCTGTTGAACGGACGTTCTTAGCAGCGTCTAACGCCAACATTCTAACCAGCCTGTGTTGTACTCTTTACCGTTCAATCCCTGTATTGCAACATCAACACCCGTTTCACATTTCGCAAATGCCAAGCTACTGTTTGGTCTTCATCACTGATAGAAACATCAATACTCTAACAGCGGCGGCCAATGCATCAGTCACACGCTCTAGTACCAAACGATAGTTACGGGTGCACGTAAGGACACTTATCGTCCTTGCAATCCGGGTGCAGGCACCAGAGGGGGTCAAGCTGTAAGTCGTCATAATTCTGTGCGACGAGCCTGAAAACAACGGGCCCGGAGCATATTGCGGGCACTTCCCACGGATAAGTGCAGTAGTGCCACGTGTTAGTGCAGAGCCACGCGTCCGCAGCCTCACGCGGTGGTACTTCCCACCAGGCCATAGTGCCGAGAGCATGAGCCAGCACGCCGGCTCCCATGCCGTTCTCCCCGCCAATGTGCGACTGCTGTTGGAACTTGTCTGGGATTCTGCCCGGAAGCTTGGCGTGCTTGAAATCAACGCGCGCGTCTGGCGCACCAAATCGGTTGTAAAATCCTTTGCAAAGCACGTGTAATATGCCAACATGTGTTGGGTGTCAGCATTGACTCAAGATGTCTAGAATGGACTTAGGAAGCGCAAATCGAGGCCCATTGACGGACAGCGCAAAATATGGCAACGAGCATTAACACAGCTGCTCAATGTCGGCCTACTTACCACCCATCCTTCTGAATGTGCAAAATCCATGAGGTAACGCCGATAGTCACTCCTCGGAGGCTCCGATGCAGCCAGCTCCTCACTCGTCTTCGCATACACGTTGATACCTCGGTACCCCGCAGCCGCGAGCTCGATAAATGCCTGCGCTCTTTCACAAACAGATGCAGGGTCACGCTCATCGTGGAAGACCGCCTCTATCACCCGCAGGTCAATGTACGGAATTTCTGCGCCGTCGTCCATGTCACGAAAGCACCGGAGCGCGTCTTCCGCCCAGCGCCGAAGCTTGTGTGCGTGCGCGCGGCTTGTAGTAACCAGATGCTCAATGCTATCTGCCAGTTTTTTGGGTGTCACCTGCTCCTCTTTGGCCAGCAAGCGCACGTATTCAGCTTGCGTGACCACAGCGGCAATGTCGGGGTAGTCCCGAACAAAAACGTGAATGTTACCAGGCCTTGTTTTCGCGGTCCGTGAGCGAGGCCACTCCGGACCCTGGTAGCGACTGTACGGTTCCGTGCCATCCAGGTCACGTGCGCTGCGCCAGCGACGCTTATGGTTGTTCACAGTTTCTGACACGAATGCCGACGCAGAGGAGGCCATTTCGCAGAAAGGGAGTTGCACTTAGAATGCGCGCAGAGATGTGTGCTACGAAATGTACAATGTGCCCGTTTGTGCACGCGCTGCATGATGTGCCCTGCTAGGACTCCAGTATTGCATGACGCGTTACAACCGTGTCACGCAACATTAAAGGGTGGCACCCTTTAGGAAGCTGTTATCCTATATCAATAATGTATGGTTATTTTGCAGTAGACATTTGCATCGAAACAAATATCTGTTACACGGACGGTGAGCTGGCATCGAGTGGAGAGCTATGTGCAGCACATCACGCGAAACCCTAATCTAGTCACCGCACGCAGAACCAAACGCACGAAGTCGTGTCCTAGCGATTCCATACCATAATATCTAGATATCAGAGTTGGCGGGATGGCCACCCGTGCCAGCAATGTCAGGTACCACGTGCCGAATTATCGTCACTCTGGGAACTTAATTATTAGAGACCTTAGTATCTAGATATTACGGGCCTCGGAACAAGATATCTAGATACTAAGGTACCTTCCTTAGCCGTGGACATCATACTCCACGTGGCGCAAGATCCGACAACTCACCGGAACAGCTTTCCTGGTCGATCGCACGTGAATGACGGTGGCATAGCTGACGTGTGCGGATTTTAGAAGGCGTCGAACCGCGCTCACTAGCAGGCGGGATACAAGGGGACGATGGGTATAGGAGTTCAGTTCTTGATGTGCGACCCTGGCACTATATCTAGAGGCGCATATGAGTCTCATTCGTGTGACCAGAGCATGAGGCACGTAGTGAAGCAATGCCTCCAATATCGTACCTGTTCGCATGTGAGTGGTGTCTCGAGCACTTCACGCAACGTGGCGCGCTTGTGGCGCACAAGCTCCACAGCCATGACTGCAGGCTGGAACGCAGGCGGCGACTTCGTTACCTTGCCCGGCATCCCGACGCTGACATCAATGACGTCTTTGGTGATGCTTTTGCCCACGTCGAGGGCAATGCGACGGTTGAAGCTGAAGATGTGGCACAGCACCCAGAGGTAAGAGCCTATTTCGGACAGACACGCTAATTCGGGCGTATCAATGCACCATGTGAAGAGTATGCTAATTATTACGTACTACTCGCAGGGCTTGGATGCTCAACCCTCGGGCGGGAGTGGCAGCGACGACGACGTGGAGACGGAGGAATGGGCCAGTGACGACAGTGACTATGACGACGGGGCTTCTTCCGAAAGCGATGACGACGCCAGCAGTGTGGACGACGTCGATTTCAAGACCGCTCTGGAGTTCTTCCACTTCGTCGTGGGCTGCAACGGTGGCGAAGGCCTTAGCAACAAGTGTGTCGCCTGGCTTTTCAAGATATTGAGAGACCCGTGTTTGGATTTAGACGCCATTCGCCGCTGGCGTACCAAACGCGCTGTCCTCCAGTACGGCCTCCGGCTCATGATGGCGCGACGTGTTTACCGGACGGAGGAAGTGCGCATTCCGGGGGTCGACCACACCTTCGAGGTCATGTTGGCCAGTATCGTCGAGGTACGTGCACACAGGGTATGTTGCTTTGTCTTATGCCTCCAAGACATGACTAAATCATCACCCATTCATCGCGCAGGGCGTCTTGGAGCTGTTCGGGCACCCTGACAACGCGGAGGGCTTCCAGCTCTTTGCATGACCCGTTCACACGGCGATGGGATGCGTATACACCAGGCCCGAGACTGGCATTCTGGGGGAAGTCGCTCAGGTGTGGATGCCCTCCCTAACACATATGCTTCGTATCTGCTTTTGTAGGCCTTCACACGACGCCCTAATCCTGTACTAAGCGCATTGACAATGCGCTTTTCTATGCCGGGCAACATTGTGCGCATGATCTGCCGGCTCATTCGAGGGCTTACTTGTGCAAGCATGCCATTTCACGCTCTTCTACCACGACGCCCTCCGGACCCTTTGCAGGCTGCACTGGACGCGCTTCATGGCGAGGGCCAGGTCGTGGCCCCCATCATCCTTTCAAGCGACGCCACCATTCTCAGCGGGAATGAGCGCGTGAAGGTGTGGGCGGTGTATCTGAGTCTCGCGAACATCCACCTCCGCCTCCGCTGGGGCGACTCTGGCAAGATTCTGCTCGCCTTACTCCCGATGCCCACCCAAGGAATGACGGCTGAGCAGAAGGTGCAGCTTTTCCAAGCTGCGATGCAGATAGTCCTGGCAGATCTCATTGTTGCGTCCCACACGTGGGTATGCTTCTGCATGCATATTTCCGGTGACATGTAGCACCCTAGTTGCCCACTTAGTGTTCCGTTACGGCGGCCCCTGCTCTCACATACGCTTGTAGCTCACACCTACCTATTCCCGCATATGCATACGCCTTTACCTGTGGGTGCCTGTGCCATACACCATCATGTGCATGTGTTTATGTGATGCCCTGCGCGCAGTGGGATTGCGGCGCGCGATCCATGGGGGGTCGACCGGGTCATCTGGCCCATCCTCTTCTCCTACGTGGCGGATTTCCCAGAGACCTGTAAGGTCTCCTGCACCCAGCAGCATGGCAGTGCGATGCCGTGCTCTCTGTGCTATGTGGATCGCGGGCATCTCCGGTGCATGACGGCGGCTGCATCGGAGCCTCGCACCGTGGATCAGCAGTCTTCCCTGCTGCATAACCCACGGCTCGCAAGAACGTACTCCACTCTCTGCATCCCGGTAGGTGCATCTCGCAGGTTTCCGGGCACATGCAGTGTTTGGTGCGGTCCAAACCCACCATCCGGGTGCAATCCGTGGCAGCATTCGCCGTGGCGCACTGCAGCACCTGTTCACCCGACGTGTCGTCGTCGTCACGTGAAGAGCTCATCGGCACTAACCCTCCGCCCTTCCCGCCCCCACCCTGCAGTCGTTCCTGTGGGAGTGGAACTTCGCCCGAACTGTATGGGGCAACACGTATCTGTCCCAGATGCCGGACATACTGCATATCATCTACCTGGGCTTCTGGCTCTACCTGCGCGCAGCACTGCACGGGCCCGATTCGCGCGCCGCCACCCTTGACGAGTACGTAATAACCCCAGGGGGTTGCTATATCTTGGTTTCCCCTAGTCGTCCCGTGCCTGTCTTGCATTCTTTAACCCAAGCCCCATGCATGCCGTGTGCTTTGTTTAATCCCGTCCCTGTTGCTAAGCTAGGTTTTTTGTGTACCACATCGTTTCAGGCGACAGAATGCTCTGCACCCAGAGGCCAGGCAGGCGGGCCTGATCACTCCGACCAATTCTGCCTACTGGGTCTCTGGCGCGAACTTCACGGCGTCAGAGCATGCCGGTGCCATGATGGTGAGTTCCTGAACATTTTGCCACTTGGCCCGCGGTGGTACTCAATTCGTCATCGTGACATATGATCCATGCGCGAACCCTTGTGTGGCAGATGGTGCCGTTTGTCCTGGAGGGGCTGGTTTCAGTCATCAGCAGCCGCACCATCGTCGCGTTTCTGGACTGGCACGAGACTTACGTGAGGGCCGCGCAGCACACTGACGAGAGCCTGAGCATGTTCGGCACGGCCACGCGTAGGTGAGCGGCTATGCTGGTATGTTCGGAGGCCGGGCTGTGCAAACGATGGCGCTTCCGTTCTGTCTCTGGGGCACCCTCTTCGCTGCTGCCCCCTAAACCTCGACACCATCTGTTTTGCTCCTTGCAGGATGGTGCAGCTTGTGGAGAGCACTTTCCCACGCGACCACTCTGGGTGGAACTTGGTGAAGGTCCACCTGCTGCTCCACCTCACAGAGGCGTTTCGAAGGGGGGGGCTGCCACGTGAATACTCTGCGGCAGTTTACGAGAACGCCCATATCCGCACCTGCAAGAGGCCGTATCGGGCGTCGAACCACCGGGACCTGAGGCGTGCGATCGCACAGCACAACACCAACACGGCGCTCCTGACCCATCTCCCTACCAACCTCGAGGGAGATCGGCAGTACAACACAGCGTTGCGACGGGTTAGTACCGGTTTCCCACAATGCATGTTTTTACGAGGGGTTGGACCGCTTAAGGCATGGGTTGCTTGAGGTCGCGTGTGGTCTGCCATTATTTCCCAAGCCTCATCCAACATGCCTTCCCGTAAATCGCGTGGTGTGTGACAGGCCATCGCTGCTGGTCTGCCCCAGCTGTGCCGCCAGCGCTACCGGCTGCTGAGCGATAGCAGTGCGCAGGAGCAGGCGCCGCTGGGCCTGTACGCGACATACGATGCCGCCATCCCTGGAGGGATCGGGCCCTACGAGATGCTGTGCCGCCTGTACGGCTACATCCCGTTCCCAGCATGGGTAAGGCGGGTGGCTTGCTAGAGCTTGCAGTTCATTGTCAACTCCTGCACCCTTATTTCTGCACACGTGGTACACCTTCTTGCGGGGGAACCTAAAGCTTACCTTCCCCAACCCATAGCTGTCCACCATGGAGTCATGCAGGTGGCTACTCATGCGTTCTACACACGTGCCGTGGTCCGCACAAGCCATATAGCAACACGCATTTCCAAACATTGATATGGCCACGCCAGTGGGAACATGCTCCACTCCCGCCCCCCCATAGACGTATTTGCGGGGCTTGATATTTGTAGCCTTGGAGGTGCCTGACTCGTACTCCACCTGACGGGTGGGATTATGCTGTCTACGTGTGCGTGGTTGTTGCTACAGGTCCACACCGCACTCGCCCTCCCCGGGCGCGAGATGGACTACACCCTGATCAGGCCGCATTACGCCCGTGCAGCTCCCTCTCTCCATGGGGCACCTGCGTTCTCGTTCATCGAGTATGAGGACGGGAGCGGGGAGTTGGTGCATGGCCGCGTGCACCTCCTGCTGACGCTGACGATGAGCAGCTGCGACGCCGACCCTGCGGGAGAGGAGCTGGCCTTCGTGAGGCGGTGGTTCCCCTCACATGAGGACGAGTGCACGGGGTGCATGAGGATGCGCCCGTCCGACGACGAACTTGGCTATGACTTCGTGCCGGTCGTAGCCGTGCAGAGGACCGTGCACATGGTGGAGTCCTTCGTGACTCCTGGGCTGTGGTTCTTGAACAAGTGGACTGGTCGATGCCGCGAAGAGATGCGTTGAGGCCTCGTTGAGGCTCGGTGGGGTTGCCACGACTCCTTTGGTGCGCACGGAGAAGCATCTTGAACGGCACCTGGCACCTCATGCTCGTGTATCATATGGACTTTGAAGTCGTCGCAGTAGTTTGAAGCATGTGTATTGTATCTGAAACCCCCACACCTCTTTTCCCCCGGCTCCCGACCCCCGGCCCCCCCCCTCCCCCCCCCCCTTGATCATGATGGTGGGTAGCCTCTCTTTTTGATTTCTGGTGTGATACTTGCTGGCTCAGGCCTTTTATTAAAAGTTCCAACATGCCATTATTGACTTGGTGGTGTTGTGGGCTTTGCAAATACACTCTAGTTATTCTATACACAGCAGCAGGATTTTTTATAGGCGTAGCCCTTACAGACCACCGCCCGTTGTGCGGACCGGTATGAGGAGACAATGGGGAAGGGGCTGCATTGGTTACGAACACTTTGACAGTCCTTCAGAAGTGGTTGTCCCGAAATGAGTCCTGGAAGATTCGCGGAGCAGTCCCTGGCTTTTCACATTCGCGCATGCTTGGGGACAACGGCCGTTGTTGAAGGCGTTTTGGCGTTCTGTTTTTTGTGACGTCCTTTTTCCCGATTCGGAATATCGCCTCCAAATTCGCCGAGTCCGCCGCCTCCCGTCCACTCCCAGCTGACCCTTCGCCTGTGGGCGCTTCACCTAACGTTTCAATGAATTCATTCTCATCAGATCCGTTACCTGTGAGCGATTTACCTCACGATTCAGTGAATTTAGTCCCAGCTGTTCCGTCACCTGTGAGCGATTCTCCTCGCGTTCCAGTTCCAGCACACACTTCGCCTGTGAGCGGCACAACCATGGCTGCGATAGCACTCTCATCAGGCCTCACTATTTCAAACTCACCAGTTCAGGACGCGCGTGACTTATCATCGGCAATGATCCAGGCGCCTAATATATCATCATCACCATTGATTCAGGAGACTAACATATCATCGTCACCGTTGAGTCAGGCGCCTAACATATCCTCCTCAGCAGAATCAAGCGTCGTCATCTCATCCACACTAATTTCGCCATTCTCCCATTATCCTAGCACAATTGCTCCCCCTCCCACCAGTCCTCCACCCACCAATCCTCCACCCACCAGTCCTCCACCCACCAATCCTCCATCCACCAGTCCTCCACCCACCAATCCTCCAGCTAACCTTCCTGGTACCGATCCTCTCATCAATTCTCGTAGTACTGATCCTCTAATAAACTTTTCCGCCAATCCTCCTCCTACCGATCCTCATACCAATTCTCCTAACATATCATCGTCACTGGTGATTGAGGCATCAAAACAATCATCCTCAGCAGAATCAGGTGACACCCCATCCACAGAGATACCGCCATCGTCCTATGTACCTAGTGCCAAATCTCCTCCTCCCACAGGTCTTCCAACTAACCCTCCTGGTACCGAACCTGTTACCAATTCTCCTAAGATTGATCCTCTCACCAACCCTCCCACCAATCCCTCCAACACTCCTCGTATCAACCCTCCTAACATATCATCGTCACTGTTGATTGAGGCGCCAAAACTATCGTCCTCAGCAGAATCAGGTGTCGCCCCATCCGTATCTCCCCCTCCCACCAACCCTCCAACTGATCCTCCTACCGAGCCTCCTACCAAACCTTCTTCCGGACCTCCCACCAAGCCTCTCACCAAACCTCCTACCGAAACTCCCACCAACCATCCTTCGGATTCTCCCACCAAACCTCCAACCAATCATCCTGCTGACCCTCCTATCGATATTAGTTCCGACACTCCTACCGACCCTCCCACCAAACCTCCTACTGAACCTACTACCAGAGCGCCTACCGAGTCTCCCGCCAAACCTCCTACCGAACCTCCTAATCAAGCTCCTGCCGAACCTCCCTCCAAACTTCCTACCAAACCTCGTACCGAAGCTCCCACCAACCCCCATCTCTCGAAGCCTGACCCAATAGTCTGGACCCGAATTCTAGGCTCCGTGCTCGATACCCCAGATAAGATCAGATTCTTCAGGGAGAGATTTGATTGCATAGGGCGGGAGGGCAAGTGGGCGTACGATGACTCGCCGCGGCTGCTGCTGTGGCCGCACAGGATGAGCGCACGTGACTTGCGCCATTTGAAAAACAACTCTCGCAACGTGGCGTTTCAAGACGCAGATCATTTGGCGGGGCGCTTTACAAAGGTTGTGACTCAAATAGAGGAGATTACTGGGGGAGGAAAGGAGATTTCTCTGCAGCAGAGCAACAAGTTGAAGAAACTGGAGAAATGGAATGATACTCTGAGGCGTCAGTGGGCTGTAAGAGAGACTCTTAAGTATCGCTGGGTGGTTCCAGGAAGCGACGCAGAGCAGCAGGATGAGGGAACAGCAGAAGCTCGCAACAGCAGCAGATGTGGTGATCCTTGGGAGCAATTCTCCCCAGAAAATTTCTGCAAAATTCTGGATAAGCAGCACATGCTTGTAGTGGGTGACTCAATAAACATACTTTTAGCCGACGCCATCCGGTACAACGTTAGGCTAGGCGCCAAGGTCCAATGGGAAGAAACGACAGGCTACTGTAAGCGGTACCGAAACGCAACAGAGGAAACAAGGCATCCAACTCACAGCTGCTGGACTGTCCGTGCCTGTGCAGACCTCGGCTTTTCCGTCCAGATTTCGTACGTCCGGGATTATTACCTCAACTCTTTAGAGGAAGTGAACGAGTTTTTGGCAGACAGGAGCTTCAGTGAGTCTTGGATGCATGAGATTGCACTGATGAATGTCTCGATAGCGGTTGTGAATCGAGGGGCTCACTACAGACCCGACGACAGGTTTGAGCGGGAGGTTTACTCTACTCTGCTCGCGCTCCAGAATGCCCATTATCGTCCGAAACACCCCGCCCGGACACCCCAACTGCTTATCGTACGAGAAGCCGCTTTCTGAGAAGCTTCTGGACCTTCCTAAAGGAAAATTCTGGAACTGGGACAAGTTTGCGGGGCAGAATGAGATTTTAAAGCGGTTGGCGGAGGGCGTGGGAGGGGTGTACATGGATGTGAATGCGTCGACGGTGTGGCGGCCTGATGGGCATGTGGATCGAAAGGACTGCCTGCACTACTGCCACCCGGGCCCTGTGGATACCTGGGTGCAGCTGCTCTTCAACCTGCTTCAAGGGCTGCTTGTGCCTAGCGGATGAGATGCTGAGAGAATATGACACAGCTGTTGTTCAATAAGCGCCACTGCTGTCGCTTGGAACACTGAACAGGTGGTTCCTTCCTACCACAAGGAACATCAGCACAATTATCAACAATGGCAGTGGAAATAATTCAGCACACCCAAGAAAGTGTTTCTGGTTACAAGACCGTACTATTTCTGAACTTCATTATTGGCAACCAAAACCGCAGAACTTATTTTACAGGGGTTTATGGATTCCGTGATGGAAAAAAAGAAGTGAAAAAAATATATCAGTGATAGCATAAAAGTTCGTATAGATCGGTTTTCATGTCAACATGAGTATACCCCGACCATTCATTTGTACTCATTTTAGACATGTGGAATGTTGTAGTCTTCCATGTGTCTGTGCTGAGCAAAAGTATTCACGAACCAGTCCCAACCTCTGTGCTGAACAAAGTAATTCGCGAGCCAGTCCCAACCTCTGTGCTGAACAAAGGTGTTCGCGAACCAGTACCAAGCCTCTGTGCTGAACAATGAGGTTCGCGAGCCAGTCCCAACGCTCTTCACCGAACATAGTGGTCCCAGGTGCTGCATCAGGAGGGAAAAACTTTTTCGTTTTTCGTTTCAGGTCGTATCCCAGGCTGGTGTCAAGAAGTTTAGGTCATGACACCAACTTAATATAGGCATGCGATTGGTCCAAAAACTACTTCCGACTAATCGCATTGGCCTAACGGTTTTTTTTAACCAATCGCGTGGCTACAATGAGTTAGTGTCATGATCTCAACTTTTTGACCGGAGGCTGGGATACGACCTCATGGTCGCAACTACTTGCCGAGCAACCCTACACAGCCCTTTCAAGCATGGTAGCAACTGGGGGCTGTATTTTTACGGATTTCACGTCGTTTTGTAGGTTTCAGAAACATTTTGCCTCGTTACAGTACGGTGATCGTTCATTTCCCACCCTCAATCCCCACCGCGCCTAACATTGAACTTGTCGAGTCATTTCCACTGCCATTGAAACATGACGAGACAGTTCCCGCGAGGGACAAATTCTCGCCGATTTTCCAGCCTTGAGAATACGGAGGGGGAGAGAGGGAGGGAGCTTTGTGCTTGCGAGCGGCTGGTGCCGATCGTACATCAACGCATGCCGTACAGCATTTTGATCCGTACTGTACAACAAAATTAGGTACGGACGGTCGGCTCTGCCAACGACCCTGCTATCGACCCTGCGAAAGTGTCGTTTTTTAGCGGGGTTCTGAGAGTTTTGAGTGCAATAAGCAAGATTCCAGAGCGGTGAAGGTTCGGTTTTGCACGGCTGGTGTGCTAAACCGGCGGACGGCGCACAGTGGTTATCAAGCTTTACCGCTTTGCACCGTGATGCAACACGAGTAACCGGCGCACAGAACGAAGGACGAACGCGGAGTGGACACGCCCTAAGATGAATCGCGCTCTCATAATGTCCTCCTCGATGTGCCATGGCGGCGTGTCGATCCTTGCAGTTAGTTATCGAAAGCTATATCGCAGACTGCTATTGCACAACAGCGCGTGTCGATCGATTTAGAGACATTGCTACGACGATTTCTCGAATACGCCAGGTACGCCACCCCCATGACTCTAGCAGGATCAGAATGCACGACGACCAGTAGCAAACCTCGAAAATCGCAAGCCGAGACGGTCTTGACGGTTCACTCCCGCGTCGCAATCGCTCTCGCCGCTCTTTCGGTCGCTCTCATTGGACTAAACACATACTGCATTTTCTTTCTCCTGGCTAGGTATACAAGAGTCACTTCTAGCCATTTCCCCGGTTTTACTGCCTCCGTTGTTGATTCGTGGCGATCTGACGTGGCAAACGTATCCGCGGCGACGTCAGATTCATCGGGAATATCTAGGCACGACGAGCTTGCACAACTCCAGACGACACGTGAGTCGAATCAGCTGCGATTCGACCCTTCTAACGGCAATCAGCCGTCTGCCGGCGATCAGCCGTCTGCCGGCGATCAACCATCTAGCGGCGATCAACTGTCTGCCGTCAATCGGCCGTCTGTCAGCAATCAACTCTCGGGTGGCTATCAGCTCGTTACAGTAGCAGATTCTCCTCGCGCAGCAGTCCCAGCAAACCCTTCGCCTGTGAGCGGCGCGACAGCATTCCCGTCATCAAATCTCACTTCCTCGGGCTCGAATCAACTCGCCGTTGGCGGTCAGTTTGTTGAAGCAGCCGATTCTCCTCGCTCACCACTCCCAGACTTTTTGCCTGTGAACGGCGCAACAGAATCCCCATCAGATCTCCCTTCCTCAGGCTCGAATCAACTCGCCGTTGGCGGTCAGTTCGTTCAAACAGCCGAAGCTGCCGATTCTCCTCGCGTCGCAGTCCCAGCGAACCCTTTTCCTGTGAACAGCACAGCAGTATTCCCGTCAAATCTTACTTCCTCAGGCTCGGAAGTTCCTGAGGCGCCTAAACAATCCTCATCAGCAGAATCAGGCCGCGTCACCCTATCCTCACAGATTTCACCTTCCTCTAATTCTAGTGTCAGATTTCCCTCTCCCACCAAACCCCCATTTAATCCTCCTACCGACCTTCCTACCCCTCCTTCCAAACATCCCACCAACCCTCCAGTCAACCCTCCTACTCATCCTCATATCGAACTTCCTTACGACACTTCTACCAAGCCTCCCACCAAACCTCTTACTGGACTTCCTGCCGAGCCTCCTACCGAACCTCCTGCCGAACCTCCTACCGAACCTCCCACCAAGCCTCCTACAGAATTTTCCTCCGAACCTCCTACCGAACCTCCCACCAAACCTCCAACTGAGCTTCCCTCCAAACCTCCTACAGAACCTCCTACCGAACTTCCTGCTGAACCTCCTACTGGACCTCCCACCAAGCCTCCTACCGAATTTCCCTCGCAACCTCCTACCGAACCTCCTACCAAGCCTCCTACCAAACCTCCTACCGAACCTCCTATCGAAATTCCTGCCGAACCTTCTATTGAACCTCCTACCAAACCTCCAACCAAGCCTCCTACCGAACTTCCCTCCAAACCTCCTACCGATCCTACTCTCCCTGAACCTTCACCAACCCTCTGGACCAGAATCCCAGGCTCCGTGCTCGACTCCCCGGATAAGATCAGATCCTTCCGAGAAAGATTTGATTGCATAGGCCGCGAGGGCCAGTGGTCCCGCTACGTGTCGCCGCGGTTGCTGCCATGGCCGGACGAGATGAGCAAATGCGACGAGTACCACCTAGGAAAGGGCTCACGCAACCTGGCGTTTCAAGAAGCTGATCGTATAGTGGGACAGTTTCAGGAGGTTGAGACTCAGATAAAGGAGATTACTAAGGGGGGGAGAGGAGCGCCGCTGCATTTGACGAGACGGAGGAACGATCTAATTCGACAGTGGACTGTGAGGGAATCTCTTAAGTACTTTTGGCTGGTTCCAGAAAAAAACAACACGGACGGTCAGGATGGAGCCACTTCGGAAGGCATCAACAGCAGCAGATGTGGCGGGCCTTGGGAATGGTTCGACCCGGCAACGTTCTGCAAAATCCTGGACAAGCGAAGCATGCTTATAGTGGGCGACTCAATAAACAATCTTCTAGCCGACGCCATCTTGTACAATGTGAGGCTAGGTGCAAAGGACCAGGCTTCCCGGGTGCAATGGGGCGAGCCGACAGGCTACTGTCGGCGATACCGAAACGCAACTAAAGAGCCGGCAGACAAACGCTGCTGGACCCTCCATCTCTGCGCCGACTTGGGCTTTTCCGTCCGGATTTTTTTTGTTCGGGATTATTACCTCAATTCCACAGAAGCAGTGAATGATTTTATGCTAGATAAGAGCTTCGGGGAGTCGTGGATGGATGAGATTGCAGCAGAGAATATCTCCATAGTGGTTATGAACCGAGGGGCTCACTTCATTGCAGATGAGAAGTTTGAGCGGCAAATGAACTCTACTCTGCTGGCGCTCAGGCAGATGTACCCTGATCTGCTTATTATCGTCCGAAACACGCCTGCTGGTCATCCAGGATGTTGGTTGCACAGAAAGCCGCTTTTTCAGAAGCTTCTTGCACTGCCACATGATGACTGGCACTGGGACGGGTTTGCGGCGCAGAATGAGATTTTAAAGAGGTTGACGGAGGGCGTGGGAGGGGTGTACATGGATGTGAATGCGTCGGCGGTGTGGCGGCCTGATGGGCATGTGGGGCGGTGGGACTGCCTGCACTACTGCCACCCGGGCCCGGTGGATACCTGGGTGCAGCTGCTCTTCAATATGCTGGTGGGATTGCTCGTTTCCACCGGCTGAGTTGCTGGCCGCTGCTGAGACTGCCTTCACTACTGGACACGTGGGTGCAGCTGCTCTTCAATATGCTGCAGGGGCTGCTCGTGCCTGGTGGTTGATTGGTACTGCTGAGATGCTGAGAGAGTCAGTATGTGGGTGCAGCTGCTTTTCAACCTGCTGCTGGGAGAATGACACACACCTATGAAGCACTTGAAGAGCATGTGGGGTGGTGGGTGACTGAGTGCCTGTACTTCTGTCACCCAAGGCCATTGTACCGTACAAGCATTTTCAGGCATTTTTTTGGCAGGTTTTTTTGAGATGCTGAGTGAGAGTGTCTTTATGTGGGTGCAGCTGCTCTTCAGCAGGCTGCTGGGAGAATTACACCTATATAGCACTTTGAAGAGCAGAGCATGTGGGTGGGGTGGTGGGTAACTGACTGCCTGCACTTTTGTCACCCAAGGCCATTGTACATGCATTTTCAGACCATTTTTTGGAGACAATTACGGGAAGTTCCACCAACATATGAAAACACCGCAACAGGCTTTCTGCTTGTTACCAAATGTTACAAAAGATCCAACAGCATGTTGTACAGTACTTGCGACCACGTATCCACCGGCCCTGGCTGACAATAACGAGTACAATCCCTCCCCACATGCCCATCAGGTCTAAGGGCAGTCATATAATCCACATCCACATACACCCCTCCAACCATCTCAACCACTCTCTTGGCAATCCCATTCTGCACCTCCCTCCCATCCCCGTTCCCACCATCTGCAAGCGTGGACTTTACCACCTCTTTCACCGGCTTCCAGTGCTCCCAGCATTTGGTGTGCGCAGCGGGGGAGATTATAAAGAGGATGAGCAGGTCAGGGTAGGTCTGCCGCAGTGCCAGCAGTGTGGACCGCATTTGCCGCTCAAACTGCTCATCAGGGATGGAGTGAGTCCCTCGGTTCAACACCACTACCGACACGCCCTGCGCTGCAATCTCCCCCATCCATGACTCTGTTAATCCCTGATTTGCGATCCACTCGTTGCCTGCTCCTGTAGTGGAATAATTCACGCTGAGACTGTCATCCTGTATAAAATGCAACTGACAAGGCCTCGCTGTGATGCGTTTACTCTGTCCCTCCTCACCTTCCTCTGCATTGCTCAGTAAACTCCGCTGCCCGCTCATTCTCACCTGCCCACCTGCCCACTCCTCTGCCCCAAAAACCTTGGAAGCTGATCCAGTGCTAGAACCCCTGTGCTTCGCACCCACCTTCACCTCCAAGCCTATAGCCCCTGCCCCAGATCCCCGTCCCCTGCTCCCTCCGCTTCTGTCGCCCACCTGCCTCTCACCCCTCCCCTCATTTTCATCCTCATCTCCGTCACCCCTGCCTCTGCTGCTGCTCCTCCCTGTCTCACGAAGCCTCTCCTTCCCCATATTCTCCACCTTCTCTCCGTCCCTTCTCCCTGCCTCCTCCTCCCTTCCCTTGCTCCTACCCCTGGCCTTTTTGACCCTGCCTGTATGATCATCCTGCTGCTGCAGCAGCAGCTGCTGCTGTTTCCCCCGCCGTGCTGGCTGTTGCTGCTTCCCTTCCTGTACCTGCTCCCGTCCCTTCACGCCCTCCTCCTCCTCCTCCTCCTCCTCCTCCTCCTCCTCCTCCTCCTCCTCCTCCTCCTCCCTCTTTCCTCCACCCCCTTTCCGCCCCTTCTGGCTCAAAGCCGAAATCGAATCTGGACTGTCCATTTGCTCCCCATCGTTATTTGCACCAGGAACGGGTTTGTCCGAACCGTTATGGTCCTCCGCGTTATAAGAACTGTCAAGATCTGAGCACAGGTTGACAGTCCAGCAGCGTGACTGTAACGGTTTCTTGGACGCCTTTCTAAGCCGCTGGCAGTAAGGCGTCGGTTTCTCTCTTATAACGCGAGATGCTGGATATTTCGCTCCCACCCTTGCATTCCGCCAAATCGAATCTGCCAAATCCAAATTACTGGAATCCCCCACCACAAGCACATTTCTCCCGCCAATAATCTGACAAAACCGCTCAGGGTCAAATCTGCTCCAGGTGCCAGCACACGTGGCATGATTTTGGCCGTCCATTCGTCCTCCTCCGTTCCTTTCGTCTTCCTCATCCTCTTCCTGTCCCGGTATTAGCCACTCGAACTTAAGTGTGTCTCTTACGCGCCAGCGCTTACGCAACATCTCTTGGTCCCGCTTCATAGACTCTACTTTCGGTCGCCATTTCGCCATAACCGGAACCCGATTTATCCTCCCCTGTATAGACTCCACCTGCCTCGCCACCTTGTCGGAGCGCTCCATAGCGAGGTTTTTTTCGCCCAGTTTCGCGAACGCTGCGTCGCATTCGCTGATTTCGTCAGGCCACGGTAACAACCGAGGAGTGGAGTTATAGGCCCAGCGACCCGCCTTGCTTATGCACGCGAATCGCCGCCTAAATCGCCGGATCTTATCCAGAGAATCTAGCGTAGATCCTGGAATCTGGTTCAATCCGCTCAGGCGATCCGCATTGTCCGATTCGGCAGTCTCAGAGTCCCCGCGGTTTCTACTAGTGCTGTCCTGTTGTCGCGACACGGTTTCCGATCCTTCTATTTTTGAGACTCCGAATGTAGTACCGTCTGATTTCGTTTCGCCCTTGGGCGACGACCATTCTCGAAGAAGCGCGGATCCTTGGTTGGAATAGATCGAAACGAGCGACGCGCAGCAGAGAATGAAGACGGTGACGATGAACAAACAGGCGGTCAGGATCTCGCCTCGCCTCGCCGCCTCGCGGTAACGGTCCCCCCGCGCGGCGAGCTGGCGCGTCGACGCATGATTAACGAAGGATTCTGTTCATTAGAAAGAGACAACGACGACGAAACTGACTGGATTCAAGCTGCTGAAAGCTATACGACAGCGGAATATTAGCAGAGACAGACGGAACTGAACCTACTACTAATCTTGTCCACGTTCTGAACCTACTACTAATCTTGAATCACACATACCAGAAAGAATGTCGAAGATAAAACCTTCCCCCTTGGTTTCGTCTTCACCAACTTCAAGGCCCCGTTATAAGCAGACTGTTTCCAATACGTGTAGTGGCGCAGAGGTGTGGAAAAGGCGGCAAGGTTTGACTTGATGTGGGTGAGGAGGGACCGTCGATGAGTGAAGAGGAACCGTCGATTTGATCTGTAACGACGATTTGATTGGGTAGACTCTCTCAACTGTCAGACCAACCAGAACAAGTTACCATTTACGCGAAAAACGCGAAGCGGAATCCAGACTTGTCGCAAGTACCGCACACATCCCAGGGCTCGTCCGCGTCGGCAGACTGTCCCAGAGCCCGTCCGCGTTTACATCCCAGATTTGAAATATTTGACGAAAATGATCCACACCAGCAATGTACATACGTTTTACACACCGAATGTAGTATCTATTATACAAAGCTGAAGAAAATCAATAATGATACTTCAATGTCCGATAGACTCAATTAGCGTGACAGTGTAATGTCACAACGAGAAGACATGATCTTACGCTATGCAAATTTGATGGATTCGCCCTCATAGCAGAATGGAGGAATACTAACACGAATACTGGTATTTTGGAATAAAAGCCTATCACACGTCTCTTCCTAAACGCCTCTGGAATGGAGATAGGAAGCGCAAATCCCATTGAAAACGACTTCAGTGAACTTTACAATGTTCCACCAACAGCCATAGCTGCATACGGTACTGAAATAACAGCTGTACTTGAGTATTGGACTGGCCATGTGTGCCAACCGTACAGGCACTCAGTTTCCAACCAGCCCACATGCCCTTTGAGCAGTCTCAGTAGTGTAAACACTCTCAGCAAGTCAGCGGGTGGGCCCAAGCAGTCCCAGCAGCAGGTTAAACAGCAGCTGCACCCACGTGTCCACAGGGCCCGAGTGGCAATAATGGAGCTGCTCAGCATCTCAGCTACCGCTAGGAACGAGCAGCCCCTGCAACATGTTAAACAGCAGCTGCACCCAGGTATCCACGGGACCTGGGTGGCAGTAGTGCAAACAGTCCTTGTGCCCATCCACATGCCCATCGGGCCGCCACACCGCCGACGCATTCACATCCATGTACACCCCTCCCACGCCCTCCGTCAGCCGCCTCAGAATCTCGTTATGTGGCCCAAACTTCTCCCAGTGATACCCATCGACATGCGGAATGCGCAGACGCTTCTAGGAAAGCGGCTTGTCGTGCTGCCAGCAGTCAGGGTGCCCCGCAGGGGTGTTTCGGACGATAATGAGCAGCTCTGGGTGGGTATTTCGGAGTGCCACCAGGGTAGAGCGCACTTGCCGCTTGAACTTGTGGTCTTTTCTGTAGTGAGCCCCTCGGTTCATGACAATGATCGACACATTCAATGGTGCAATCTCATCCATCCACGACTCACTGAAGCTCTTATCCACCAGAAATTCATTCACGTCTTCTGTGGAGTTGAGATAGTAATCCCGAACGAAGAATATCCGGACGGAAAAGCAGAGGTCTGTACAGGCGTGAACACTCCAGCAGCACTCTTCAGGTCTCTTTGATTTCTCTATTGCGATTCGGTATCGCTGGCAGAAGCCCGTCGGCTCTTCCCATTGGACCCGGGAAGCCTGATCCTTGGCACCTAGCCTTATGTTGTTCCGGACGGCCTCGGCGACAAGCATGTTAATTGAGTCACCCACTACAAGCACGCTTCTCTTATCCAGAATCTTGCAGAAATTCTCAGGGGAGAATCGATCCCAAGGCCCACCGCATCTGCTGCTGCTGTTGCGAGCTTCTGCTGCTCTCCCATCCTGCAGCTCTGCATCGCTTTCTGGAACCACCCAGCGATACTTAAGAGCCTCTCTTACAGCCCACTGACGTCTCAGAATATCATCCCATTTCTCCAGCTTTTTCAATTTGTCGATCTGCTGCTGAGGAATCTCCTTTCCTCTCCGAGTAATCTCCTCTATCTGAGTCGCAACCTTCTTAAACCGTCCCACCAAGTGATCTGCTGATTGAAGCGCCACGTTGCTAGAGCTCGTATTTAGATGCCGCAAGTCGCATTTGCTCGCCTCGTCCGGCCATGGCAGCAGCCGCGGCGAATCGTCGTAGACCCACTTACCCTCCCGCCCTATGCAATCAAATTTCTCCCGGAAGGATCGGATCTTCTCGGGGGAATCGAGTACGGAGCCTGGAATTCGGGTCCAGAGGATTGGGTCAGGCTTGGTGAGAGGAGGGTTGGTGGGAGTTTCGGTAGGAGGTTTGGTAGGAGGAGGGTTGGTGGAAGGTTGGGTAGGAGGTTGGGTAGGAGGTTCGGTAGGGGGTTGGGTAGGAGGTTGGGCAGGAGGTATGGTAGGAGGCTGGGTAGGAGGTTTTGAGGGAGGGTCCACAGGGGCGTTGGAACTAGGATTGACAGGATGATCAGTAGAATGATCGTTTGAAGGGTTGGTGGGAGTTTCATTCGGAGATTCGGTAAGAGGTTCGGTAGGAGGATTTGGAGGGTTGGAGGTCTGCTTGATAGGAGTGGCAGTAGGAGATTCGGTTGAAGGCTTGTTGGAGGTTCGGTTGGAGGGTTGGTTGGAGCGTTGGTGGGAAGGGGAGAACCAGCGCTAGGATCATGGGAGGGTGGGGTGATGCCGAGTTCTGCTGGGGCCGATTGCTCTGACGCATCCATCAACGTGACGTTCGGCGCGTCAATTAACGCTGACGTTAACGTTGACGTTGACGATGAGAAATTGAGATCTGATGGGGAAGCTTCTGTGCCGCTCACAGGTGAAGGGTCTGCTGGGACTGGAACGGAGGCGGCGGAATAGTTGGATGCGATATTCCGAACCGGGAGAAAGAAAATGCAGTACGTGTACAGTCCAATGAGAGCGAACGAAAGAGCGAGAGAGACTGCGATGCGGGCGTGTTCCGCCGAGACTTTCTCGGCTTGCCAATTTTTAGGTTTTGTCGTCGAGACTTCATCTGGTCCCAGAGCCGTAGTGACTACCATGCTCCAGTTGGCATGTATGTAATAAGAACTCGTGAACCGTCGAAACACACGGAAAGTATATTCAACGCAGGTATTCTGAAAATCAAAATTGCAACAGATAGCTAACGACGACCGCGATAATTCATAAAATTATCACAAAAAAAAACTATGTCTGACTAAAATATTTCGCAGAAGCTTATTTCTCATCCGCCAGGCAAAAAGAGCAGCGGATATGATAAGCGCGTGCGCTGAATCATCCTAGGCGGGTCGGCATAACTCGAGTAAGTTGAAGGTATTGCGGGAGAAAATACTCGGGAAAGAATTGAAGGCGAGAGGAGAGAAGTCTTGGGCTCGGCGGCAGTTTCTTGGAGAAGAACGGCCTGTGACAGACGGCGGAGGATTGTTGGGAGCAGGGGCGGTTACCAGATGGCTTCGGGTTGGTCATGAGGCGGAAGAACATCTCGACCGATGTGTAACGCACTCAGAACCCTCAAGATCATTTTAAACCGTCTGCCACTCATTTGTTTCGTTCTGGAGTACACGGACCTGTCTTGGTTTCGGGGACATGTGACAAAATCCTCGTCGCGGATTTCCAATCAATCGATGTCTGACTGATGTGATGCTCCTGGACTGGACGGCAGATCATGCTCGCTCGTGTGCAGCTGCCAGGGTAGGGTTCAGTTCGTTTCATAATGGTATTACGAGGTGAGAAACAGAGACCGTCAGTTTTAGGGTTTAGGGGGCTGATTGGAGATGCATGACCCGCCAAACGACATTGGCAACAACACGCACTGACTGCAAGCACTTACTCTAAGTGAGATAGACCAGCTCATGGCTAATAAGATGCTAATCACGACTACACTTACCCTAAGTGAGATAGACCAGCTCATGGCTAATAACATGGTAATCATGACTTCCACGAACTTTTCGAGGTATCAAGGCAAGGCCTGCATAAAAATAGTTCTAGTCTACAAAATATAATCTGAAATGTCCTAATGCGAAGGGACTGTACACATTCGCCACTACAGTCGATGCCTCCTCACTAACGTAGCGAGGCTGTTGCTCATACTTCCAAAATTTTCCAACACTGTACAAATCCTTTCTGAATTCCAATCTAACAGCAGTTTTGGATGTGTTGAAATTTTCCAGTGCCATTGCCTGAAAGGATAGTCACCTTTTGTTTTGTGCCATGAGTCATGGCACCGCTGTACTGTACAATACCGTATTCCAGGCGACAGCAGTAGCAGCTTATTCAACAGCAGCTGCACCCAACCCAAGAACCAGACCAGATCCACTGTGCTGAGATTTGTTGGAACCATCCACAGCCCTGTACATGGGCCTAGGTGGCAGCAGAGCAGACAGTCCCACCTACCCACACACATTACGAGTCACCTTAGAAGTGTCACCCCCTCAGATTATCAGCCAGTGGGAACCAGCAGCCCCTGCAGCATGTTAAACAGGAGCTGCACCCACGTATCCACCGGACCGGGGTGGCAGTAGTGCAGGCAGTCCTTTCGATCCACATGCCCATCAGGCCGCCACACCGCCGACGCATTCACATCCATGTACACCCCTCCCACGCCCTCCGTCAGTTTCTTCACAATCATGTTCTGCTCCGCAAACTTGTTCCAGTGCCAGCATTTGCCGTCCGGAAGGTCTAGAAGCTTCTCAAAAAGCGGCTTCTCGTGCAGAGAGCAGTTGAGATGCCCGGGCGGGGTGTTTCGGACGATCATGAGCATCTCAGGATTGGCGTTCCGGAGGGCCAGCAGAGTAGGCCGCAACTGGCGCTCAAACCTGAGGTTGTGACGGTAATGTGCTCCTCGGTTCAAAACCACTATCGACACATTCATCGGTACAATCTCATCCATCCAAGTCTCCTTGAAGCTCCTATCCATCAGGAAATCGTTCACGTCTTCCGTGGAGTTGAGGTAATAATCCCGGATGAACGAAATTCGGACGGAAAAGCCGAGGTCGACACAGGCATGGACAGTCCAGCAGCACTTGTTGTTAACAAGCTTCACTAACTGTGTTGCATTTCGGTACCGCTGGCAGTAGCCTGTCGGCTCTTCCCATTGGACCCGGGAGTCCTGGTCCCTGGCGCCTACCCTTAGGTTGTACCGGATAGCCTCGGCTAGAAGCATGTTCATAGAGTCACCCACTACAAGCACGTGCTGCTTATCCAGAACTTTGCAAAACTTTTCCGGGGAGAACTGCTCCCAAGGCCCGCCGCACCTGCTGCTGCTGCTGCTGCTGCTGTTGCGAGCTTCTGCTGTTTCCCCATCCTGCTGTTCTGCATCACTTTCTGGAACCACCCAGCGATACTTGAGAGTCTCTCTTACAGCCCACTGACGCCTAAGAGTATTGTTCCATCTTTCCAGCTTTTTCAACTTGCCCATCTGCTGCGGCGAAATTTCCTTTCTTCCCCTGGTAATCTCCTCTATTTGAGTCACAACCTTCTTGAACCGTCCCACCAGATGATCCGCGGTTTGAAACGCCAAGTTGCTAGAGCTCTTGTTCAGATGGCGCACGTCGCATTTGCTCATCTCGTCCGGCCATGGCAGCAGCCGCGGCGAGTCGTCGTAGGTCCACTTGCCCTCCCGCCCTATACAATCAAATCTTTCTCGGAAAATCTTGATCTTATCCGGTGAATCTAGCACGGAGCCTGGGATTCGAGTCCAGAGGCTTGGGTCAGGCTTGGAGAGAGGAAGTTTGGTAGGAGGTTTGGTACCGGTAGGAGGATCAGTGAGAGGTTTGGCGGGAGGGTTGGTAGGAGGTTGGGTAGGAGGTTGGGTAGGAGGTTTGGCGGGAGACTCAGGAGGTTCGGTAGGAGATGCGGTCGGAGGTTCGGTGGGAGGTTTGGTAGAAGTGTCCCAACTAGGTTTGATAGGAGGCTCGGTCGGATGATTGGTTGAAGGTTCGGTGGGAGGTTCGGTGGGAGGTTCGGAACGAGGGCTTTTATCAGGTTTGGTAGGATTAGTTGGGGGTTTGGTAAAGGAGATGGTGGGGGGTTCGGTAGGAGGATTAGTTGGAAATTTGTTGGGAAGATTGGTGAGAGGTTCGGTACTGGGAGGGTCAGTTGGAGGGTTGGTGGGAGGAGGCGGTTGATTGCTGTTGTAGGAGTCGAGTCGCAGCTGACTCGGCTCACGAGGATTCTGGACTTCTGCGAAATCGTTGTGTCCGTATGCTTTTTCTGATAACGCTGACGTGGCCGCCGCCACGTCTGCCACGTCAGAACTTCTGAACGGGGCAGCAACGGAGGCGGTGGAATCGGTGAATCTTGAAGCGATATTGCGAATCGGGAGAAAGAAAATGAAATACGTGTGCAGTCCAATGAGAGCGAACGCGAGAGCGAGAGAGACTGCGATGCGGGCGTGTTCCGTCGAGACTTTCACGGCCTGCCAATTTTTAGATTTGGTCGTCGTGCCTTCATCTGGTCCTAGAGACGTGCTGAATACCATGGTCCGTAAGAAGTCGTAGAACCATCGAAACACACGCACGTTAACTGGACGAAAAGCAACAACGGATAGCTAAAGACACCTCTGCGTTGATCCATAAAAAAATGATGTCACATCAACTATGTCTAACCACAACATTTCGCAGAAGCATCATTCTTTGATAAGCGCGTACTCAATCATGCTAGGTGGGTCGTCCGTAATTCGCACTTTAGGAGGCTCGGCATAACTCAAGCTGAAGTACGTATTTATGGGAGAAAATACTCAGCAAAGAGAAATGGCGGGAGGAAGGGAGAACCTCGGCAATTTTCTAGGAGAATGCTGAACACTCTTGGTAGCTGAGATGGTTATGAGGTGGATTTGGGTGGCTTTGAGGTGGGGGGACATCTTAGACCACTGTGTAGCGCACACAAAACGTTCAGAAGCAAATTAAACCGTCTGCCACCCATTTGCTTTTCCGAAGATCTTTCCTGCGCGACTGTCACTGACCTTTGTTCATCCCAGCAGTGGCATTCGACAGATTTCGTCCAGTCAGTCTGATTGGAAGGAGTCGAGAATGCTCGTTTGGGACGGAACTGAAACGGACGACCTGGAGCTGGAGGTGCATAACGTCTACGGACAGACTGGTGACGGAATTTTGTGCTCGGCAAATCCGAGTACCGATAATGTTGACAAGGGTCTATGGGAAAGGGACTAGCAATATCGCATTTGTCTTGAATACATCGTATTGGATACATAACATTTGCAAACATCATGCATCATGTTTGGAATTGGGAGTATATGTGGGACTGGAAGAACTTGTAACCAAACTCGTGTTCCCTTTATTTGCTGACAACTTTTCACCCATCCGTGCATCTGCATCTCAAGATGTCATCTGTTTGGCAACAGAAGCCCCACCAGCATATTGAAGAGCAGCTGCACCCATGTATCGACTGGGCCCGGGTGGCAGTAGTGCAGGCAGTCCCACCGTCCCACATGACCATCAGGCCGCCACACCGCCGACGCATTCACATCCATGTACACCCCTCCCACGCCCTCCGTCAACCTCTTCAGAATCTCATTCTGCGCTGCAAACCCATCCCAGTGCCAATCATCATGCGGCAGTGCCAAAAGCTTCCCGGAAAGCGGCTTCCGGTGCAGCCAACATTGGGGGTGGCCAGCGGGCGTGTTTCGGACAATAATGAGCAGATCAGGGTACATTTGCCTAAGCGCCAGCAGAGTGGACCGCATTTGCCTCTCAAACTGCTCATCTGCAATAAAGTGAGCCCCTCGGTTCATCACCACAATAGACACGCCCTGCGCTGCAATCTCATCCATCCACGACTCCCCGAAGCTCTTATCCACCATGAAATCATTCACTGCTTCGGTAGAGTTGAGGTAATAATCCCGAACAAAGAGAATCCGGACGGAAAAGCCCAAGTCAGCGCAGAGATGGAGGGTCCAGCAGCGTTTGTCTGCAGGCTCTTTGGTTGCATTGCGGTACCGCTGGCAGTAGCCTGTCGGCTCGCCCCAATGGACCCGGGAGGTTTGGTCCTTGGCACCCAGCCTCACGTTGTACAAGATGGAGTCCGCAAGAAGCTGGTTTATTGAGTCACCCACTATAAGCACGCTTCGCTTGTCGAGAATTCTGCAGAAAGTTTCTGGACCGAACCATTCCCAAGGCCCAGCACATCCTTTACCGTTGATGCCTGCCGAAGTGGCTCCATCCTGACCATCCGAGCTGCTAATTTCTGGAACCAACCAGAAGTACTTGAGAGATTCTCTCACAGTCCACTGGCGAATCAGCTCGTCCTTTCGTCTCTTCAGCTGCCTCAACTGGTTGAGCAAATGCAGCGGCGCCCCTCTCCCCATCTTGCTAATCTCCTCTATTTGGCTGGAAACCTCCTGAAACTGTCCTACCACGCGATCCGCGTCTTGAAACGCTACGTGTCGTGAGCTCTTTTTTAGGTGGCCCACGTCGCATTTGCTCATCTCGTCCGGCCATGGCAGCACCCGCGGCGACACGTAGTGGGACCAATTTCCCTCGCGCCCTATGCAATCAAATCTTTCTCGGAAGGATCTGATCTTATCCGGGGAATCGAGCACGGAGCCTGGGATTCTGGTCCAGAGGCTTGGGTCATGCTCGGATGAAAGAGGATTGATGGGAGAATTGTAGGGAAGTTCGGTGGGAGGCTTGGTGGGCGGTTCGGTGGGAGGTCTGGCGGGAGGAGGTCTGGCACTAGCTTGGGAGGAAGGTGAAACCGGAGCAGATGGCGTGACGTCTGGAACAGCCAAGGGTGAACTTTTAGATGCCTCAGAAGCTGCTGAGCTTGAGGAGGATGCGAGATCCGACGGAGATGCTGTTGTGCCACTGCTCACGGACGAGGAGTTGGCAACGATTGGTAACTCGACGGGAGGAACGGTTACGTTGACATTTTGATCATCCGTGAGTGGACTGCCGGCAGAGGGTTGATTTCGGTCAAATTGCAGCTGATTTGGCTGACGTGGTCTCTGGAATTCCCCAAAATCGACATGTCTGCTTGATTTTCCTAATTGTGCTGACGAGGCCGCCGACACGCCTGCCACGTCAGAATGCAACGAAGCAGCGTCGGAAGCAGTGTATCCGGGTAAACTGGAGGCAAATCCAGGAGAGAATCTCGTAAACTGATCCAGAAGACGAGGAGAGGATCTGCTGTACGTGTATAGACCAATGAAAGCGAAGATTAGAGCGAGTGCGATCGCGACACCGGCGTGAACCGTCGGGACTATCTCTAATTGCTTAAGCTGCGGCTTACGAGTCGTCGCTTCTTCGATTACTAAAGCCATGCTCAACCGTCCGCGGCTGCAACATTTCAGAAATGTTTCCACACTGTTGACTCCTGCGTTGAGGAGAAAAGCCGTACTCAATCGTTTGCAACTGACGCTTACAATAATTAACCGAGAACTTCACAACGAAGGCAGTCTATAGCCGTGACTCCCGCATTTCGGCAATTAATCTTCAAGGCGCGACGAGGAGCAGAGGTAACACGCCAACCCCTGACTGGTTGCAATTTCAACCAAAACAATTGGTGAGAAAGGCTGCTTTTCCTACCAACCAACGCCTTGCAACTGTTGGCTTCAGACAGGCAGAGGCGGTTATCATCAGCCACTGGGGGAATAATGGCGCCTGGGTGAAACCTCGATATTGAGGAGTCTGTTTTGAGTTCAGCATATTACAATGATGTCTGTTTCCGTTATATGGGCACAGGGTTTCTCCCATGACTAGTGTTTTGCAAGTCCCATGTTTGACATCTGTGTTTCACAATCTCTGGGGATCGGTCAAACAAGCCATGACAAGTATGGCTTGAGCGAATTTCGCAACCGGAGTAACGGGCGTGGGCGAAACGCGACCACCCCATACTGGGAGCGTCCACACAACATCCATTCTGCATCCACAATATTATGACTCACTATGGAAGTGCAATTAGCACAGTGCATTGTATTACAAATATACTTCTTTGATTTCAGCAAACAGGGCAGACACAAAAGTGTTTTCTTAAATAGCCACTATGGTACAAATATCCCCTTTCTAGCAAAGCCCATGACACGTTGCCATCCTTTCTCCAGCTTCATCGAGTGCAATGAAGCATAAGAGACATCAAGCAACTCTTCCCTTTCCCCCCAAACACCCCGCCATTAGAATCCCATCATTTATCTTCTAAAGCCAGTAGGATGAGGCAATCACCCCAGCTCAGTGCAAAAATCCAAAATTCCTCTCATCACCCTCACCAAGAACCCAAGCTAGCAGAGCAGCCAGCAGCAAAACTGACACGCCATCATCCAGTGGCCGATCTGCCAGGTGGCGGAGTGCAATTGGCCACCTTGCGGCACCGTATGAGCCCCTTATGCCCACACTTGCACCGTGTGCACCAATCTCCAGGCTTGGGGATGTTTGTTGTGCCAAGGGCATACCACTTCATGCCCCATGTGGGGCCCGCACTGCTGCAGTTGGTGGCTCTGAAAGCTGCAGTTGGTGGGTTGAAAAGGAGATGGCACAATAAGAGAGGAGGAAAAAAAACAGTGTGTTCAGGTATCCAAGCTTTGGAATGTTGGTGGTGCCGAGCGCATACCACTTCATGCCCCACATAGGACCCGCACTGCTGCTGTTGGTGGCTCTGAAGGCTGCAGCAGGGATGGTGGGAGAGAACAAAGCACAGGGGAAGAGAGTATTCACTCCCAGGCCAGAGGATTCCGGTGGTGCCAAGTGTGTGTTTCGACTTCTTGATTCCCCACTGCTGCGGTTGGTGACTCTCAAGGGTTTGACGGGCTAACCCATTATTGCCCACACTATGCCGAGTATCCCTGAAGTAAGCAGCACTCACCGTCTTGCGGTGCTATGCATGTGCCAACGTCGATCCTGTACCCCTCGCTGTCCACCCCGCCCCGCCCCACTCGATTGATCAGACACCTGCCCACATAAGCGCGGAGAATGGATGGAGGGAACATCTTCAGCGTTAATATTGAGACTCTGGAAAGAAAGCCATCTGATTCCTTCACCGTCCTGGTTGCCCTGCCTCATGTGACTGATCAGACACCTGGACATGTAAGCATGTGGAATGGATGGAGAGAACTTTTTTCAGCGACAGTACTGATACTTTGGAAAGAAAGCCATTCAAGCCCTGTGGCCTTCACCGTCTTGGCCACCCTGCTTCACTCGATTAATTAGGCACATGCACACACGAGCACAGGAGTTGGGATAAAGCGAACGGGGTGGACTTGAGTTAAATGTACAAGTTAAAAATTGCACGAGTTAAAAATGTATGTGACAAGAGGCCCTTTTATGGCAGACATCGCCCTTTGAAAAATATATGGAGAAAGGTATTCCTAATGTTGTAGGAACCGTTGTCCTTGCATCTCCTTACCCCTCGGATGGATCAGACATCGGAATACGTCACAAGTGCGTACGTTTGCTGGAGTGGCCGAATGGGTTCAAGCTGGATCCGCGATAGTTAGTCCAACATGCCACCACGCACTGAGCCTACAGTAGATATGACATACTATGTATATCATATGTGCCTTAATTATAATTGCTCCCAGCGATCACTAGCCATACTACATCGGAGCCATTTACTCTATGTTACAGTATATGCGTGTATATATGATATCTATCCTATCAATATGTACCTAAAAATTTGAAAAACGGCATCCAAGAATAGTCCCAGTAACGGTAGTAGTATCTATCTACATAATATATCATAACTAGATACGTACGTTTGCTGTAGAGGTGGGCACTCGAATCTGCGGATGCTGCCTCCGCGGTAGTTGGTTCGACACTGCACCTCGGGGCACACGCACTGCGCCTCCATGCGCACCAGCTCCTTGCTCCCCGCGATCACCACCGGCACCGCCTTGCAGTTGCAGCGCTCGCAACTGCTGCTGCCGAGGATGCCGCGCGTTCCCACCGCATAGGGCTGCGACATGAACGCGCAGTACAGCCCCTCTGCGGGTGGAGGGAAGGGGAGAAGGTGGGGGAAACGATAAGGAAAGAAGCCAAGGTGTATCTCCCGCGTTCCCATCGCGCACGGCTGCGACATGAACGCGCAGTACAGCCCCTCTGAGGGTAGGGGACCGCGAGGGTATTGGGGGGAGAGGTGGGGGAGGGGGAAAGGGAACGATTGAATTCCGCGCGTCCTCACCGCGTAGGGCTGCGACATGAACGCAGCAGTACAGCCCCTCTGCGCGTGGGGGAAGAGCAGTGGGGGGAGGGCGCAGGGTATGAGAGGGGGAAGGAGGTAAGGATTGAGATGAGACAACGGGATGCCTTACGGGATGATTACAGGGCTGTGCAGCACGAATGCGCAGCACAGTCCCGCTGTCGGTAGGGATCGTGGGAGTTGGAATAAGAGATAAACCGGTAGATTGAGTGTTCCACGTGGTACCATGCGGTACCATGGGGTACCTCGATTTCTAGTAAGTTTCCTCTTCCCCTCCACCCCTTTCCCATCCCCCAGCTCTTCTTTGGAATAAACGTACTTTCATAAGTGCTGTTGCAGACTCCTTTGTAGCGACCGTACGGATTTCCAGGCTTCGGCGTCCGCATTACAAGACACCTGAAAAGTCGAACGCGGAAAAACGAAGCGAATTAGAAAGCATCAATGACCAACGAAAAAAAAATCTGATAACTGAGCACATCAATGTGCAATGGTGGAAGCGAAACGACTCACTCCGGCTGAATAACAACTGATTCCAGTACCGACAAATCAGGCAATCGTTTCTAAAAACGAATCAATCACTGGAACCAATTTATTATGAGGATATATATGTCGAGGCGGGACTGTAAGTTTCTGCCTGATTTACCTTTAGGCATCAACCGGCCAGCTTTGAATGCTTTCTTTGAAACGGGTTCGCTTTCGCACGCGAAACGAGAATTCGGTACATGCTATAGAAATTGTGTGCTTTTGGATCTACCCAAAAGCTACCTCGTTGCGATTAACGAGGCCATAAGGGAATGAAAGGACGGAATCTAACGACTCACGTGGCTGGCCCGCCTTCACACTCAACGATGGGCTTTAGCGATGGCGAAAGCAAACAGCGACTGCCGTCTTTTAGCTTCTTCGTTCCTGAACCGAGGCAGACATTTGGTGGTTGGAAAAAAAAGGGGGGAGATTATATTACGAAACAAAAGAAAGCATGCTTACGGTTCGCGTTTCTAAAGGCATGTTGCAATATAAACAACACCTTTTGAGAAACAACCTAACTATTCCTCCTGTTGAGCAGCGGGAACGACTAAAATCATTGCGAGGCGGGTAATTTCAGCCAGGCTTACCAGAAACAACGGTCGCAACCGCAAGAAGCACTAAAAATATATGAAACCCTCTCGAGATCGCCATTCCGACTGCGCGGGCTTTTACGGAATCTCTGAAACTACGTATACGGCGTAGGGATGCTGTTAACGCGGAGTTGAGTGGTCCTTGTCGTAAGCTCTAGCAATTTTAGAAGGAATTTGTTTTCCCGGTCCTCTGAATTAAGAAAAGAATATGTAACCGTGGCCGGTTGAAATGAGAGATGATGCTGATATGGTAGCGGTTCCACTTGTTGTCCTTCTATAAAGTATTGATACTCGCTAGGCACTCGAACGGTTGCATACACTGGAAAGACCTACTAAGCCTGGGCAGCTTAGGATGTAAACTGAACGGTTGTATACTTGACTGACGGATGGTAGTCGCGGTAATTATCTAGATCAGGTGAGTCCGAAAGGCAAAACTGTAACAGGCTCGGAAATTTTGAGTAGGTTTATTGAGAACGGCAGACTGGGAGAGACGGAGGGAAGACACAGACGGAAGATTGTGCTTGGTTGCATGAAGGGAAGACCTCATCAGGGCTTTGCTCGGCCTTCCATGCACGCTTCTGCTCCAACCTACCCCTGAAAGCATGGACCAGAGGGGATGGTCGCGGGGAAAGGGTAGCAGGATGGACAGCTGATAGCGAAGTCCCTGTTCGGTAGAGCTTGCGGCGATGCGGTGGCTGTGCGGAAGCAGCCCGTCGTTGGCAGTGCGGTGGAGGAAGAGCATGGCGGGAAATAAATGGTTTCTGGGAGGTTGGGTGCGGTTTGTTGTTCAACCTCAGCGGGCAATGATTCTCGCGAGGCTGGGGTGGGCAGGCTTTCCGCGGTACACTTGCGGAGGGCCTTCGGGATGCAGGCGGGAACAGTGCTGCAGGGATTTGGCGGCGGCAGAGGTTTCCGCGGGATGTTTGCGCGTCAGCAACCGAATCGCACATTGGGACAAGGCCCGCAGCGCGTAATTCGCTGCAAATCTCAACTCGATGCCGAGGCTTTTGAGCGCAATAGCGGCGCACCGTCGTCCCCTTCCTGAACCTGATGCAGAAATGCCTGACGCAACCCAGTCCGCAGAGACCAACGACTGCCCAAAAGAACAATTGATTGGCCATTTCTCCTGCAAAAACGCCGGCTGGCTGGTGGCGAGGGAGCGGCTCGCAACGCATCTCTGGAAAATCTACAGAAATTCCTTTCAAGCTAACAGACCCTCTGCAAACAGACTCTATTCTTTGTGCGGTTTTCTTGATTTTGATTGACCGTAAACAATTCAAGAACATTCTCGTCAATTTGTCACGATATTGTGCTGCCCCCAATACAAACCCCCAATACTGTATACGAGATCCTAGTAATTCGTTATAAATCTCCACAACATTAAGTCTAGCACGTGAATTTGATAGACCAAACGGCCTGTTATATGATGCCGGACATTACAAAGACGTTGCGTGTAAGGTACCGATACTCAGTTGCCTAGCAAGATTTCTCTTGTGACCCTTTGACCACCTCCACAACATATGAGCATCGAGCATTATCTGCTTCTTTATCCGTTCACCTGCCGTCCTCAAAATACTCAACAAGGAGGTGCTCCACATCAGTGCGTGTGGTTGCCGGGTTACCAAGCGTGAACGCCTTGAGCCAACTGGGCATGCCTGCGGAAGGAAGGGGCCAAACAGGAGGGATTAATCACCCACAAGAATACAGTATTTTTGAGGCACATCAAAAGTTACCAAGCAACGAGCGTGAACGCCTTGAGCCAACTGGGCATGCCTGCAGAAGGGAGGGGCCAAACAGGAGGGGTCAAACACCCACAAAAATACCGCATTTTCGAGGCACCTCAAAAGTTACCGAGCATGAACGACTTGAGCCAACTGCCAACTGGGCATGCCTGCAAAAGGAAGGGGCCAAAGAGGAAAGATCAATCACCCACAAGAATACCGCGCCAATCGTGCGAGGGTTGTGTGTGTTGGGCTACAATAGAGCCCTATAACCTTGAACACCAACTCTTCAGCAGTGAGCAGGACTGGTTTAATTGCAATGCACTTGTAACAAGGGGCAAGAACAGGAGTTAGGAGAGAGGCAATAACAGGAGTGCCTTAACATAAAACAGGAGAGAGGCAATAACAGGAGTGCCTTAACATAAAAAAGTAAACTCACACCGGTGACTGAAAAGGATTTACATACCTTGAACGGTGACTGTAAGTGCAACTGGCATACCTTCATAATCACACCCTTGCCTCGAATAGTCACTGGCCGCAGGTGCAGGTTGTGAGACTCCTGTTGCAGGAAGCGACTTTTGAGGCGCCTCAGAAGGACCGCTCCGAGGAGAGGGAGATGAGGAGCAAGAGCGAGTGTACCTTAACGTATGCCTGTACAATTTTTGAGGCGCCTCAAAAATCGCCTCAGAAGGACCGCTCCTAGGAGAGGGAGATGTGGAGCAAGAGTGCGTGTACCTTAACCTATGCCTGTACAGTGAAGGGCTCCCTTACCTTGAATGGTCACTGGTAGCAGGCGCAAGTCGTGTGATTCCTTCGGAGAGAGGAGAGGGCCGAGGAGAGAGGGAGATGAGGAGCAAGAGCAAGCGCATGTACCTTAAGCTATGCCTGTACAGCAAAGGGCTCCCTTACCTTGAATGGTCACTGGTCGTAGGCGCAAGTCGTGTGATTCCTTTTGGAGAAAGAAGGAGATTCCCGAAAAGAGCGAGGTGAGGGGGACGAACATGCGTACCTTAAGCTATGCCTGTACAGAAGAGGGATCCCTTACCTCGAATGGTCACTAGTCACAGGCGCAGGTCGTGTGATTCTTTTTGGAGAAAGAAGGAGAGCAAGGAGAGGGAGGCGAGAGGCCACAACCCAAGTACCTTACCTGTGCCCGTACAGGAGAGACATGCCGTGATTGGCCACTGTGACTGTAAAGGGCACAGTCACCTCGAATGGTCACCTTGACTGGTCACCGTGACTATAAAGGGCGTACGCACCTCGTATGGTGACTGGTCGAAGGCGCAAGTCGTGCGATTCCTTCTGGAGAAAGAAGGAGAGGCCCGAGGAGAGGGAGGAGAGAGGGGTGGCCAGCACCAGCTCCCTCTGCAAATGAGGGGCATTGGGGCAAACAGCAGAGGGGGGGGCGGTGGGGGTAGCCGCAGGGCAACCGAAGGGGAATCAGGGGAGGCATTGAGACTCCTTCTGCAGGAAGAAGGAGAGGCCCGAGGAGAGGGAGGAGAGAGGCGTGGCCAGCACCAGCTCCCTCTAAGATTGACAGGCATTGGGATGAGCAGCGGGAGGGGGGGACAGCAGCAGGGCGAAAAAAAAAGGGGGGATCAGGAGAGGCATTAAGACTCCCTTTGGAGGAAGGAAGGAGATCCTCAGGGAGAGCGAAGAGAAAGAGGGATTGCCTGCACGAGCTTCCTCTGAGATTAACATGGGGCGAACAGTAGGGGGGAAACAGAGGGGCGAGTAGGGAAACAGATGGGCGAGTAGGGAAACAGATGGGCGAGTAGGGAAACAGATGGGCGAGCAGGGAAACAGAGGGGCTAGTAGGGAAACAGATGGGCATATGAGCCAGTTATCATCAACAGCTTGAGAAGAGAGCGGGGAGAGGGGGGTTACCAGCACCAGCTCCCTCTGAGATAGACGGGCATTGGGGCGAACATAGGGCGGGGGGCAAAAAACGTGTGGGATGTGCGTACGAAATCGTTTTGGCAACCAAGCCTTTATCAGTGCAGGGAAAGAAGGATGTTTTTTTAAGAGATGGAAAGTAATGTAGACAATGCAGAAGACTTAGTGTACCTTGAAGCGTTTGCTGGTTTCAGAGTAGTATGTAGAGAGGATGACCAGGAGGTGCAGCGAGCGGGTGGCTGGTGGTGGGCGTTGGGGGAGAAAGGAAGAGAGAGACGTGAGTGGGTGAGTGGTGAATGGGAAAAGCAGTATGTAGAGAAGAGAGGATGACCGGCAGGTGCAGCGAGCGGGTGGCTGGTGGTGGGCGTTGGGGGAGAAAGGGAGAGAGCGACGTGCGTGGGTGAGTGGTGAATGGGAAAAGGAGTAGTATGTAGAGAGGATGACCAGGAGGTGCAGCGACTGAGTGGCTGCTGGTGGTGTGGGAGAATGCGAGAGGGATACAGTGGGTATTTAAGGGAGTGGTGTAGATGGGTTAGAAAGGGAGGGGTTTGTAGAGAGGATGACCAGGAGGTGCAGCGAGCGAGTGGCTGGTGGTGGGCATGGGGGAGGAGGTGGAAAGTTGGATTGGACGCATTGGGAAAGGGAATGGTATGTGTGGTGGTGAGTAGGAGATGCAGTGAGCGAGAGGCAGGTGTGCGTGAGAAAAAATGTGAGGGAGAGGTGATGAGGAGAGAGTGGGGAAAGTGCGAAGAGGAAGCTGAGGTCATCAGTAAAACGCATGGGAGCAGTCCTTGAGAGAAACCTTCGAGGAGTAGGTGATTCGAACCGCACCACAGAACACACAAAGGAACCTGCTGCCATATTTGCAGGTGCTTCCGAGTGATAGGAAGGAGATCTCATTGACTGCCGGTCAAATAGTGGAGGTGCGAATGACGAGTAATGCCTATACCTTGTGTTGTTGTCCTTTGCTTTGCCGCTATTACTGCCATGTGCTACTATGTGCATCAACTTTCATCACATGTGCTTATTTTTTTTAAGTTTCTCTCCTCGTACTAACTTCATACAAATTCCATGTTCTTGTTTATGTCCTCTTATGCTTTAATGGAACAGCATGTGGCGCCCACTTTCGGCGAAAAAGATTGACGGGCGCTTGCTCTTTATTTGGAGAAGACGTGCACGTTTACGGCGGAGAATTGTGAAAGGTTCACAGCAAGTGAGAATTTTTACAACAGTATAAAAATCTTCACTTGCTGTGAACCTTTCACAATTCTCCGCCGTAAACGTGCACGTCTTATCCAAATAAATAGCAAACGCCCGCCAATCTTTTTCGCCGAAAAATGGCGCCATATGTTGTTCCATCAAAGCACAACAGAATATATACAAGAACATGGAAGATGTATGAAGTTAGTACGAGGGAGAAATGATATAAAAACAAGCATATGTGATGGAAGTTGGTGCACATAGCAACATATGGCAGTTAAAGCGGCACAGCAAACGACAGCAGCACAAGGTTTAGGCGTTACTTATCATACGCACCTCCACTATTTGGCCGGCAGTCAACGAGGTCTCCTCCCTATCACTCTTGTGTCTCTCCTTGAACGTGTTGTCCGACAAAGAGGCACAGAACACACAAATAATTTTTCCTCGTTGACTTGACCAACTGAAAGATGCGTGGCGCATTCCTGATATTCCCGGAACTGCTGAAAGATGGAACCCTGCCCATAATCCCCATATCTACCTTTGAAGCGCCTCTTGAGGCAACTTTTGAGGCGCCTCAAAAGTCCCGGGACTGCTGGAAGATGGAACCCTGCCCATATTCCCGATATTGCCCCCAGTTTGACCAACAACCCCGCCCCTCCACCTCTCAGTCATTGCGCCACCCAGCCGACACACAGAGAAACTACATGAGAACATCCTCCCAACATCACCACAGCTGACCAACACCACCGCCCTCCCCCCATAACTCACATAGAAACTGTTTCAGAATCTCTCCGAACTAGGCGTCCTTGGGAGGCGCAGCTTCCCACATTCCCAATACCACCACAATGGACCAACACCACTGCCCTCCCCCCCCACACCCTCAACTCACAGAGGAACTGCTTGAGAATCTCCTCGAACTTGGTGTCCTTGTTCACCAGCTGCGATGTGGAGCTTCCCACATTTGATATCGCCACGTTCAGCACCTCGCCCCCCTTCTTGCCGCGCACACCTGTCAACAGGGGGTGCAGGTGCACAAGAGGAAACACACACACGTGAAGCGCAGACACATGAGAGGTGGAGCTTTCGACATTCGGTATCGCCTCGTTCAGCCCCTCCCCGCCCTTCTTCCCACACACACCTGTGCATGCATACAGTGGCAGCGAGGTGACTTTTGAGTCGACTCAAAAGTCACCTGTGCATGCATACAGTGGCAGCGAGATACAAGGGAATGCGAACACATGAATGGGTTGCTGCACCGTGCCGTTTCATTCAATATCACCACGTTAGCCCCTCTCCGCCCGTCTTCCCTGGGAGAGGCAGTGGGACAACAGAGAATGTGAGCAAGTGTGTGCGTGTGTGAAGCGTGTCACACCATTCGAAATTGCACCAATCAGCACCTCCCCGCCCTTCTTGCCGCACATCCCGATACACATGACAAAACAAACGCACAAAAAAAACAGCTTGCAACAGCATACCCAGACGCTGCTAAAGCATCACAATCACCATGCCTTTGACCTACACCACAACACCGCCCCATCCCATTGCTCACCAGGCCCCATGGCATGCTGCACTCACCGGGTCCCATGGCATGCTGCACTCACCAGTTCCTCAGTAGTGCCACACAACATACAGGGTGATGCCGACAACATACTGTGCCTACTGCGCACATGCTGCACTCACCGGGTCCCATGGCATGCTGCACTCACCAGGGACCATAGCATGCTGCACGATATCCGCTCTAAGGAGTCCCCCAGTAGTGCCACAAAACACAACATACGGTGTGATGCCGACAATATACAGTGCCTACTGCTCACATGCTCCACTCACCAGGTCCCATGGCATGCTGCACAATATCCGCTCTAAGGAGCTCCTCAGTAGTAAGAGAAGCCTGGTTGTACTTCTTGTCACGCACTATCGTTGGGAAGGGGGAGAGGGAACCAGAAGCACATGGAGAAGGGGAGTATTGATCGTGTGCTCTGCAGTCATGTGTAAGTCGAGTCTGAGGAAATTCCTCAGAAGTGAGAAAGATGACTTTTGGGTCGACTCAGAAGTCTCCTCTGTAGTGAACGATGCCTGGTTGTACTTCTTGCTGTATATTGGGGGATGGGATGGGATAGGGGAAAGGAGCAAATGGGGAGGGAAAACTTAAAGCACTAAATACTAAATATAGGGAGTTGCTCTGTAGTGAGCGACGCCTGGTTGTACTTCTTGTCCCGCACTGGAGGATGGGGGGGAGAGGAAGGCGAGGAGTGGAGCGAGTGGGAGGTTCGAATCTACGCTTGACATTGTAAGGAGTTTCTCAAAGGCATTCTCAAGTAGAAACCCGTTTCACTCTTTCCCTTGTGGCCAAAAAAGGCAAAACACCCTTGGCAACAGGCAGATGCACTCTCAAGTAACTCACGACATTCCACTCCACTCACAGATCTCGTAGAAAACGTTGCGCCCGAGGGTCCTCGATCCAACGGCCAGGAATGCAGCCATGCTGGCATCGACCTCGCTGCTCTGCCCTGGATCCAAGTTATTGGTGCACGTGAGAATGGCTGCGAGCTGAGAGCGGGGGTTGGGAGGGGTTAAAGACGGTTATGAGTGCAATCCTCCTACACAGCACCTCGCTGCTCTGCCCTGGATCCAAGTTGTTGGTGCACGTGAGGAGGGCTGCGAGCTGAGAGCGGGGAGATGGGTGGGAGGAGGTGGAAAGGAAGCAAGCAGTGTACCCACGCGCCCATAATGAGTCCATGCCGCCATGCTGCCATGGCATCCACCTCGCTGCTTTGCCCTGGATCCAGGTTGTTGGTGCACGTGAGAATGGCTGCGAGCTGAGAGTGGGGGTGGAGAGGGGTTAGAGTTGAGGGGAGTTGATGCGACAACACCACCAAAACTGCACCTCGCCGCTCTGCCCGGGATCCCAATTGTTGGTGCACGTGAGAATGGTCGCGAGCTGAGGGTGGAAACTGGGGAGTAAGACAAGGAGTATAATTGCAATCCGTGCTGCCGTGTCACATGCAATTGGCAACAACATCCCTTCTCTACACCCGACATTCACCAGCAGGCATGCAAGGGCCGTGTTGAGGAGCAGGTGAGGCGAGAGGCGGCGAGGCGAGCTCCATGAGTGTGCAAGAAGCAGTCAGCCCTGTACTCTTACTCTCATTTAACTCACCAGCAGGCGTGCAAGGGCCGTGTTGAGGAGCAGGTGAGGGGCCTCCTCTGATGCCAGTGAGGCGAGCCCTAGACTGGACAGCACGAGCAGTCAGCCAGGCTGCCAACACCCCTTACCCGCACTCTACACTCACCAGCAGACGAGAGCCGTGTTGAGGAGCAGGTGAGGCGCCTCCTGTGAGAGGTGGCGAGGCGAGCTCTATGAGTGTGCAAGAAGCAGCCACCCCTGTACCCTTACTCTCATTCAACTCACCAGCAGGCGTGCAAGGGCCGTGTTGAGGAGCAGGTGAGGGGCCTCCTCTGAGAGCCTGCGAGCCAGCATGGTGGCACAGCTGCTGCCCTGGAGGGATGAGAGGAGAGGAAGAGAGAGGAAGAGAGAGAATGCGGGAGAAGAGAAGAGAAACCATAGATTTGAAGCAAAAGGAGCTCCAATCTATCAAAGCCAAGGCAGCTGCTCCTGTGGCAGGGGGAGCATGGTATGTATACGAAAAAAAAGGGGGCCGGGAAGCGAGAAACAAAAAGGCGTCTCGAAAAGGGTGACTTGCCTCTTCTGCAGTTCGCGGGAAGATGGGATGTGAGATGACTGATCCCTGCTCCCCACCCTCAACCCAGGAATAGGCATGGTGACATGACTATTGCAACTTGACAGGGAAAGGGATAACACAAGCAAGGCGACTTCTGAGTCGACTCAAGGGAAGATGGGATGTGAGATGACTGATCCCTGCTCCCCACCCTCAACCCAGGAATAGGCATGGTGACATGACTATTGCTTCTTGACAGAAAACAGGGATGCCTCAGAAAAGCAGCAGACCTTTTCTCAAAAGGGAAAAAAAGAAAAAGGCGAACATTGTACAAAAGACAAGGGCAAAAGAAAAAAAAAAAAAAACGTGGATGGTCACTTCTGAGTCAACTCAAAACTCTCGACCTGTGAATGGTCCTGCTCCTGCGCATGAGATTCATTTATGGCACTCACTGTTTCCCGAGGAACCATTTCCGTGGTAACTCTTTAAGGCCATGTAAATCTCAACTCACCAACACTCTTGCGAATGCACTTTCTTTCTGACGCCCACTGTTTCCCGGAGAATAATTTCCGAGGGAACTTATGGGAGAGGTTGAGAAAAAACTCAACCCATCAAAACACTGGTGCAGGGGCTTTTGAGGCGCCTCAAAAGGCGCACGGGGTGGATACTCATGGGCACGGGCTAAGTTTCTTTCTGACACTCACTGTTTCCCGGGGGATGATTTCCGCCACAGCTTTCTCCATGCCCTGCTGGCACAGGGGGTGGACAGTGGTGAAGAGAGGTGAAGAGGGTTGGTGCGGATATATGCAGGTAATTGGAGAGGTGCAGAGAGACGAGGCAAGGGAGGGTGAGGAAGGGCAAGGGAAGGCGAGCGCAGAGAGGGTAAGTGAGGGAAGACAGGGGCAAAGAAGGTGAGCGGGAAACGAAATGTAAGCATGGGGGGAAGGAGGAGGAGGAAGAGGAGGGGAGGAGGAGGAGGAGGAGGAGGAGGAGGAGGAGGAGGAGGAGGAGGAGGAGGAGGAGGAGGAGGAGGAGGAGGAGGAGGAGGAGGAGGAGGAGGAGGAGGAGGAGGAGGAGGAGGAGGAGGAGGAGGAGGAGAGGAGGAGGAGAAGGAGGAGGAGGAGGAGGTGGAGGAGGAGGAGGAGGAGGAGGAGGAGGAGGAGGAGGAGGAGGAGGAGGAGGAGGAGGAGGAGGAGGAGGAGGAGGAGGGAACTAGTGCTGACAATGAGTATCCACTGTTGGGGTACCTCGATAGTAGGAGGCATCTTGTCGTGACCGTACAGAACCACTTGCAGCCGCCCCTCCCCATGCAGCTTGTAACAAATATATCCTCATGCTTATACCGAGTGTCCACTAGAGGGGTACCTTGATAGTAGCAGGCATCTTGTTGTGGCCGTACAGCACCACCTGCAGCCCATCCTCATGTAACTATAACAAACTATGTTTATAACGAGTACGCACTAGTACGTATCCATTAGTGGGGTACCTCGATAGTAGGAGGCATCTTGTTGTGGCCATACAGCACCACTTGCAGCCGCCCCTCCCCATGCAGCTTGCGCAGATCAACCTGGTGATGAGGAGAGGGCGGAGGGCAGAGGGTTGGGTTGGGTTGGGTTGAGTTGGGTTGGGAAAGGTTGAAGAGAGTGAGGACAAGTGACACCACTTGCAGCCGCCCCTCTCTGTGCAGCTTGCGCAGATCAACCTGCCAGACAGGCGCACGGGGACGGCAGTGGGGTTGGGCGAGGTTGAGAGGTTGGGGAGAGCGAGGACAACTGACATCACTTGCAGCCGCCCCTCTCTGTGCAACTTGCGCAGATCAATCTGATGGATGGATAAGAGGGTGGGGAAAAGAGGGAAAGTCAGCTATGAGGTACCGTGGCCTGGCTACAACTACCGTAATGTTCTCACCCCCATGGCCTGCAGCAGCCATGCTGCGTCGTCGGTGCGAAGGTGGATACGTGCTGTGCAGGTGACCCAGTAACCTGGTAACCAGACCCCCCTCACCTAATCAAGAAACAAGAGAGCCTGAGCGTCCACCCCCATTGCCTGCAGCAGCCATGCCGCATCGGTGCGAAGGTGGAAATCCGCCCGGAGTGTGCACCAGTGGCCCACACTTGCTCTCTCTGCTGATACCCGATGGTCACCAGGTAACCAAGCCACTCACCTCGTCCAGGAACAAGAGCGCCTGTGTGTCCACGCCCATCGCTTGCAGCAGCCATGCCGCGTTGGTGAGGAGGTGGATATGTGCCAGTAACCAACGTAGCTGATTGAAAGAGTTTCTCACCTCATCTAAGAAGAGAAGCGCCTGTGTGTCCACCCCCATGGCCTGCAGCAGCCATGCTGCATCAGTGCGGAGGTGGAAGTCCTTTCGGCTCGTGTGCACCAGCGGAAGCAGACAAAGCCCCGCCGCCCGCGCACTGGGCGGCTCTGAATGGTCCAGGAAGAAAGAGTAGACAATGGCTGAGACGATCGCGTCCAGATCTGAAGAATGTGTTGGGGGAAGGGGAGGGCGGGAAGGAGGGTAGGGTCGAAATCCGCCCGGCTCGTGTGCACCAGAGGAAGCAGACAAAGCCCCGCCGCCCGCGCACTGGGCGGCTCTGAATGGTCCAGGAAGAACGAGTAGACGATGGCTGAGATGATCGCGTCCAGATCTGGTGGAAGTAGGGGATGGAGGGGAGGGGAGGAGGTGGGGTTGAGAAGGGTGAGGAGAACTGGCAGGCTCTGAGTGGTGGAGGAAGAAGGAGTAGACGATGGCTGAGACAGTCGCGTCCAGATCTGGTGGAATTGGCGGTGGATGTGAGGAGAGGGGAAGTAAAGGAATTGGCGGTGAGGATGGGGACGGAGTGTACGATACGGGGTAGGGATGGAGCGCGCTGGGCGGCTCTAAGTGGTCCAGGAAACAGGGTTAGACGATGGCTGAGATGCTCGCGCCCAGATCTGGTGGAAAGCGGGCAAGGGGGATGTGGGGGGAGGGGGATGTGGGGGGAGGGGGATGTGGGGGGAGGGGGATGTGGGGGGAGGGGGATGGGGAAGAGGGGTGAGAAGAGCTCGCTGGCTCTGAGTGATCCAGTCCAGGAAGAAGGAGAAGTCGATGGCTGAGATGATCGCGTCCAGATCTGGTGGAAGGGGGGGAAGTGGGGGAGGGGGATGTGGGGGGAAGGGGGTGGGGAAGAGTGGTGAGATGAGCTTGCTGGCTTTGAACGGTCCAGGAAAAAGGAGTAGACGATGGCTGAGATAATCGCGTCCAGATCTGGTGGAAGGGGGGGCAAGGGGAGGAGAAAAGGAGTGACGGTGAGAATGTGGAGGGAGTGGAGGATGGGGATTGGAGTGCGCTGGGCGGCTCTGAATGGTCGAGGAAGAAGGAGTAGACGATGGCTGAGACGATCGCGTCCAGATCTGGTGAGCGTGTGTGGGGGAAACGGTGGGGAAGGGTAAGGAAGGGATGAATTGGAAAAAAAGGGGTGGGAATGGAGTGCGCTGGGCGGCTCTGAAAGGTCCAGGAAGGAGGAGTAGACGATGGCCCCCATCATCCTCTTCATCCTACCCTCCTCCTGATTTCACCCTCCCAATCCCCCCTACTCACCCGCATGCTCGCTGCCAATCACCACTTTGAACAGCCACCGAACCGGCTCCTCAGCCGCGCTCCCGAACCTCAAGTCCAGCTCCGGCGCAGGCACGGATCCGCCCTCCGCCTTGCCTTCCCCCGCACCAGCCAGCGACGGCGCGACAGAGTCAATGCAGCGTCGCCCCCGTCGCAGAAACTCGTTGATTTCGCCAACGCCAGGGCAGATTTCGGCAGCGGCTCTTCCCCCCGAATTATTGCCAGCAGCGGGATTCGAACCCGCGGGCACAGCCGCGTCAGCTGCTTCTAGCAGACGTTCGCGAGCAACGTTGGCGTAGAACGCAGCAGCGGAGCCAATCAGCTTGCCTGACGCAGCAGCGTCGGCGGTCTGATGGTCAGAGCAGGGGAGATCGGAAAGGAGAGGCAGGCAAGCGGAGGGAGCGAAAGGGAGACAGGCAACAGGAGGCAGAAACGGGAAATAGTGAAGCTGATTATCCCGATTTAGTCAAAGATACCGGCATACGAGGCAGCCTAAACTGTCACATACGGGAATTTTACCTGAAAAATCACCTGCGATTCGGCCTTCACCAGCGACTCGACATCATTGTAGAATGCGACTGCTCCTACCAGGCCCTTGAGCGGGTCGAAGCCCTTGGGAATTTCGAGGCGCCTCAAACAACCTGCGACTCGACATCCTTGTATAATGCGACTGCCCTTGGGCAGCTCGAAGCTCTTGAGAAACTAACCAGAGATATTGAGGCGGCTTTTATAGCACTTTCGAACCGACTAACCTGAGAATCAGCACCCTTGTAAAATGCGACTGCTCTTCCCAGGCCCTTGAGCGGATCGAAGATCTTTGGAGGAACGAGCGGAAGTGAAGGCCAGTGACGGCCGACGACACTTTAGACTACGAGTTGGCACAAATTTAAGAATCCTTACAAGCGACTAACCTGCGAGTCGGCATCTTTGTAAAACGCGACTGCTCCACTAGGCCCTTGGGAGCAGCGAGCGGAACTGACGGCCAACGAGACACTAACCTGCGAGTAGATACGAATTCGCATCTCCTTAGAGCCGACTAACCTGCGAGTCGACATCCTTGTAAGATGCGACTGCTCCTCTCAAGCCTTGAGCGGATCGAAGCTCTTGGGAGCGGGCGGTTCCTCCTTCGCCGCCGATGAGAAACTAGCAAGCAATCAGGCAGAACGACTAACCTGCGAGTCGGCATCCTTGTAAAATGCGACTGCTCCTCCCAGGCCCTTGAGCGGATCAAAGCTCTTGGGAACGGGCGGTTCCTCCTTCGCCGCTGGTTTCGACGCGATCCACGAAAACATGGCGACGGGTCCGAAGAACGTCCGCGAGCTCGGATTTTGGTTCGTCGCGGGTCGTTCGTCCTGCGAAACGATGGAAACACTCGAAGCTTAACCGCACCGTAGGGTCCTTGAAATCGGGAGGCAGAGAAAAAGGACCCGTGTGGTCCGCAATGCCGCTGGTGAGTTCGTAAAAAATTGCTTCAGCAACGACGATAAGATCGCAACGGCGCGCCACTAACAAGGCGTTACACGGGCCTACGGAACAATGAGCCCGTCTCCGTCAACCTCAATGCTTCTGTTTAGTTCCTCTGGCTTGATGTGACTTGACGGACTTGGGATCCCGATTCCCGATGCAGAGGACACTGGAGCAAGGATGAACAAAATCGGGAGGCCAGATGAATTCGTAGGGACAAGCGAAAACATGACTATTTGGAGTTGAAGAACGGTACGGAGAGTTAATGTAAGTTATATTGCGTTCAAGTGCGGTTGTTGTTGGGAACGAAGCCCCTTAGGAAGCCTGGTACACCAAGCCATGTGCTGTGCTGAGTGACCCCCTTGCAGTGTGGGGAGATGTGATGATGGTTACCAGCATCGATTTTACAGCCGTGGGTCTTCCTCAGCCAACGTTCATGCCCTGAGGACGCGTCACAAGTAAGTAAATATCGAGGAAGGATCAGGGTTGTTCACCGAACCTGTCAAACCGATCGCCATATCGGTGTGTCACGACTGCTTTGAAGTTTCAAGTGACACGATCGTAAAAACATGGGGCAAAATTGCCCGATGTGGACGAAATTGCACGATCGATGTGTGACAGGGGCACATCGATCGCCTGACTTAGAAGGGAAAACTGTACGTTAACGAAAATAAACGAGAAAGTGTAACCACCTAAACACCGATTCTAGGCAGGATCGATGTTCTACTTGTGACGCGTCCTGAGGGTAGTCCTGATGGTAGCAAGGTGTGATGTGACCAACAATTATGAAGAACGCTCACGGGGAGGAGAGAGTCGCGGTTCAGAGTGGTTCAATCAGGTGATGAGACTGTTCCTGGATTCTAGGCCCTTTGATGTGCTTGACGGTGTGAGACGGTGAACCCAACGGCGGGTCAGACCGCGACTCGTCAGATCTGCCCATTTTCACGAGTCAGAATCAAAGCGGAATAAAAAGAATGCAGCGATATGCACGACCTAAAAAATGTACTCCCTGATCAAATTTACATTGACAGTGAAAAGAGTATTCTCAGAATACATCTCATCACATGGACCACAACATGGCTTTCAAAATGCAGAATGGTCAACAACACAGTACTTGTCAACAGCCCTTTGTCTTATCTTTGTCCCCCTTGTCCCTAAACTCATTCCATAAACACACCGCCACGACCATCATTAAAGTGGCAGCAAGTACAAAGTTCCCATTCACTACTATGTACGTCGCAAAGTACATCTTGAGACCCCTGCAAAAGGTTTGAAACAGCGCTGCAACAGCACGAGAAGTAATGGGGGGGCATGGGCAGTGGCAGGGGGAGTGCAACAACGCACTAGCAGTGAGATGCTGCTCAAACAGGCAACCTATGATGAGATGATAAAACGAGGGTCAAATTAGAGTCAGATGACACAGGCCAAAACAACAAGGAAATGGTGTGAAGTGTGGAAATAGCACGACGAGGGACAAGGGAATAGCTCAGGGCAGAATGTTTGGATGGGGTTCCATATGCTACACTTGAGAGTCAAGAAAGATCAGTAAGGTAGGTTGGGAGCAATATGCAAGCAGAAGAGACCAAGGAACAAAGTACGATAACAGACACATGAAGTGGAAACAAATCTACAAAGAATCTGTAAGGAACACTTGTGAGCACACAGAACGCGTTGAATAGGAATTGCATAGTATGTAACAGGGTTACTTACAGAGTGTGCCTCGAGTTGGTTCCTCAAACTCGATGTGTACTGAGGGTATAGAATTGACAGCGCAAGGAGATTTCACGTCAGCTTGACACCTGGACGAAGCGAAGGCACGAGTAAGCTTAGGGAAAAAATGTCAGGCGAGTGAGCTGCACGATTATATGGAAGGGTGGATATAACACATCGGAAAAGGAACAAGGAACGCGGGAACAGCTTGAGCTGTTAGCCGTGGGTGATGGGGTGGGCAGCACTCACCACAACTCAGACTTGGCCTTCGCCACAACCGCCAAGTGAGCAGCTAGAAGACTAAGAGACTGGTGAATCGCGAAAAGCCTTGTCAACAAGTCTGGAGAGATGGAGTGATGGGAGATAATGAAGACCTTAGCAGCCGTGCCGGGTATAAAAACGGCTGAAGTTGCACAAACTCGTCGATAGCGATGGTAGGCGAAAGGGACCAACGCCGTTGGAGCCAGAAGGTATTTCGCATGATGAGCGCGCATCGAGATGCTCCATTTTCGATTCTCGAGGCATTGCTCGCCTTGCGTTCACCGCATTGAAAGCATGCGGAAAGCCAGAAAGGGGGGATTCATGCTTACAGAAAGTTTCTGTTGAGAAAGACCGCAGGTTGCGGCATGGCCAAACCATAGCGTTCGCCTCGCTGCTCTATGCCACGTGGCTGCACGAATGCACCAACAAATTGAATGCTCTTGGTAACAGCTTAGCAGCAGCAAGCGCAACAGTATATTCAATGTGGGGAGACACATCTTTGCGAGATGCCCTACCTACGCCCTACCTACGCCCTATCCACGCGTTTTCTTGGTAGGGAAAATGGCTCCAATGCATGACATGCTCGGGTAGATGCCGAAGATGACATGAACATAGTAATGGGTAGCAGAGGAGCTACCATCTCCTCCTGTAGAGAAAACGCGTGGGTAGGGCGTGGAGAAAAGCGAGGAGAAAGCACGAGGGTAAGGCGCAAGGCGAGGAGAAAGAAGGCGAGTAAGGCGCGGAGAGCGGCGGGAGAGTACAAGAGTGCGTAAAGAAGGCGAGGAGAAAGTGCGAGTGACATGACAGCTGGTGTGGTGTGGAAGAAGGGAGGAGTGAGGTGTGGTGGTGTGGTATGTGTTTAGGTCGGAAGCGATTAGACCTTTCTATTGCCAGGTTCGTGACAATGCTTTCATGGACTCCCTCGTCATAACAATTAAGTAATAGTAATAAAAACTATATAGAATTTTTAGTTTCTCCACTGACAGAGCCTTCTCTGCTCTCTTCCATGCTTTTTATCTGCTTTTACATTCAACGACAACACAAACTACATGATAGCGAAATAAAAGCAGCACCAAGTAAGCATTCACATCACAGATACCGTAACCAATTTCACTAGCAATAACAAATCCACAGGAGCTCTTCAGCAGGTAAACCAGCCCCTTCACCATGTGCTTGCTACCAATACTAATGCTGCTGCTGCTGCTCCTGCCCATGCGGTTGCTCCTGCTTCTCCTTCTGCTGCTCCTTCCCGTATCCTTTCTCTCCCTCTGAAGCATCTCCACCAGGTAAGCCAGCCCCTTCGCCACGTGCTTGCGGCTGTATGGCTCACCTGCCTTGGCCTCCGCTGCTGCTGCTACCCCTACTTCTGTTGCTGTTGCTACTGCTGCTACAACTACTGCTTCTGCTGCTCCTGCTGCTGCTGCTGCCGCTGCTGCTCCTGCTGCTGCCCATCTCCAACAGCAGGGCGCCGCCGGTAGGGCCGAATGCTCTCCACCAGGTAAGCCAGTCCCTTCACCACGTGCTTGCGGCTGTACGGCTCGCCTGTCTTGCCCACTGTTCTTGCCACTGCTACAACTACCCCTACTTCTGCTGCTGCTGCTGCTGCTGCTGCTGCTGCTGCTGCCCCTGCTGCTGCCCCTGCTGCTGCTCCTGCTTCTCCTTTCCGTCACCCCCCTCTCCAACAGCAGGGCGCCGCCGGTAGGGCCGGATACTCTCCACCAGGTATGCCAGCCCCTTCACCACGTGCTTGCGGCTGTATGGCTCACCTGTCTTGGCCAGGGCTACAACTATCCCTGCTTCTGCTGCTGCTGCTTCTCCTTCTGCTGCCTCTGCTCCTACTGCTGCTGCTTCTACTGCTGCTGCTGCTGCTGCTGCTCCTGATGCTCCTTTTCAGCCCCCTGTTGCCCCTCCTTTCCATCTCCAACAGCAGGGCGCCGCCGGTAAGGCCGAATGCTCTCCACCATGTAAGCCAGTCCCTTCACCACGTGCTTGCGGCTGTACGGCTCGCCTGTCTTGGCCAGGGCCCTCCCCCGCGCATCCAAAAGGACGTAGCATGGCACGTACTTGATGCTGTAGTGCCCCACCTGTGCGTGCAAAAGGGGAGTTTATAAAGGGGATAAATCGTAAATGGGCTCTTCCCCGCCCGTCCAGCAGCACGTAGCACGGCACGTACTTGATGCTGTAGTGCCCCACCTGGTGATGCAAACGGGGAGGTTTATAAAGGGGATAAGGCGTCAGAAGCTCTCCCCCGCGCGTCCAGCAGCACGTAGCACGGCACGTACTTGATGCTGTAGTGCCCCACCTTTGAAGCCAAACAGGGTGAGTTATAACGGGGATATTGAGTATAAGGGGACAGGAGAGGCAAGCGGCCCTTCCCCGCGTGTCCAGCAGCACGTAGCATGTAGCACGTAGCACGGAACATACTTGATGCTGTAGCGCCCCACCTGTGGGCAATGCATAGCGGGGCAGCTTATAGAGGGATAAGGCATCAACCGTCCCCCACTCCCCCCTCCCCCCCTGCCTAGCAGCACGTAGCACGGCGCGCCCCATCCACCTCCATACCCTAACGCAACACCAACCACCAAACTCTAAACCCCTTAACGTCAAGCAGCAACCTGCTGTTCTTCTGCCCACCCTTATTTGAATCCCAACCTTCAATCCCAAACCCGAAACCCCCTTACCTCGGGCAGCTATCTGCTGTTCTTCCACCCACCCTTATTTAAACCCCAACCTTCAATCCCAAACCCAAAACTCCATTACCCCAGGCAGCCATCGGCTGTTCTGCACGTCAGCGGTTTTTTGAGAATTCTCAAAAACCAAATCCCAACCTTCAATCCCAAACCCAAAACCCCCTTACCTCAGGCAGCTATCTGCTGTTCTTCCACCCACCCTTATTTAAACCCCAACCTTCAATCCCAAACCCTAAACCTCATTACCTCGGGCAGCCATCGGCTGTTCTCCACGTCAGCAGGGACCACGTTGAGCCAGTCAGCGTTGCGTCGCGCCAGCTCAGCGGTGAGCTGGCTGAGCGACCGGCAGAGGCGGCAGCGGCGTGCGTAAAACTGGATAAGAGTAGCTCGTTTCCCGCTAGCCAGGGCTGCTGCCAGCTGCCTCTCCTCTGCGTCAGGGAACTGGCGGAAGCGGGGGAGAAATGGGAAAAAACAGAGGGAGGAAGAGAAGAAAGGTGGTCGTAAGGCAGAGGCGACAGTGGCGGGTGTAGAACTGGATGAGAGTGGCTCGCTTGCCGCTGCCAGCTGCCTCTCCTCCGCGTCAGCCCGCTGGTGGGAAAAAGGGGGTTTGGGGGGAACATACAGCAGTGGTGGCAGCAGCGGGCGTAAAACTGAATGAGCGTGGTTCGCTTGCCGCTGGCCAGTGCTGCTGCCTGCTGCCTCTCCTCCGAGTCAGGGTACTGCTGGGGGAGTCCGTTGGATGGACAGAGAGAGACTGCAGTTAGCCATACAGCAGAGATGGGCAGAGGTAGGTAGCCATCCGTTGAATCCACAACTGGAGAAGTGTGGCGCACTTGCCGCTGGGGCGCTAGCTAGTGCTGCTGCGGACTGCCTGTCCTCCGAGTCAGGGAACTGGCGAGGGAATCCGTTGGATGGACAGAGAGAGAATGCGGTTAGCCATACAGCAAAGGAGGGCGTGAAACTGTATAAGAGTGGCTCGCTTGCCGCTGGCCAGAGCTGCTGCCAGCTGCCGCTCCTCAACGTCAGGGAACTGGCAGGGAAAGAGGTGGGGTGGGCTGGGGGGAGCATACAGCAGCGGCGGGCGTAGAAATTGCTGCTAGCGGAGGGAAAGAGGTGGGGTGGGATGAGGGTGGCGCGCTTGCTGCTAGCCAGTGCTGCTGCCAACTGCCTCTCCTCTGAGTCAGGCCACTGGTGGGGGAAGGGCGGGAAGTGGGGCAGGAATAGGGAAGAAGAGAGGGAGGAAGAGAGCTGGCTGAGTGACCAGCAGAGGCGGCAGCGGCTCGCGCAGAACTGGATGAGCGTGGCTCCTTTGCCGCTAGCTGGCACTGCTGCCAGCTGCCTCTCCTCCGCGTCGGGCCACTCGTGCGAGAAGGGGGGAAACGGGGGAGAGAACGGTCATGGGAAGACAGGTGGGCATGTGGTCGCTAGCTAGTGCCCTCCTGTCTCACTTCCGCCAGTGGCCTGCCAGCTGCCTCTCCTCCGCGTCGGGCCACTGGCAGAAGTGGGGGAGGAGAACAGAACGAGCAGACAGAGAGACATAATACACTCAAGTACCGGCAGAGGCAGCAGCGGCGGGCGTAAAAACGGGGAGCAGCAGCAGCGGTGGCGCCAGGCACTGGCCAGGGCATTTTGAGGCGCCTCAAAATGTACCGGCAGAGGCAGCAGCGGCGGGCGTAAAACTGGATAAGAGTGGCGCCAGGCACTGGCCAGGGCTGCTGCTAGCTGCCTCTCCAGGGAGTCAGCCCACTGGTGGGAAAAACGGGGTTTGAGGGGGGGGGATACAGCAGAAGCGGCAGCAGCGGGCGTAAAACTGGAAAAGAGTGGCGCGCTTGCCGCTGGCTAGGGCTGCTGCCCGCGAGTCTCACTCAAAGAACCGGCAGAGGCGGCAGCAGTGCGCATAGAACTGGAAAAGAGTGGCGCGCTTGCCGCTGGCTAGGGCTGCTGCCCGCGAGTCTCACTCACCCTGTGCAAGAGAGAGAGGGTTTAGGCTTTTGAATCGACTCAAGAGTCACCTAGTGCTACCCACTCTCACCTGCGAAAGAGAGGGAGGGTAAGCTTTTGAGGCGACTCATAAGTCATCAAGTGCCACTCACGCACCTGCGAAAGACCGGCTAGGCTGCTACTCGGCTTGCCCGCGCCAGCACCATCTGCTGCTGCTTTGAGGCGCCTCAGAAAGAGAGAGGGTAAGCTTCTGACTTGACTCAAAAGTCACCTCATCTCGTGCCACCGACTCACTTGCGAAAGAGAGGGTAGGCTGCTACTCGGCTTGCCCGCAGCAGCACCATCTGCTGCTGTTCCTGTTCCAGTGCCGCTGACGTCATCTTCCCTCCCCTTCCATAGACCTTTCATCGCTCGCCCGAGCTCCGCCACCTTCCTCGAAGCTTCCCTCAGCGGCATCTGCCAGGGTGGCGCGGCGCTCGAGTCGGCGTCGCCGGCTAAACGACCAGCCGAGCCGCTGCTTCCAGCTCCGTCCACGTCAGCCGCGCCGCCATTCCGCCATTCGCGGTTCGGGGATGCGCTCTTGGTAAGTTCTTCGGTTCCCGAAGTAGCTACTACAGCGGAAGGGGGTTCTATACGCGCTAAGGGCAGACGCGATGAAAAAGAAGCCCGTATCACTCCCACGCGACCTGCTGCTGCCGGCGCAATACGCGTTACGATGCCACCGTCCCCAGATGTGGCCTCTAACGCCGCCGCATACCTTCCGCCTTCCGCCATCCTTCCGCCGTCCGCCCGTTTGCCGCTGCGCTCCTCCGCAGTTCTAGAAGGCGGAACGAAGCTTCGGATCCGATCTTGAAACCCCTTTCCCCAACCTTCCACGATCTCATTCATAGTCCCTTTGCCCAGCGCCTTTTGAGACGTCTCAAAAGTCGTCCCCCGCGCTTTCCCCCATTGCTCCGCAACATTCCGATCCAGAAAGTCTTTCCCGAATCGCTCCGTACTATTCCGATCTAGGATTTTCTTTCCCCACCGCTCCACGTTCTCCGCGCCCTCGTTCCAGATCGCCGCGAAATTTAGGAGATTCGCTAAGGGAAGTGGCTCCTGGCCCGCCGTGTTTCGCGGAGCCATGGCGCAAGCTACTAGCCGACAGGCGTTGCACGTTGCTTCCTGCTCCTCGGCCCGAATTTTTTAGCCCGAGAGTATTCGCAGCTAGAAGCCGCACATCGCTCTCATCGCACAGTAGCAATTTCACCGTGAGACCAGGCACGAAACTTTCACAGCAACAGAAACGCAAATCCCGCTCGCACGATCATCTTTCAGCACAACTGCCATAGGGTCCAGTCCAAGTTCCAACTGCTGGGCGGAAGAAACCAGGTTACAATGCCGTGGAATTGCCAAAACCAGGTTCGTATTCCCTGGTCGAGGAAGTTCGCATAGCTTCCCAACCTGGAGAAGACACTGCTTCAACTTCGCTTTCAGCTCGCGAGATCTCGCGTACACGGACCAACGAGTTTCGCAACAGGAGCTGGGGCAGGCGAAACATGTTGCAGCCCTAGATTGCTGATGAACAGCGCCGCACGGAAATGAAACTCAGATGAACAGTGCGGATTATACGACAACTCGGAACGTGAGTTCCAAAATGGTAACCCTCCCCGTTTCGCGAAAGCTTAACAGCGACACCAGTCAAGCAGGCGCAACTTTTAGGTTTTCCAGAATTCACGGACTAGGAGCCGCATTTGGCTTGGGGCCTCTCGTGTGAGTCTGGTGCCTTGCGTCTAGGGGGAGTCTCGCAGCGCGTTTACGAGTCGCTAGTTCCAGAAGAGGCTCCGCGCCTGCGAGTCGCTGAAGGCTTGTTCTAGTTGTCGTAGTTACGGTCTCCATGACTTTTTACTGTCACTTTTTCTGACTGGCTTTTTCTGACTGACTTTTTCTGACTGACATAGATTCCATTGCCATAGTGAACGCGTGCCTTCTCAGTTCCTTGATTGACCTAAACTCCCGTTGGCATTTATTTTATTGACAGTAGCATCCAGTGACATGTTGAATGTAGAATTCATGGAAGCAGCAGGCATGCGGAATCATTTATCCGCGCTACAGGGCGACAGCGGCCAGTGAAGACAGGGCTTGTTAAAAAACGAACTCCCACCGCCACTGAATAACAGTCGCAAATAATTAGGATTCGCGAATTCGCCGCACGGAGCGAGAGTTACCCGGTTACAGACCAGACAACACGCCTCACGATGGAGGCAGCGGGCACGCGCAACCGCTCCTCCGCGCGCCACGGCGCGGCGGCAGCGTTCAGCGGAAGCGTGCGCCGATGGCGCAAGCAGTGGACCGCCGTAGGGCCCACCCGCCGCCTGCTCGTCCTCAGATGGACTCCGCAACCCCCCCGCCCATCAGGTACTTCCCTCTCTCCCTCAAACATGCACCGACACCAACATGTATCAGCGGAAGCGTGCGGCGATGGCGCAAGCAGTGGACCGCCGTGAGATTCACGCGTCGCCTGCTCGTCCTGATATGGACGCCGCAACCCCCCCGCCCATCAGGTACTTTCAAAGGTATCAGGTGAAGTGCACCGGCAGAGTGAAGCGTGCGCCGATGGCGCAAGCAGTGGACGGCCGTGGGCCCCAACCGCCGCCTGCTCGTCCTCCACTGGACCCCACAACCCCCCCGCCCGTCAGGTATGATACGATGCGCTTTCTCCATGTCCCGCTTTTGGGCCGACTCAAAAGTCGCTTTCGCCATGTGCCGCTACGTGCCTGTAAGAAGGTGACTTTTGAGTCGTCTCAAAAGTCACCCCATCAGGTACGATATGATGTTCTTTCGCCATGTCCCGCTACCTGCTTGTGAGACTGTAAGTCGACATGAAGCAGTGGACCGCCGTGGGACTCACGCGATGCCTGCTCGTCCTCAGATGGACCCCGCGGCCCCCCCTGACCACAGGTATGCGCCCCCACCAGGTATGCGCGCCCACCAGGTATGCGCCCCCACCAGGTATGCGCCCCCACCAGGTATGCGCCCCCACCAGGTATGCGCCCCCACCAGGTATGCGCCCCCACCAGGTATGCGCGCCCCCCGCCCTACAGGTATGCGCCCTCTTTTCCCATTTCAGCCCTCTCCCGTGCCTCTAATGGAGGGCAGGACCGCAGGACTGTAAGTTGCAGCAGCAGTTCACCGCCGTGGGGCCAACCCGCCGCCTCCTTGTCCTCCGCTTGACGCCTCAGCCAGCCCCCCCGACCATCGGGTACTTCGCGCGGCTTTTCCGCCCATACAGGCACTGGCGGTGCGCCCCGCACATACAGGTACCTGAGTGCCCCAGATGCCACGAGCGCAAGTTGCAGTGCAGCGCTGTGAGGCCCACCAGCCCGCCGCCTGCTCGTGCTCCGGTGGACGCCGCCCCCCCCCCCCCCCCGCACAGCAGGTACGTGTTATGAATCAATGCACAATATTCCACTGAAAATCACTTATGAGGATTTTCAAAAGTGAATTTCCATGTGACCTTCCATCCAGTGTGCATGAAACTGTTTTTGCTCTAGGCTAGCTTGTCGTAAGACTTTTTGCACGCTTAACCCTAAACAATGGGTCACTCATGTTTATCATAAACGCTCCATGTTCAACCTTCAATAGCAGAAGTGAGATTACAAATAGTGATTTCACTCAACCTTCTTGTTTGCCCTTCTTGCCTTTGCATGATCTCCGTTTGTGCCCATCCCCACATTTTCCGGTTGATCACAACCGTCCATTCAGATTCAAACTGCCTCTCCATTCGTCGGAAACCAAAGTACATTCCGGTAAGATATTGTGTTCATGAATCATGATTCTTCTTGCACAAGCCGCTCTTCATGCAACTTCCGTACATTTGCCTTCGTAAGTGGCTTGTGTGTGTGTGTGTGTGTGTGTGTGTGTGTGTGTGTGTGTGTGCTGTTCCAATGTAGTCGTGCATCTTGTTACCCCATACAGCAACTTTTTTTCCCAATGCCACCTCTTTTTCCACAGGAGGTTCGACTACTTGCCTTGAAATCGCCCGGAGGGGGTTCGAGAGGGGAAGCAGGAGGAGCAACGAGTATTGGGGCTTGGAGGTGCAGTGAAGGTCGCAACACAGGCACCCGGGCGCGGGGTTGGGGGTACTCCCCTCTTGAGGCGCCTCAAAAGTACTCCCCTCTTGCTCTCTCCCACTCCGGTCTTATCACGCTTCAACTGTCCTGCCCTGTCCCGTCTTCCGCCCAACCCCATCCCTCCTTGCTCCCCAGGAGGTTCGGTTACTTGCCTTGCAATCGCCTGGGGGAGGGTCGGGAGGGGAAGCAGGAGGAGCAGCAAGTATTGGGCTTGGAGGTGCAGTGAAGGTCGCAACACATGCACAGGGGCATGGGGTTGGGGGTGTTGGTAGGGATGTAGGGATGCGTGGGGGAGGGGAGGGGGATGGGGAGGAGAATGGGGAGGAGGAGGGTGGAGAGGGGGTTGGAATGGCGATAGATGTTGAGAAAGGGGATGGAGGGGGAGGGAAGGGGGGAGAGGGGGAGGGAGAGTTGGAGGAGGAGGAGGAGGAGAGGAGGAGCAGGAGGAGGAGGAGGGAGGACAGGAAGGGGAGGAGGAGGTGGGGGGCGAGGAGGAGGAGGAGGAGGAGGAGGAGGAGGAGGAGGAGGAGGGAGGGGAGGGGGAGGAGGAAGGGGAAGAGGAAGAAGAGGAGGAGGAGGAGGAAGAGGAGGAGGAGGTGGTGGGAGTGGAGGGGTCAACTCCGATGATTGATGATACAGAGGCTGAAGAGGAAGCAGAGGAGGTGGAAGAGGAAAATGAGGGAGAGGAGGGAGATGAGGGAGAAGGGGAAGATGAGGGCGAAGAGAACGAGGGGGGGAGAGGAGGGGAATGAGGGTGAGGGAGTGGAAGGGGGGTTAGAAGGAGAGGGCAGAGGGAATGGAGAAGGGAACGAGGAAGAGGAGGATGGAGATGAGGAAGAGGAGGAAGAGGAGGTAGATGAGGAAGAGGAGGGGAATGCACAAAAGGGTGGGGAGGGAGATGAGGGAGGAGAGGAGGAGGGAGCGGATGAGGGAGATGAGGAGGGGGAAGAGGAAGAGGGGATGGAGGAGGAAGAGGAGGAGATAGAGGAGAAAATAGGTGATGATGGGATGGGGGAGGCTCAAGAGGTGGAGAATGATGAGTATGAGGGAGAGGAGGGCGGGGACCAAGAGGAGGAGGAAGGGGACGGGGAGCATGAGGAGGAGGTGGGAGAGGGAGAGGAGGAAGAGGGAGAGGGGGGTGAGGAGGAAGAGGGGGAGGGAGAGGGGGAGGGAGAGGAGGGAGATGGGGAGGGAGATGGGGAGGGAGATGAGGAGGGAGATGAGGAGGGGGAAGGTGAGGACGAATGACATATGCAAGGAGGTGCAAGGAGAGGGAGCAAGTAGCAATGAAAATGGTGATATGAATGGTGATGGCGATGGTGATGGTGATGGTGATGGTGATGGTGATGGTGATGGTGATGGTGATGGTGATGCTGATGCTGATGCTGATGCTGATGGTGATGGTGATGCTGATGGTGATGGTGATGGTGATGGTGATGGTGATGATGGTGATGATGATGGTGATGCTGATGCTGATGGTGATGGTGATGGTGATGGTGATGGTGATGGTGATGAAGAGCACAGGTAACTTTTGAGACGTCTCAAAAGATCATAGGTAACAGGGTAACAGGGTAATGTGTGATTGATCAAAGGAGCAGCACGAGGAGGCCTGCTCCAAGCAGCTCTAAGTACTAGCACGTCTTATCATTAGTGTTCCATGTGTGTCACACACTAAGTGCAGGCACAGTAGAGGGAAGTTTCAAGGATAAGTCCATTAGTGTTGATCAACGTCCCTCGATAAAAGTCGAGGGATTCCCACAAACCTCAATCGTTGGATACCTGAAAGTCCAACAATCCTAGGGCTGAGATCCATCGACATCTCTTGGCAGTTCTCAGATTAGGGCCAAAGAGTGCCCCACGCCTTGTCTTTCTCTCATATCCATTGTGCATACCACGTTCGCATTAGTGCATACAATCCATACCACAAAACGGTATGTTTGCTCATTCTCGGTTAGTGAACAAAATAGTGGCCAACCTTGCACTTTATTTGCTCTATGCTTTATGCTGTACATGATGGCAATTACGGTAGATAGGAGCCTGTCAAACTATAAGAGAGCAAACCAACTTCCACACTACCGTCATCGCCCGGATATAAGACATATGTCTTATCTCGTACACGGGCAAAAATGCTTGAGTTATCTTGTAAACGGGATGGTTTAGGGTGTCTTATAAATCTTATAAATGGACAAAGAACCGTTTAGAAGATACCCCCTCGCTATACATTTGCCCCTAACTCCTACACTTTCTTAACCCGTACACACAAATAGGTGTCTTATAATGAGGCTAGCCTGTTTATAAGAGACACCCGTATAATAGACAACCCCTGTCTACTATTCAACACTGTCTTATATCCGGGTGATGACGGTATTAAGAAAAAAGATACTGTACACATTTCTTAGTTCCAATACCCCATGTTTCGAGCTCCACCACCACCACCGCCTTGGCCCATCTCAGCCGTCCGTTGCGGGGCCTGCAATCTGGACCGTCGCTGCACAGCCCTCTCCTGAAGCTCCATCTTAGACGCAATCAACGACTCTCGATCCCTCTGCTGCCCAAACGCCTGATCTGGACCGTTGGCTCGGCGCCGCTCAGCCCGATCCTCCTCCCGAACCACCTCGGCTCGGCCTGCCATAGCTGCAGCTCCGGCAGAAGTGGCTGCTAGTGCTCTCTGTGACGCTGCTGCTGCTGCAGCCGCCGCTGCTGCGGCTGCTGCTGCTGCTGAAACCGCTTGCCCTGCAGCCATCCTAGGAGGGGACCCTCCTTGATACCCCCCTCTCCTCCCATCCCCTTCTCCCCCTCCTCCCATCCCTCCTCCCATGCCGCCTCCCATCCCTCCCATCCCTCCACCCCCTCCCATCCCTCCCATCCCTCCAACCATCCCTCCTCCCATCCCTCCACCCATTCCTCCTCCCATTCCTCCTCCCATACCTCCTCCCATTCCTCCTCCCATACCTCTCCTGTCAAGATCCCTGCCCTTAGCTGAAGAAGTGGTTCGGGAGGTGTGGCTTTCGCTCCATTTACCCCCACCCCCACTCGCCCCAGCCCTGGGATACGGGCTCTGTCCATACCTACTCACAAACCCCCCATCTCTCAAATTCACCCCACCCAGACCCGCCCCCACACTCCCTTTCAGCATAGAAGAAGTGACAGACCCCCCACCTTCTCTCGAGCTCCCCCCGATCATACTCTGCCCAATCCCCGAGCCTTCGCGGCCCACTCCCGGACCTCCGCCGAACCTGCCGCGGCTCCGGGCGTTCGTGCTCTCGCTCTCGCTGTAGCTCTCCTCGCCGAACCTGCTCTCGCTGGTAACCGCACCGCCGAACCTGCTCTCGCTGGTAACCGCACCGCCGAACCTGCTCTCGCTGGTAACCGCACCGGCCAGGAACTCCGGGCGGCGCTGCGGGGCGACTCGTGCTGCTACAGTGCCCCGCACCCCTCCTCCTGCTCCTCCTCCTGCTGCCGCTCCTGCTGCTCCTCCCATCCCTCCTCTTCCTCCGTCCCCTATCCCTCCCACTCCTTGATTTCCGCTTTGCATTTGCCCTCCCGCTCCTCCTCCTCCTAACCCTAGTGCGGCTAGAGAGGATGCATTGCCCATCCCTCCAACCCCCCCCAATGCTCCAGTCCTCATTCCCATGCCTGTTGCTCCCAAGCCTGCTGCTCCCAAACCTGTGGCTTCCAAACCTGCTCCTCCCAAGCCTGCGGTTCCCATACCTGCCAAACCCATCCCTGCTCGATTCATCAAACCTCCTCCCAACCCCCCAACGCCAGCACCCATACCAGCAGCACTTAGCCCACCACCATTTAACCCCAAATTTCCCACACCACCACTTAACCCCAGATTTCCGACACCACCGGCACTTAACCCCATCGCTCCCACACCACCAGCACTTAACCCCGCGCGACCAGCCATACCTCCCCCTAAATTCCTCCCCAACCCTCCTGCTGCCAGCAATTGCTGCTGCTGCTGCTGCTGCTGCCGCTGCTGCTGAAGCTGCTGCTGCTGCTGCAGCTGCTGCTGTTGCTGCTGCCTAGCTTGTATCTGAGCGTGTGTCTGAGCTAGCAGCATCTGCTGCTGCTGAATCAGGTACTGAAGCTGCTGTGCTTGAGAGGCCCCTGTAGGGGGCGGAGGGACCAAATTCCCACCTGAAATTCCACCTGGTGCTCCTCCTGCCACCCCACCAGCTGCCTGACCGGCAAACCCGCCTCCTCCTAATCCACCTACCCCAATTCCACCTGCCCCAATACCGCCTCCTCCTAATCCACCTGCCCCGATACCACCTACCCCAAGCCCACCTGCCCCACCTGCCCCAATACCATTCGTCCCACCACCACCAATACCACCAAAACCACCACCAGCACCAGCACCAGCACCAGCAGCACCACCACCAGCAGCACCAGCATTACCACCTGTTCCCACGTTCTGCCTCAGAAAAGCTCCGCCATTACCCGCTACAGTGGCACTCGCTATAGGCCTCCTTCTCCCCGCAGCCACAGCAGCAGCAGCAGCTGCTGCAGCGGTGGGGGGAAGTGTTGCCCCTGCTCGTGTCCCTTGTCTTGCTCCAGGATGCATGCTGCTGCTGCTCGTACTGCCCACTCCAAACCCTGCTGCTCCTCCCATTCCTCCTCCCGTCCCTCCTCCCATCCCTCCTCCCAAACCTCCTCCCAACCCTCCCGCCAACCCTGCGCCTGCTCCTGCTCCTCCCAGACCTCCGTAGCTGCTCAGCAGCTGCTGCTGCTGCTGTTGCTGCTGGTGCTGCTGCTGCTGCTGCTGCAGCTGCTGCAACTGCTGAAAGGACGAACCCCCAAGTCCACCCATCCCACCTGTCCCACCCAACCCTCCCCCCATTCTTCCTCCCACTCCTCCCAAACCACCTGCCAAACCTCCTCCCACACCTCCTCCCAATCCTCCTGCCAAACCTCCGCCCAAGCCTCCAGCCCCTCCCAACCCCCCTCCCACTCCCCCAACACCCGCCCCACCACCCAACGCTGCATTATAAGCACCTCCGTTATAAGCCAAATTCCCTCCTAAAAGCCTCCCCCCTTGAGCCAAATTCCTCTGGGGGTTAGAAAAAGAAGACAGGGAACTGCCCCCTATAGAACCCGGCCCTCCCATTCCCGCACCCGTACCCCTATACGAGTAAGCGTTATTACCCAAATTATACCCTGTGCCCGCTGCCCCTGCAGGGTTACCAGCCCCTGTTAAACCGCCTAAACCAGTCCCACCTACCCCAGTATTACCTGCAGCACGGGCAGTAAGATAGCGCAGTGCTGCTATGTTAGCAGCAGTTGCTCCTGTCAACCCCCCTGCTGCCCCCCCTCCTCCTGCTAACCCTCCTGCTGCCAAACCTGCCCCTCCCATTCCTCCCATCCCTCTTAACCCTCCCATCCCTCCTCCCATCCCTCCCACGCCCCCCACTCCTCCCATCCCCCCTCCCACCGGCGCAGTCCCCCCTCTCAACGTCACCACTCTCTGTGCATGAAAATCAGTCGTTCCCGTACCTGTTTCCGTACCTAAATCCGAGCCAGTCCCAGTCTCAGTCCCACTTTCCGAACCTGTCCCAGTGCTGCTCGTACCCGTTACCGTGCCCATGCCTCCCCTCCCTCCCCTCCCTGTCCCTCCAGTTGTCTTCGAATAAATCGAAAGCTCATCACCAGAAGACCTCCCAGATACGTATGAAGACTCAGCGATCGACCTATTTCTAGGGAAACCCCCTCCTCCCCCTCCCCCACCGCCACCACCACCACCGTTACCGGCACGAGCAGAAGCAGTTGCTGCTGCTGCTACTGCCGCCGCCGCCGCCGCAGCAGCAGTGGTGGGGGGTAGACCAGCGTTCAGAAAGTACCGGTTATAAGCTTCTCTCATAGCCGATTCTCTTGCTGCTGCCTCCTCTCTAGACATACCCCTCCTCCTCCCACCCCTCGTCGCCCCAGTAACACCAGTCATACCAGTTACTCCCGTTACTCCTGTAACACCAGTAACACCGGTAACACCTGTAGCACGGCTATACCCCCCGACACTACTAGCAGCACCCCCATACACGCTCCCAGCTCCCCCGTACACGCTCCCAGCTCCCCCATACACGCTCCCAGCTCCCCCATACACGCTCCCAGCTCCCCCATACACGCTCCGATCCTCCCTCCCATCGTAAAACATCGAGGTTCGGAAGCTTCTAGTGGTTCCCGGTGTCCTAGCCATACTTGCACCCCCTGGGGTTCTAGCAGTGCTCGCCCCGCCAGGAGTCCTGGCACCGCGCCGAACCGCTGCAGACCTAGGCGAATACACAGTCGGCTCGTAATCATCATACTCATCATCGTACTCATCATCGAATTCCCCCTCTTCCCCTTGATAATCCTCCTCATCCCCCGTGTAGGTCATGCTCCCGCTCACCGACCCTGATTCGCTGTAGCTGCTTGGCCGGGCGGGCACTACGAGACGCTGAACTCCGCCTGAGAGCTTGGACGGGGCGGGGAATCCAGGGGCGGGAAAGCCAGGGGCGGCGGCTCCGGCAGCTTGTGGGGGGATACCTGCGAGCAGCGCTGCTACCCCGCTCCCCATGGATATTAACCCTCCCGGTGCCCCTGAATTGGGGTTAGATTGCCCAATTCCCCCTCTCCCAACTCCCCCACTCACACCACTCCCGGCTCCTTGCAGCAATCGTGACCCAGGGAGTTCTATAAACTCAGAAATTGCTTCTTTCAGCTTTGGAAACTGCACCGGTTTCCCCAGGAACCCGTCCATTCCCACCGCATAGCACCGCTCTTCATCCTCTTTAAGAGCGTTTGCGGTAACGGCAATGATGGGGAGGCGAGGCAGGACCCCTCGGCGTGAGGAGAGGGGGAGGTTGGAGGGGGGCTGCCAGGCAATTCCAGCTTTCTCATCCTCTGCTGGCGCTCCCCTGTGCTTTGCTCGCTCCACCTCCTCCTCTGGATACACTCCGGTCCGTTCATACTGCCGAATCAAATAGGCTGCCTGGCGGGTGTGGGTTAGGGATAAACAGGGCAAGCGGTGGGAGGAAGACGAGAGAGAGGGGGAGGTTGGAGGGGGGCTGCCAGGCTATTCCGGATTTCTCATCGTCTGCCGGCGCTCCCCTGTGCTTTGCTCGCTCCACCTCCTCCTCTGGAAACACGCCCGTGCGCTCGTACTGCCGAATGAGATAGGCTGCCTGGTGGGTTTGGGTGTGGTGTGGGATGTGTTGGAAGCAGGGGGGAATAAGTCAGCCTAACCAGACTCGCTCCCCTGTGCCTTGCTCGCTCCACCTCCTCCTCAGGAAACACCCCCGTGCGCTCATACTGTCGGATCAGGTAGGCCGCCTTTTGTTGGATTGGGTTGGGTTAAGTTGGGTTCGGTATGGCATGGTTTGGGAGCATGGGTAGGACAGAAGCAGGAAAACAAGTGAGCCCCGTCATGTGCTTTGCTCGCTCCACCTCCTCCTCTGGAAACACGTCCGTGCGCTCATACTGCCGAATGAGATGGGCAGCCTGTGGCTGGGGTTGGTGTATGGGTCTAACACACTCTGAGTCAAGACGAGTGAACAAGGGAGCCAACGAGCGAGTCAACCCAAGTCAACCCAAGTCAACACCTACCTGCAGCCCATCCATGAGCGGCATGCAGAGGTCCGACAGCAGCATGTCGAACCGCTCCCTCTTCACCGCGTCTACCTCTAATATGCGTCAACCTGAGTCAACCTTGTTTGACAGACTAGGAGAGTCAAACCGAGTCAAACAGAGTCAAGGCCTACCTGCAGCCCGTCCATGAGAGGCATGCAGAGGTCCGACAGCAGCAGGTCGAACCGCTCCCTGCGCACCGCTTCCAACGCCTCCACACCGTTCTTGGCCACTGTGGCTCGCAGGCCCAGGCGCTTGAGCATGGAGAGCAGCACCATCACGTTGACCTGGGGGCAGCAAATCAATGAATGAAAAAATGATGGTGGGGAGGGGGGGAAAATGAGGAGGGAGGCCTAGGGGGCAACACCACCACATGCACCATGGCTCGCAGCCCCAGGCGCTCGAGCATGGAGAGCAGCAGCATCACGTTTACCTGTCAGTGGGATTTCAACGAATGAAGAAGTGATGGGGGGGAGGGGGGGTCATGAGGGGGCAATACCACCACATGCACCATGCCTCGCAGGCCCAGGCGCTCGAGCATGGAGAGCAGCAGCATCACGTTCACCTGGGGGCAGCAAATCAAAGGGGGAATGGTGGGAAGGGGAAAGGTGAGGGGGGTTAGGGGTCATGGGGAGATAGGGAGCAACGCTATCACATTCGTCACTGTGGCTCGCAGCCCCAGGCGCTTGAGCATGGAGAGCAGCACCATCACGTTCACCTGCAGTTGATGAGGGAGTGGGGAGTAGAGGCGTGAATGGGGGAGGTCAAGGGTGAAACATGCTGTGATAAGGGGGCAACACTGCCACATTCACCGTCGCTCACAGCCCAGGCGCTTGAGCAAGGGCCCAGGCGCTTGAGCAAGGGCCCAGGCGCTTGAGCATGGAAAGCAGCACCATCACGTTGACCTGCAAACATATTGAAGCAGGAGCGGAGCGGAGAGGGCATGACATGGCATGGGAAGGATACGGGTTGTTTTCGGCCAAGAGAATCACTCTGGGCCTTTGGCCGAGGCGGGGCGACAGAGAAAGCAGCGGCCCAGTTTCTTCCCCTTCAGTCTCCATATACACACGCCACCCCACCCCAACCCACCCCACCTGAGCACTCACGGGGTTGTCTTCAGCCAGGAGTATCTTCACCTCTGGGCCTTTGGCAGAGGCGGGGGGCAGAGAAGGCAGGGGCTTACCCCACCCCACCCCACCCCACCCCACCCCACCCCACAACCCAGGCATAACCTCAGGACTCACGGGGTTGTCTTCAGCCACTAGAATCTTCGTCTCTGGGCCTTTAGCCGAGGCAGGTGAAAGGGAAGGCAGCGGCTCAGATTCTTCCTCTCCCGGTCGCCCCAGCACACCCCACCCCACCCCAGCACACCCCACCCCATCCCACCGCAGCACAACACTCACAGGGTTGTCTTCAGCCACCAGAATCTTTGTCTCTGGGCCTTTGGCTGAAGCAGGCGACAGGGAAGGCAGCGACCCAGGAGCACCCGCCAATGCGCCGGCACCAGACGCACCTCCCCAGGTAGCCCCTCCCCTGACCCCCCCACCTCCCCTTTCATCGCCTTGGCTCTGGCCAGCAGCCCTGCCAACCCCCCTCCCACCACCCCCGCTCCCGCTGCTCCCGCTCCCGCTCCCGCTGCTGCTGCTGCTGCTCCTGCTGCTGCTGCTGCCGCTCCCCGTGGTTGTCGCAGGTGCTTTGGCGTGATCGCAATCGGCGAGTCATTCGTATACTCACTCTCACAATCCCCCTCCTCTTCCTCCTCCTCTTCAGTATACTCCTCCTCTCCCTCTCCCCCTCCACCCCCCACCTGCCCCATATGCTCCCTCACAGGGGACAGCGCCCGAGCCACCGACCCAGGCGAAGGTCCCGACACAGACACACTCTTGGGAAACCCAAACGGCGCGTTCACAGCCGCAGCAATCGCGCTCGCACCCGTGGGCGACGCGGGGCGGGAGCGGGGAGTGGTCCGCTGGCAGCACACGGAAAACGCAAACACTGACCCGGTCCCGACCTTGGATTTTATCGCCATCTTCCCGTGCATAAGCTCTACTAGCTGTCTGCAGATAGCCAAGCCCAGCCCAGTGCCCCCGTAGGCTCGCGTCGGGCCGCCTTCCACCTGGGTGAATTTCTCAAAGAGGAGCGGGAAGGCATCTTTGGGGATACCCACGCCTGTGTCGTGGACCTCGCACCACAGCCACACGTCCATGTCTCCGCCTATCTGTCTTTCTGCTGCTGCTGCTGCTGCTGCTGCTGCGGCTTTCCCCTTCCCTTTCTCTCCCCCCGCTGCTGGGACGATAGAGCCCCAGAATCCCCCTCCTGCTCCTCCCCCTCCAGGTCTCAGCACCCCGGACTCCTCCTCCCCTCTCGTCCTCTCGCTATCCCCATCCTCCTCCTCGTCCTCCTCCTCATACTCTTCAGTCGGAAGTTCCGCCAATAGCGGTGCAGCCTGCTCCAAACTCCCCAAACTAGCCAGCTTTTTCAAGTGCTCCTCCGTAACATCGGACAAAAGCGGTAACCGCCCGCTTCCTCCTCCTCTCCCGCCCTTGTTATGACTATGCATCTCAACAGCCAGCCCTTTCCCCCGGCCTAAGGTAGCAGCAGCACCAGACCCTCCTGCTGCTCCTCCTCCTGCTCCCCCCCCTCCCGGAACATTCCAACCCCCCACAGCATACGCACCAGTAGCCTTCACGATAGCAGCAGAGGGATCCCTATCGTGTGCCGACACCCGCAGCAAGATGTGCCCCGTGTGCGTGAACTTAATCGCATTGAGAACCAGGTATTTGATCACCTGCCGCACGCGCAGCTCGTCTCCTATAATCTGCGTCGGGATATCCGGGGAAATATCCGCTAGGACTTTAATCCCCTTCTCTTTAGTCGCAGCCATGGCCATTTTCAAGATATGATTCACCACGGCGACGGGCTCAAAGGGATGCTCCTCCAGCTTCATCTCTCCAGCCTCCATACTCGCAAGATCCAGAATATCCGCGAGAATATCCGATATGATCACGCCGGAAGACATCATCGTCTCCACGATCTCGCGCTGCTCCTCATCCAACGCTCCAGATTCGAGCAGGACTTCGGCCAATCCGAGGATCCCGTTGAGGGGCGTGCGGATCTCGTGGGACATGATGGCGAGGAACATGGACTTGGCGCGCATGGCGTCCTCTGTGAGCTCGTATGCGCGCCGCAGCTCCTTCTCCGTTGTGCTGCGCACCATCATCTCGGCTCTTAAAGCCATCAGCCGCTCCTTGTACTGCGCCTGGCGTGTTTGGATGGGAGGAGGGTTGGTGGGTGGGGTAGGTGGGGGGTGGGAGCCAGGAGGGGGATATGGGGGGAACAAGGAGTGATGGAGGCACAGAGCAGCTCCTTCTCCGTTGTGCTGCGCACCATCATCTCCGCCCTCAGCGCCATCAGACGCTCCTTGTACTGCGCCTGGGGGGGGGAAGGGGGAGACACAGGGTACAGCAGCAGCGGCAGCAGCAAGAGGGAGTGGGGAATGGAGGTCAGCCGGGGTTGGAAAGAGCAGCTCCTTCTCCGTTGTGCTGCGCATCATCATCTCCGCCCGCAGTGCCATCAGCCGCTCCTTGTACTGCGCCTGGTGGGGGGGGGGGGGGTGGAGGGGAAAGGGGGGCGGGGGGGGGGGGGGGGAGGCGGGGGAGGATGGGGGAATCAGCAGCAGCAGCAGGAGGAGGGACAGCAGGCAGCAGCGGGGTTGTGCTGTTGTGCTGCGCACCATCATGATCATCTCCGTCCTCAGCGCCATCAGCTGCTCCTTGTACTGCGCCTGGTGGGGGGAGAGGGGAGAGGGGAGAGGGGAGAGGGGAGAGGGGAGAGGGGAGAGGGGAGAGGGGAGAGGGGGGGGCGGGAGGTGGGGCAAGGGGGAGGGAGATGGGTGGAGGAGGGAGGGAGAGGGAGAGGGAGGAGGGGGGGGAGGGAGCTAATCACAGTTGTATCCACGCTTGATGCAGGCCGAGCAGTCGTCATCACACCCACACCATGAATGCCTCGCTCACGCACAATACATACAAATAGATATTCCCCTTTCTCCTCTTTGACTTTTGAGTTGACTTAAGTCAACTCAGCAGTCATCACCTCCTCACCATGAATGTCTCGCTCACACACAGTACATACAAACAGATATTCCCCATCCTCCTCTTCCCTCACCCACCCTCCCTCCACCCCCCTATCCCCCCTCTTGGTAATACCTCTTCAGTTATATCCACGCTCGATGTAGTCACGCCCACAGTCCGTCCCTTCTCGTCTCTGATTGGCCGGGCAGTCGTCACCCAAACCATGGGGGGCCTTCCAGGAAGCTGCCACACCACCTCGCCGCGCTGCGCCTTGCCTGTGGCCAGCGCCCGCTGCTTGATCTCCATCGCCTCCTCCACTCCCAGGGTGCCACGTGGCAGAATGTCATAGTCCCTCTTGCCTATCATATCCTGGTTCAATGGGGAGCGAGGTTGAGGGAGGGGGTGAGGGAACGCGAGAAACAAGAAAGAGAGGGGGGGTTGAGGGAAGGGGAGGTGGTGGGGAAAGGGGAAAGAGGAGCTTAAGCAGAGAAGGGTTGAATGAGGGGTTTGGAGGGGTAGGAAGTGGTGGCAGTGGGAAGCTGCCACACCACCTCGCCCCGCTGCGCCTTGCCTGTGGCGAGCGCCCGCTGCTTGATCTCCATCGCCTCCTCCACTCCCAGAGTGCCACGTGGCAGGATGTCATAGTCCCTCTTCCCTATCATGTCCTGATTGGATGCGGAATAGAGGATAGAGCACGGCACGCAATTTGGAAATCGTCATTGTACAGTAATAGTCCCTCCCTTCCTCTTTTGAGGCGCCTCAAAAATACTGTCATAGTGCCTCCCTTCCTCTTCTTCCCTATCATGTCTTGATTGATTAGGATCACAAAGAAATGTGGAAAGATAGAGAGAACTCTAGCAATACGCAAGGTGCTAAGACTGAATTCTGAGTTGACTCGAAACCCTCCATCTTCCATAAGAACGCATTCACCTGAGCTCTGTTGTTCTCACCTGATTGACCAGCAGGTTGTGGTTGAACACCCAGGTGTATCTCAAACTCGTATCCAGGTGCGCAATCATAAACGGCGCTCTCTCCAAAGCCACCTCAAGATTCACCTGACCTCTGTTGTTCTCACCTGATTGACCAGCAGGTTGTGGTTGAACACCCAGGTGTATCTCAGGCTCGTATCCAAATGCGCAATCATAAACGGCGCTCTCTCCAAAGCCACCTGAAGATTCAACCCGTCACTCGCCCCGCCCACCCCCCCTCCTCCTTTTCCGCCTCCCTTCCCCCCCACGCGCCCCGCTCCCCCCCCAGCAGCCCCGGCAGCATCGGGAAAATAACTCCCAGCGCCCATCCGCCTAGCAGACCCTAACCCTAACCCTAACGCGGCCAAATCGCCCCCACTGCTGCTGTTCAGATTATTATCCATATTCATGGTACTCATGGTGATGTTCCCAGCAGGATCCAGCCCCAGAGCCCCTCCGAGTGCTGCCCTGCCGCTGCTGGTGCCGGCGAGGGAGGAGCATTCGTGGAGGGCGCGGTCTAGGCGGAGCTTGACGTCTGTTAATTGCTGCTCCAGGGCTGCAAACGCTGCTGTGTCGCCCTGTGGTTGAGTGAAGGGAATGGAAGCAGGGGCAGGGAGGGATTGGGCACGCATTGGGCTGTGCCGGCGAGGGAGGAGCATTCGTGGAGGGCGCGGTCTAGGCGCAGCTTCACATCTGTGAGCTGCTGTTCCAGGGCGGCAAAGGCGGCCGTGTCACCCTGGGGAGTGGTGAAGACAGGAGCGGAGTGAGGGATGAGAGAAGAATGGGGAGGGAGCGAGGGAGGAGCACTCTTGGAGGGCGCGATCTAATCGGAGCTTCACGTCTGTGAGCTGCTGCTCAGTGCTGCAAAGGCCGCTGTGCCGCCCTGTGAGGGAGTGGGAACACATAGTGCACAGGGAGGGGGCGAGGGGCAGGGGGTGAGTGGAGAGCATTCTTGGAGGGCGCGGTCGAGAGGAAGCTTGACGTCCGTCAGTTGCTGTTCCAATGCTGCAAAGGCTGCTGTGTCACCCTGAGAGAGGAGAGTGGGAGAAGGGAGGAGCATTCGTGGAGGGCGCGGTCTAATCGGAGCTTGACGTCTGTCAGCTGTTGTTCCAACGCTGCAAACGCTGCTGCGTCGCCCTGAGAGAGGGAATGGGGGCAGAGGAAGGGAGCACATTGGGCAGGGAGCAAGGGAGGAGCATTCGTGGAGGGCGCGGTCTAATCGCAGCTTGACATCGGTCAATTGTTGTTCCAGGGCTGCAAACGCTGCTGTGTCGCCCTGAGAGACAGGAAGGGGAGGGAAGACAAGCAAGGAGGGAGGAGCACTCTTGGAGGGCGCGGTCAAGTCGCAGCTTGACGTCTGTCAGCTGCTGCTGCAGGGCTGCAAAGGCTGCTGTGTCACCCTGTGGAAGGGTAATGATACACATAGCGAAGGGAGCACATAGGCCAGGGAGCACATAGGGCAGGGAGCAAGGGAGGAGCATTCGTGGAGGGCGCGGTCTAATCGCAGCTTGAAGTCTGTGAGTTGTTGTTCCAGGGCTGCAAAGGCTGCTGTGTCACCCTGTGAGAGGAGGGTTGAGGGGGATGGGGAGCGGGAGGAAGGGGGAGGTGTACATGCAGGAGGCGGGATACAGTGTTGACGTTCCCACCCAAATCCAGGCCTAGAGTGACTTCAAATTCCCCAGAACACCACACCTCTCCTTCCCCCCATCCTCACCACTTCCGCCATCTGTCTAAGCCTAGTCATGAGCTCCAAATTCTGCGTAGCTCCAATCTGGACTAGGTACAGCCTGCGTAGCCAGAGCCACAGCCTGCGCAGTGATGCTCGCTCCTGCGCCTGCCCACCCCCAATTCCCCCCTTTACTTGGTCCATTCTCCCCATCCTCACCCTCCTGCCTGAGCATCACTGGGTACGTGCGCTTCTCTTTTCTCACCTCCTCTTGAAACTGCCTCAGTCTGCTCGTCAGCTCCTGATTGCGTTGTGCCAGCGCCACAGCCTGGGCAGTGATGCTCGCTGCTCTCTCACCCTCCTCCCCCCACTCCTGTTCCCCCACTAGCCCCCATCCCCATCCTCACCTCCTCTTGAAACTGCCTCAGTCTGCTCGTCAGCTCCTAATTGCGTTGTGCCAGAGCCACAGCCTGGGCAGTGATGCTCGCACTTCTTCTTTTTCCCCATTCCCACCTTCCTGCCCTCTGCATCACTGCGCCCACTCACACTCACCCTTCCTCTTTTCTCACGCTCACCTCCTCTTGAAACTGCCTCAGTCGGCTCGTCAGCTCCTGGTTGCGTTGTGCCAGAGCCACAGCCTGCGCAGTGATGCTCGCCCGAGCGTCCTCCGCCTCTTTTATCCGAACCTCCAGGCTCGTAGACCGAACCTTCCAGAAATCCACCCCCTGCTCCTTCTCCTCTGAACCTTTATGAACATTGTAGGGGAAGGCAAATGAGAGGGACAAAAGGAGGTGCGCCTGTCAGTGCTCGCCCGAGAGTCCTCTGCCTCTTTTTATCCGAACCTCCAGGCTCGTGGACCGAACCTTCCAGAAATCCACGCCTTTTTCCTCTGCGCCTACTAGGAATACATGGGCGAAAATGAGAGCAGGGAGTGTGGGGGAATATTTTGAGACGTCTCAAAACACTTCTTCAAAAAATGAGAGAAGGGAGTGTGGGGGAAGTGTCAGTGGGCGCGCGAGCATCATCTGCCTCTTTGATCTTGTCTAGAAACCCTTATACAACCTAACCCATGCTCCAGTGCAACAAACCGGCAGCACGCACCCTTGATCTTATCTAGGTCGGGATACAAGGAGTGCGAGTCGAGTGTCTGTGTGTGCCTCAGCTCGACCTACCAATCCCCTTCCTGTACCCAAGCAGCCTCCTATAAACGCCCAGAAAACCCCCTTCTCCCCACCGTTCCATACAACACGTGCACGCACCCATGATCTTATCATGGTCGGAATACAAGCACCCCCGACGACCCCCGAATTACACCAAGCACCCCCTTTTCCGCCCCAGAAAACCCCTCCTGCCTGCAGTTCCATTCAACCCAAGCAGCACGCACCCATGATCTTATCAAGGTCGGGATACAAGGAGTGCGAGTCGAGCGTCTGTGTGCGCCTCAGGCCGCCTGACGACCCAATGTCCCCTGCATGCCATGCCATTCCATTCAGTTGCATGTCATGCCATGCCATGCCATTCCATTCAGTTGCATGACATGCCATGCCATGCCATTCCGTTCAGTTGCATGTCATGCCATGCCATGCCATTCCATTCAGTTGCATGTCATGCCATGCCATGCCATTCCGTTCAGTTGCATGTCATGCCATGCCATGCCATTCCGTTCACTTGTATGTTATGTCATGCCATAACATTCCAGACCATGCCATGCCATGCCATACCATACCATGCCATGCCATGCCATACCATACCATGCCATGCCATACCATGCCATGCCATGCCATACCATACCATGCCATGCCATGCCATACCATACCATGCCATGCCATACCATGCCATGCCATGCCATACCATACCATGCCATGCCATGCCATGCCATGCCATGCCATGATGCCATGAGGAGGGATGAAAGCGGAGGCAGTAAAGTTACTGGGTGAAAAAGTTGAGAGAAAAAAAGGAACCACTTCTGAAGCAGTTCAGAGATGAATGTGGATCACTTACAAATCAGTTTCGAAATGAAGATGAACCAGAAGGAATGGCTCAGGATGGAGAGAGCTGGGGAGGGAGAGAAGTCAAGTCGTTCCTCCCTAACCAAGAGGAAACGGAACTCACTGGGTGCCTGCTTTTGAGAATTCACAAACGTGGGGAGGTAGAGAGGGAAGTAACGTCGTTCCTTTCTACCCAAAACGAATCCGAACTCACTCTGGCTGTCTGCAGTGGCATGACTAGCAGCGCCGGCTCCGTGTAGCTGTTCCTCCAATGGCGGCATGCCAGCTGTCGCGAACTGAACCCGCTTCGCTGCATCGCTGTGAGCTCGCTGCAGTCGGCCTGACGAAGCCGTTGGATGCGGCGGAGGTAGTCCAGGCTTTAAGGACGAGATAAGCGGCGCGGGTGGTTTATTCTTCGCCATGGCAGCTCAAAAAGGATCCTAAAGGCGTAACTATATGCTTTGCGAGAAGAATATTGCGTCGCGTTATTGGCGAGCAGTCTGGTGCTCCATATCGGGGATGAATTGGTAATGTTAGACTACACTACTAGGGTTAGGAGTCAGTCACGATATAATGTTAATAACTGCTGCTGGTTACGAGCGTTACTAAAGACATGGTTACTATGAGTGCTGTCGTTGTATACGTGTCAAGCCTCTAATATGCGAAGACACTCTCTTGTCATTGCCGCTTGTCGGGGTGGTTCTTTCCCTATGAAAACTACATAGAAAGGCTTTGTAATTTGCCATTGTGAATGGCGAGGGTTCCATTTCAGAAACAGAGGCAGACGCAACGAGATGCTGAGTCTCGATTCGCTGAGAAACATGCAATCGAACGCGGAGCAGGCGCTTCGGTGATATTAATCGCAATGGGACGCTGAGTCATGGAGTGCGTGCGTGTCTCTGAGTCAGCGCTAAGCGTACTCTGAAAACACGCCTGATGTCATCGCGACAATGACGCCAGCTGTTTGTGGCTCCAGAATAATAACGCGTCGGGTAATCTGTTACATGAAATCGCGACTATATGTCAGTATTGCCGTTAGAAGCGCTCCTACGTGTCGTGGAGGCGACTATAAGTCGCAACTATCTCCTCTTGATCCGCAAGCTCGTTCGCTCGTTAGGGATCACCAGTGAGAAACCCTGATCACCGTGAAAGCAGCGACGGATCATCGTTGCCCACGCACGGTTGCTTGAGGAAACGGTGAAGTCATGGCTTTCAACTTATGTACACCTGATGCCTGTTTGAGCCCCTCCCGGTTGCCTTATGAAGGGGGCGTATAAGCTGTCACGAGCATTTCGCATAAGTTTCGTCAATTCGCATCTGCTTATAAACAAGATCTGTAACCTAGTTTGACTTCAGTCTCTTCTGCTTGACTTCGGTCTGTACCTAGTTTGACTTCGGTCTGTTCGTTACTATTGGTTGATTACCTTGCGACGCGCTTGTAATGTAGGTGCATAAGGCTGGGGAAACAACCTCGGGTGCAGCGTATCCATCCGGCGCAAGGCAAATTCGCGTGCATGGGGTGAGCATCAGCTGTACAGCAGCTTGCTTCGTGAATAGTAAGGCACTATGGCGTAAAAATGGCAGTTCACTTGCACTTCGGACGGACACGTCATCAGGCGCACTACTATCATTCCGTCGCGAGTAGTTTGTTGTACCAGCGGCCAAAATGGTGTTCTTAAATCAGCGCGGTTTCTTGCGGTTCTGTACGTTCTGTAGCGCTGAAGAATGCATCTCGAACGGTTTGAGTTTTTGTGAAAAATTTACGTGTGGAACACGGCCAAGTAACCACGGGTTCACATAACAGTAGCAGACAGCTGACGAAAGTGAACGAACAACCGCGAAGAGTATCGACACAAAGATTCTGACGAGGACAAACTTCGGGATTGCCGGTGTAACTAGCCCATCCAGTCAGGGAACCTTGAAACTCCCCCCACCCACTTTTGGAGATTCTTTTCTGAACCCTGCTGCCCGTTCATGCAGCCCGTGGGGGCTCCAGTCATTCTGCGACTTGTATGCGACGTCACTGAGCCAGGACGTGCAGGGAACGAACAAGGGATTGGCCGCAACTCCCGTCGCATGCTCCAGTGAATTCCAAATCCTTCCCCGCTTTCATGCGACACAGGTCGCTTCGCTTCACGTCAGCGTGGTCGCTGGCATTTTTTGTCTGTTCTGAATGCAGCTTTCATGTTCGAGTGCCATCGAGAGCCAGGCACAGGCGCTGCGTATATCGCGAACCGCATCCGAATCCGCTGCAAATAGCAAATTCACCAAATAGAACTGACAAACCTAGATGCTTACAATATGACAACCCACCCACCTATAAAAAACTTCACACATTCAGAACAGACAAAAAATGCCAGCATTCTTATGGCAGACGGATGACAATCATCGTGGACATGTTATTTCGCTTTTACAACACATCCGGTCATGCCAGTTTTCATGCATTCGCGTCACGTGTAACAGAGCAGTAGTGCCTGACAATCTGCTGGTCCATGCTCCAGTACTTTCGCATCTTTCGCAGCGGCTTGATGTCCAGATCCATTATGGAAAGCTGCATGCACAGGAATAAGGAAGGGGGAGGGAAAATGGTGATAGAGGTAGGGTGGGGTGGGGTGAGGAGGGGGGTGGGAGGAGGGGGGGGAGGGGGGGGGGAGAGATGGGGAGGAGCAGAGGGCAGGGATGAAGATATTACATCAATTATAATGGAGAGCTGGGAGGAGAGAAGGAGGGGAAGAGGGAGGGGGAGGAAGCAAAGGGAGACTGCATGGGTGGAACAAGAGCAAATGGAAACCGAACAGGCCAATACCGTACAGGGCAAGAAAACAAAACAAAACAAAACAGAAACGAGAAAAAAAGGCAATAGAACACAATAACATATACAACAGACACTAATTCAGCAGGAAAACACAACAAGAACTAAGACAGAGTCGGCTTACCCTGTACAAATACTTGCGGCCGGCCGGTGGACGACTATTGAGACGACTCAAAAAAACAAACAAGAGGAAAGAAAGAGAGCCCGCTTACCCTGTAGAAATACTTGCGGCCGCTGGACGGGCACACAACGCTGCGAAGCTTCTGTGAAGCTTCCAGAGTCTCCCCAGGAATGGCTGCTCGGAGTGCCAGCATGATCCCACAGTCCTTTGCCGTGGCTGCAATGAGGAAATCGCGAAGAACCTTCCTGCAATCTTCCATGATCTCTTTTGGAACCCCAGCAGCACCAGCAGCAGTACTAGCACCACCAGCACCAGCATCAGCAGCAGGGGCTGAAGGCATTGACTTCCTCTGCTTCATGTACTCGTTATAAGCATGAATCGTGCCTTCAATGTCCCACTTATCCAGCTTCTGTGCCGCCAGCAGCTTCTCCAGTGCCCCACACTGCACGAGGCACTCTGTTGCCAGGGATAAGAGAGCGTCAACCCGAGGATGACTCAGATGAGGTGCAGAGGACGGTGATTGTGCTGCTGGTAATCCAGAACCAGCAGCAGCACCAGCAGCAGCAGCAGTTGTTGTGTTGGAATCACTGCTGGGCTGCTCCTTCCCAACACACACAAACCCTTCCAGAGCTGCTTCAGCAGCAGCCAAGCCTGCTGCCTCCTGCGCTTTCTCCTCCCTTCTCAACGCTGCTAAATCCAACGAATTCCCTCTCTCAACCTGCACATCGTCCCCCACCTTCTCCCCTTTCTCCCCTTTCCCTTTCCCCTTTTTCCCCTTCCCCCTGTCCGCCCGCCTGTGAATATGCCCCCCCAACAGCAACTTCCCATCTGCAAAAATCCTCAGGTTGTTCTGCGGGTTATCAATTAACGTTCTCAGAGCAGAGAGAATGCGGGGGCGTGAGGAGGAGAAGAGGTCTAGGGGGTTGTACGCGCTGCTCTGTGCCACCTCCCCTTCTGACAGCTTCAGCTGCTGGTGCATGGGGAAGCGCGCGACAGCTGTCTTGATTTGATTGGTCGGCGCGATGCAGGGGGAGGAGGGGCAGAACCCGGTCTTGGGCTGGAGGGAGGGGAGAAAGCAGAGGGAAAGAGGGGAGAGAGAGGGGTGGAGGAGGGTCTAATCCGAGATTTCAGAGCAGAGAACGCGGGAGGACTTGCACCTTCACCTTGCACCTCTCACTCACCTTGAGCTCGATACAGAAAGTCGTGCCATTGTACCCCCTGTGCCCGTGCCCTGCCTCCCGCACCGTCCCCTCCCAGTCCTCCTCCCACTCCTCGACCTCCAGGTGCAAATGAGTCAGATCAAGAGCAGCGTCTCTCAACGTCTCTCACCTTGAGCTCGATACAGAAAGTCGTGCCATTGTACCCCCTGTGCCCGTGCCCTGCCTCCCGTACCGTCTCCTCCCAGTCCTCCTCCCACTCCTCATCCTCCAGGTGCAAATGAGTCAGATCTGTCACCAGCAGCGCCTCTCCTCTCTGAAGGTCCACGTCGCCCTGAGCCTGCCGCCAGGGGGGCCGTTTAGGGCGGATGTGGTCTGCTACCTCTTGGAGAAAACTGCGCGGGACCTTCACTGTCGTCTGAATTGGGAAGGAGGGAGCAGGACGTGAGAGGGGAGGGAAGGGGCAGGCAGGCAGGCAGGGAGGGAGTAAAAAGGCGGAGACGGGCGAGGAAGTCAGATCAGTCACCAGCAGCGCCCCTTCAATCTTCAAATCCACGTCGCCCTGAGCCTGCTGCCAGGGGGGGCGCCTTGGCTTGGCCCAATGTGGTCCGCTACCTGCTCCAAAAAGCTACGAGGAACCTTCACTGTCGTCTGAATCGGGAAGGAGGGAGGGGGGCCAGGGAAGGGGATGGCAGGGATGCATGGAGGCAGGCAGGCAGGCAGGCAGGCAGGGAGGGAGCAAAAAGAAGGTGGAAAAGGGTGAGAGAGTCAAATCCGTCACCAGCAGCGCCTCTTCTATCTGAAACTCCTCTTCTATCTGAAACTCCTCTTCTATCTGAAACTCCTCTTCTATCTGAAACTCCTCTTCTATCTGAAACTCCTCTTCTATCTGAAACTCCTCTTCTATCTGAAACTCCTCTTCTATCTGAAACTCCTTTTCTATCTGAAACTCCTCTTCTATCTGAAACTCCTCTTCTATCACCACGTCGCCCTGAGCCTTCCTCCAGCATGGCGGCCGCCTTGGCTTGGCCCAATGTGGTCCGCTACCTGCTCCAGGAAGCTGCGAGGAACCTTCATTGTCGTCTAGCAGGGAGGGGAAGAGGGTCAGATAGGCAGGCGTTAATGAGTGGCGCAGGTCGCCATTTCCTGAGCCACCCGCTATTTCCTGAGCCACCCGCTATTTCCTGAGCCACCCGCCATTTCCTGAGCCACCCGCCATTTCCTGAGCCACCCGCCATTTCCTGAGCCACCCGCCATTTCCTGAGCCACCCGCTATTTCCTGAGCCACCCGCTATTTCCTGAGCCACCCGCTATTTCCTGAGCCACCCGCTATTTCCTGAGCCACCCGCTATTTCCTGAGCCACCCGCTATTTCCTGAGCCACCCGCTATTTCCTGAGCCACCCGCTATTTCCTGAGCCACCTGCTATTTCCTGAGCCACCCGCTATTTCCTGAGCCACCCGCTATTTCCTGAGCCACCCGCTATTTCCTGAGCCACCCGCCATTTCCTGAGCCACCCGCTATTTCCTGAGCCACCCGCTATTTCCTGAGCCACCCGCTATTTCCTGAGCCACCCGCCATTTCCTGAGCCACCCGCTATTTCCTGAGCCACCCGCTATTTCCTGAGCCACCCGCTATTTCCTGAGCCACCCGCTATTTCCTGAGCCACCCGCTATTTCCTGAGCCACCCGCTATTTCCTGAGCCACCCGCTATTTCCTGAGCCACCCGCTATTTCCTGAGCCACCCGCTGTTTCCTGAGCCACCCGCTATTTCCTGAGCCACCCGCTGTTTCCTGAGCCACCCGCCATTTCCTGAGCCACCCGCCATTTCCTGAGCCACCCGCCATTTCCTGAGCCACCCGCTATTTCCTGAGCCACCCGCTATTTCCTGAGCCACCCGCTATTTCCTGAGCCACCCGCTATTTCCTGAGCCACCCGCCATTTCCTGAGCCACCCGCTATTTCCTGAGCCACCCGCCATTTCCTGAGCCACCCGCTATTTCCTGAGCCACCCGCTATTTCCTGAGCCACCCGCTGTTTCCTGAGCCACCCGCCATTTCCTGAGCCACCCGCCATTTCCTGAGCCACCCGCCATTTCCTGAGCCACCCGCTATTTCCTGAGCCACCCGCTATTTCCTGAGCCACCCGCTATTTCCTGAGCCACCCGCCATTTCCTGAGCCACCCGCTATTTCCTGAGCCACCCGCCATTTCCTGAGCCACCCGCTATTTCCTGAGCCACCCGCCATTTCCTGAGCCACCCGCTGTTTCCTGAGCCACCCGCTATTTCCTGAGCCACCCGCTATTTCCTGAGCCACCCGCCATTTCCTGAGCCACCCGCCATTTCCTGAGCCACCCGCCATTTCCTGAGCCACCCGCTATTTCCTGAGCCACCCGCTATTTCCTGAGCCACCCGCTATTTCCTGAGCCACCCGCTATTTCCTGAGCCACCCGCTATTTCCTGAGCCACCCGCTATTTCCTGAGCCACCCGCCATTTCCTGAGCCACCCGCTGTTTCCTGAGCCACCCGCTATTTCCTGAGCCACCCGCTGTTTCCTGAGCCACCCGCCATTTCCCGAGCCACCCGCTATTTCCTGAGCCACCCGCCATTTCCTGAGCCACCCGCTATTTCCTGAGCCACCCGCTATTTCCTGAGCCACCCGCTATTTCCTGAGCCACCCGCCATTTCCCGAGCCACCCGCTATTTCCCGAGCCACCCGCTATTTCCTGAGCCACCCGCTATTTCCTGAGCCACCCGCTATTTCCTGAGCCACCCGCTATTTCCTGAGCCACCCGCTATTTCCTGAGCCACCCGCTATTTCCTGAGCCACCCGCTATTTCCTGAGCCACCCGCCATTTCCTGAGCCACCCGCCATTTCCTGAGCCACCCGCTGTTTCCTGAGCCACCCGCCATTTCCTGAGCCACCCGCTATTTCCTGAGCCACCCGCTATTTCCTGAGCCACCCGCTATTTCCTGAGCCACACGCTATTTCCTGAGCCACCCGCTATTTCCTGAGCCACCCGCTATTTCCTGAGCCACACGCTATTTCCTGAGCCACCCGCTATTTCCTGAGCCACCCGAGCCACAAAACGATTCAGCAGGTCGCTATTTCAGAAGAGGCAGCTCAGGAATCGTTTAGTTAGGACGCTCGCTTACCCCTGCCTCAACAAACTCTTCTCCTATTAGTGGCGCTATCACCCGAGCAACGTATTAATTCCGCAGGTCGATGCGATTCGATCCGTCACACTACAAGCACATACACCAGCTCGTATTGAGGCGTCTCAAAAGCTAAAGCACTCACTCTCCCCTGCCTCGAGCAACGTATTGGTGCAGCAGGTAGACAACAACGCCCAACTATTTGCAACCACTCACCCCTGCTTCCACAAACTCTTCTCCTATCAGCGGCGCCATGACTCTCGACACGTATTGGTGCAGCAGGTCGATGCGATCCGGAGCCAAAATTTGAGATGCTTTCCAGTAGCTGCCACCCTGTAAAGGACTAACCACTCACCCCTGCCTCCACAAACTCCTCTCCAATCAGCGGCGCCATGACCCGGGACACGTGTTGGGCGTGTTGGGACATGCTCGTACTGTGTCAATATGGCCTGAAGGTTGCTCTTTCAGGTGACTCAGTATGGGCGGCTCAGAAACATCTGGTCTAGCCACTCACCGCTGTCTCCACGAATTCTTGCCCAATCAAAGGAGCCATGACTCTAGACACGTATCGATGCAGCAGGTCGATCTAATCCGGAGCCACTGCCAGAAAGCTAGCTCCAGCACCGCTTCAAGGCTTGAGACGACTCAAAGGAGGTTACAAGATCGTGTTAACGGTAAGCCACTCACCCCTGCCTCCACGAATTCTTCTCCAATCAGTGGAGCCATCACTCTCGACACGTATTGGTGAAGCAGGTCGATCCTATCCGGAGCTACTGCCGGCTCTGGCACCACTTCAAGGCTTGAGACGACTCAAGGTACGCAACAGCGCCCTACTCACCTCAACCACTCACCCCTGCTTCCACGAATTCTTCTCCTATCAGCGGCGCCATGACCCTAGAAATGTATTGATGTAGCAGGTCGATGCGATCCGGAGCCACTGCCAGCTCCGGCACCACTTCAAAGCCTGACGACTCACAGGAAGTTACAAGATCAAGTTAACCGTAAAGCACTCACCCTTGCCTCCACGAATTCTTCTCCTATCAGTGGAGCCATGACCCGGGACACATATTGGTGAAGCAGGTCGATGCGATCCGGAGCCACTGCCAGCTCTCAAGGCGTCAACTCGAGGCGTGAGATGACTCAAAGGAAGTCAGCACCCCTCTGCCAAACCTAAGCCACTCACCCCTGCTTCCACGAATTCGTCTCCTAACAGAGGAGCCATCACCCTCGACACATATTGATGAAGCAGGTCGATCCTATCCGGAGCCACTGCCAGCTCCGGCACCACTTCTCCCCACAGCTCCCGCTCCTCCGGACGCAGCACAGGCTCGGGCTGCACCGAGCCTGCTGCCGAGCCTGATGCCGAGCCTGCTTCCGAGGCTCCTGCCGAACCTCCAGATAGGGACTCCCCAGCCACGACCTCCGCTCCTGGATGGTGAGAATCCGGCCGTTCCTTGCACACGCGCAGCACCATGCCTTTCTGAAGAGCAGAGGGGTGGAACAGGGAGGAGCAGAGCAGCAGTGGCAGGGCCAGTGTGACTGGCAAGGGTGAGCAAATCTGGCTGTTCCTTGCACACGCGCAGCACCACGCCTTTCTGGAGGTACGCAGAGGTTTGGGAAAGCAAGGGGGGAGTGGGGGGGGAGCGGGGAGGGGAGAGAGCGGTTGGGAGGGGGAGAGAGAGTGCGAGTGTGAGTGACAACAGTGGTGACAATCCGGTCGTTCCTTGCACACGCGCAGCACCATGCCTTTCTACGTGGAAGGGGTTTGGGGAAAACGGCGGGGAGAAGGGCGAGTGTGGGGGAGAGGAGGGGGGCGGGAGGGAAGAGGGGAGAAGGAACAGAGGAGCAGTTGCAGCAGCGAGTGTGAGTGGCGAGGGTGGTGGGAATCAGGCCGTTCCTTCCCACGCGCAGCTCCATGCCTTCCTAGGGATACGAGGAGGTTTGGGAAAGCAGGTGAGGGAGAGAACAGGGGGTGGGGAGAGGGTGCGAGTGTGAGTGGCAAGGGTGGTAAGAATCCGGCCGTTCCTTTTTCACGCGCAGCTCCGGGGCGGCCGGGGAGAGAAACGCGACGCTCCGGGGCGGCCGGGGAGAGCAACGCAACGCCCCGGGCGGCCGGGGAGAGGCGAGTGGGAGGGGGGAAGACGGAACAGAGGAGCAGTGGCAGCAGCGTGTGTGAGCGGCAAAGGGTGGTGAGAATTAGGCCGTTCCTTTTTCACGCGCAACTCCATGCCTTGGGGGTTTGGGGAAAAGGCGGGGAGAGGGCGAAGGTGGGGGGAAGGGGGGAACACAGGGGCAGCAAACTAATAATAGCGATCCTCCCGTCACACTCTCCCTTGTGACTGCTTTTGCGGCGCCTCCGAAGTCGACTCAAATGTCGCGGGAAGGAGGACAAACAGGGGCAGCAAACTAATAATAGCGATCCTCCCGTCACACTCTCCCTTGTGACTGCTTTTGCGGCGCCTCCGAAGTCGACTCAAATGTCGCGGGAAGGAGGACAAACAGGGGCAGCAAACTGATTATCGAGACCCTCCCATCACACTCACCCTTGTGATTGCTCCGCCCTCTCCTCCCCCCTCTTTCCCCTCAACACTGCGTGAGCAAGCAATGCTGATCTTAAGACGTCTCGGATCTCCGAGTACGCAGTTCAATGGTAACAACGTGCACTCGTGATGAAATTTTTGCATAAAGAAAACAAATACCCGAAACGGGTATATCAACAAGATAGTGGTAAGGGAAGCTGAAGACGCGCGAGAGGGAAGTTATGGCGGCAGCAAGACACCTTACTCGTTGTTGTTCCTGCTGACTGCTTCCGTCTTTCGTTCCCAAGCGCTTACAAAAACAACACGCCAACCATTGCTATTGTCCCGTTTCACCTTTTACCCTCCCCCCCCCCCCCCCCCCCCCCCCCCCCTTCCTTTTTTTTTTTTTGGGATATTGACGGCTAACCAGGGATGGATCATGGCCGCAGTAAGACATGACGATGTTCGCGGAACCTTCGCCGCGATACGCCCAGTCGAGAGGGTTCAGCTGTATTTTACTTCTAGCGTCGTTCGTGCCAGCAGACGGCAATTGCCTCTCACTCGAACCGCCGACAGCACACGGAGCAGACGCAGGCATCTTCGTTCCAACGGTCGTCGGTCCGTTTGACGCTGCTGCTGCTTGTGCTGTTTCTCCTGCTGTTATCCCTGCCGTTGCTGCTGCTTCGCATGTCGCAGCACCTCCTGCAGCGACTGCTGCGTCCGCATCCGACGTTCCGACGCCGGTCGGTGCCATACGCACGCGGCGAAACGCGTTGGGATATGCGCGATGACGATAACGAAAACCTTTTTCCGCGGCCACAGAGCACTGCAACACGAAATAGATCTTAGTTAGAGACTACGGAATATCTACCGAAATAAGGACCGGGAGCAGAAGCTTGCATGTCTTCTATCAATAGGAATTAGAACGTGAAACTAAGCAGGGAAAGCGGATGGCAGCAGCAGGATCAACATTTCTCAAGCTTTCAGTATCGTCATTCCCAAGGGAACAGTGCTCAGGACGCTGGAGCCGCTAACTAGCGGTGGGGTGGGATGCTTTACGTGTCCGAAAGTTGTTTTTGCGTTCTAGAGCGGTTTGTGGTGGTGTAAATCAGACACGTCAACGTCAAGCGTAAGGGGCACTTGTCGAGCCGACGCGGATGAAGCTGTTGTGACATGTCCTGAAGCAAGCACGCCATTGGGCCGCTGCTGGCGAACTTGTGACACAATCGTGCTGTTCTGTCCGTCCGTACGCCGGGAACCAGGTCGTAACGTGCAGAATCATGCCGTGCCGTACTGTACCGTCTCGTGCAAGGGCCCATACAAACCAGCCCTAATCATCCTCCCAACTGTCAAGACCCCGTTAGCCTAATGCGCTAATACATATAGGAGCGTTCTCTGAGTTAACCAATGTAACCATGGAGTATAAAAGAGGGCATATCAGTTACAACCATGAATATTAAAAATCCATAAAAATAAAACTAAAAAAAACTAGTAATATTAATTGCAAATATGGAAGTTTTTGCACTGCTAGACAATGCTATTTTTACCAGACTAAACGATATATATAAGGAACAATGTAGTCACACTGTAGAAACTTGAGTCACACACAAAATGCTGCAGGCAAGGCGCCGAACAAGAACCAGACTGGTCCACTTCGCTTCACCTCACCTCACACCGCATCCACTGCAACGCGCGTGAGCAGCAATGCGACCGTGTGGTAGCAAACAGACTGCTCCCTCTAATCGAACGGCTCACATCACACCATAAAATCCCCAGAATCCCAGGTGCTTTTCTACCACTGTGGGCGGCGCGCTCTGATGGAATCTTGAGAAGTGGGTGAGTGAGTGAATGGATGGACCCCAAACATCGTCGGCGGATCGCGTCGCGCGATGCACCGTTATCTGCCAGTCCTTCCACACCGCAAAAGGCAACCCCATGTTACCGTTTTGAACCGCAGCATGATGCGGTAAAATGAGTTCCCTAGGTTGTCGGGAAACGAAAGTTTGGACGATAGTGTGAGAGGTTCGATTCGAGAGTGTTTGCTGCTGCTTGCGTCTGCTCCTTCTTGAGGGCTGCAATATTTTTCAGCTGATGCTCACCCCATGCACGCGAATTTGCCTTGCGCCGGATGGATACGCTGCACCCGAGGTTGTTTCCCCAGCTTCATGCACCTACATTACAAGCGCGTCGCGTGGTTATCAACCAGTAGTAACGAACAGACCGACGTCAAACTAGGTACAGACCGAAGTCAAGCAGAGGAGACTGAAGTCAAACTAGGTTACAGATCTTGTTTATAAGCACATGCGAATCATTTTTAGCTAGCTGCGAATTGCCGAAACTTATGCGAAATGCTCGTGACAGCTTATACGCCCCCTTCGTAAGGCAACCGGGAGGGGCTCAAACAGGCATCAGGTGTAACAGCTCTGCTTCCTTCCTGTGGGCATGGGGTGGTCTACACCTCCCCACTTGTCTCATCACGTTTTAGAACTCAATGTCCTTTAGTTGAGCGTTCTATCCCCATCCTGCGAAGCGACATCGGCACTCGGATCGGGGGGACGATGTCGTGACATGAAAGGCGGTTCGTCACTAATACTATTGTTATCTTCTCATCGTCGCTGACAGAAACGACTTCTCTTTATCGGGATACACCAAAAGATCAGGAACAGGAAAAAAAAAGTAAAAGAATCGTGTAGGAGCCACCCATCAGGGATCAATCCTTTGTTCAACTAGTTACCCGAAGGAGGTTATGGCCGTTAACTAACTGTGTAGGCGACGGAGCGCGCGCGTTTGTGTCCGTGCCTTGATGTGTTCTGCCGTTCGATCCGCACTTGATCCATCGCGGGTTGGGAAACGCGAGGATCGAGAATGCGAACGGCGACGACTTTCAGATCATCGTGCACGAAATCATTGTCCCGGTTACCACCGTTTTCGCGTGTCCACGAAAGGTTACGGAGGCCGCAACGTTTGGAGAGTCCGCGATCGTGCAGAAAGGCTGTGACTATAGCACCATGTGGGAAGAGTGTGACCATAGCGAGACTGTGTGGCAAGGCCGCGGCGACAATGCCGGAAAGACCGTGCATAAAGGCAGTGACTATACCGAGACCGTGCAGAAACGCAGTGGCTATACCGAGACCGTGCAGGAAGGCAGTGACTATGCCGAGACCGCGCAGGAAGGCAGTGACTATACTGAGGCCGTGCAGGAAGGAAATGACAAGCGGGAGGGCCGCGATGATTCCGAGACCGCGCAAGACAGCAGAGATCATAACGAGGCCGTGCAGGAACACTGTGACTGTATCGAGGCCGTGCGAAAAGTCCACGTCGTCGCTGTTATTGTCGCTCATTGTGACGGTGCTGGTTGCGCTGGCGAGCAACGGGTGCCACGTGGCAGCTGTGCCAGTTGTCGCCAACGAATGTGAGTGACGTGGCGATGTGAAGTCGTGAGAGGCGGTGTGAGGTGATGTGAAGTGGTGTAAGGTGGTGCAAGGTGGTTTGAGGTGGTCTGAGGTGGTTCCAGGTGAGCTGGTGATGGGCGCTATCAGCGATGCATGTGGTTGTGTGGGGGGACTGTCGAGCGAGATGTAAAATAGGGACATTGTACTGTCGCTATCCCTCCCTCCCTCCCGCCCTTCCTCACTACTGGCCTCTCTCTTCTGCCCCTCCCGAGGTTCAAGACATTTCTTACTGAGCTGCGTGCGTGCAGTAGGCTTAAAGCAAAAGAACAACTGCTGTTTAAATCTGCTTGAGAAATGTCTGAACCGCGCCCCTCGCACTACTGGCCTCTCTCTTCTGCCCCGCCCTCGCTGTACCCTTCTTCGCCCAAGCGGTGCACTGCACTGCACTGCTGCCCAAGACGTGATTTCTGACTCCCAGCAACCAACCACCAATCTGCGCCCCTCGCCCACCACTGGCCTCTCTTCTGCCCCGTCCCTCGTCTGTACCTTTCCTCTCTTAGAAAATGCACTTGGCACAATTAGGGAGGAGATGAATCTCGTGAATCCTTATCGCACTCCCAAGACGTACTGGATGGGCAATGACGACTGCTCTGCTCTGCTCTGTCTGTCCCCATCACTCACCACCCGTCCGTCCCTCTCCCGTCCCTCCCTCCCCTCGCCTGTACCTTTTTTTCCTCCCAGGGAACGCGCTCCTTGCCATCAGGGACGGGATGAGCTTTGTGAACCCCAGTCGCAGCCCCAAGGTGTACTGTACGATCAATGACAAACTGCTCTGTCTCCACCCAGCTCTCTCCTTGCTCACTACTGGTATCCCTTCCACCTCTTCCCTTGCCTGTGTCTCTCCCTTCCAGGGAACGCGCTCCTTGCCATCAGGAACGGAATGAACTTTGTGAACCCCAGTCGCAGCCCCAAGGTGTACTGGACGACCAATGACGACTGCTCTGTCCCCACCCACCCCTCTCCTTGCTCACTAACGGTCTCCTTCCTGCCCCTCCCCCCTGCGCCTCTTCCCTCGCCTGTGACTCTCTCCCTCCCAGGGAATGCGCTCCTCGCCATCAGGGATGGGATGAGCTTCGTCAACCCCAGCCGCAGCCCCAAGGTGTACTGGACGACCAATGACGACTGCTCGTTCCCCCTTGCTCACCGCCAGTCTCTCTCCTGCCCCTCGAATCATCTGTGTTGTCCCTGCCCCCTCCCCCAGGGAATGCGCTCCTTGCGATCAGGGATGAGATGAACTTTGTGAACCCCAGTCGCAGCCCCAAGGTTTACTGGACGACCAATGTCGACTGCTCGTTCCTGTTTGGGGTCGACTGCAACGACAAAGGGAATGTGATCGTCATGTGAGTGAAAGAGTGAGTGGGTGAGTGAGTGAGTGAGTGGTGCTGCAAATCGTGATCAGCATGAGAGTGGGTGAGCTTGTTTGGGGTGTACTGCAACGACAAGGGCAACGTGATTGTGAGAGTGAGTGAGTGAATGAAAGTCAGTGAGTGAGTCTTAAGAACAGGTGTGAGAGTGAGAGCGAGAGTGAGTGACTGCTCGTTCCTGTTTGGGGTGAACTGCAACGACAAGGGCAACGTGATTGTCATGTGAGTGAGTGAGTGAGTGCAAAGGAGCTGTTTGGTTATGGCGTGAATGATTGACCTTGTTTGAAGTCTGTGTTTGCGTTCCTCTGCATGTGTCCCTCTTCCCCCCCCCCCATCCCCAACCCATCTCCTTGCCACCACCAGGTAGTACAATGCGCTGGGACCTCTTCCTCACTTAACATCTCTGCCTCTCCCTTTCAATCCCTTCCTTCTCCTCACACACACCTCCCTCCGCCTCGATTTCCTTGCCACCACCAGCTACCTGTACAATGCGCTGGGACCTCTCCCTGCAACTGCGACTCACTTGTAACACCTCTGCCCAGCCGCTCCCTTCTAATCCCTTCAGTCATCTCCCCCCTCCCTCCCTATCCCCCCTTTCCTTGCCATCACCAGGTACCTGTACAATGCGCTGGGGCCTCTCCCTGCGGCAATAGGAAACCTTACCTTCCTATCGGCTATGTGAGTGACATATACGCCAGTCTATACCTCGCTAGTGTGAGTGTGCTGCCGCGTGCGCTTCTTCCGATCTACCTTTTGGGAAATGCAATGCCTTGCCTTGTGAGATGAGACCAGAGAGCATCTGGTCTGATATGACTGTTTCAGTAGCATCTCGTATGGAGAGCAGCAGCAGTCGCCGCCACCGCAGCAGCCGTAGCCGCCGTAGGAGCAGAGAGCACCTTCTCTTATTGAAGTCTGCAGCAACTTTACATCCAGCCCACTTTCTCCTTGTTTCCTGTCGTAATCACTGGCAATCTCACGAAACCAACGGATTGCCAGTGCTCTTTTCCTGTCGAAACCAACATTTTTAAAAGCCCTTGGGCTATCCCCTCCCCTCCCTTTCCCCTTCTTCCCCCGTTGACTTTTTTGCAGCACCACCACTGGCAATCTCACGATTCCAACGGAGTTTTCAAAGCTAACCAAAATGACTTTCCTGTAAGCCCTTTTGGTCAGCCTATGAAGAAAACGCGTTCGCATGGCTCTCTTTGACCTCAAAACAGCATCCCAAAATGCTGATGCATGAATATTGATATCCAACTCTCTCAAGCACTTGGTTGGTAGGGTGAGTTGAGTTCTGCCTGGGTATGATCCGTGAGCAGGGTATGATCCGTGAGCAGGGTATGATCCGTGAGCAGGGTATGATCCGTGAGCAGGGTATGATCCGTGAGCAGGGTATGATCCGTGAGCAGGGCATGATCCGTGAGCAGGGCATGATCCGTGAGCAGGGCATGATTCGTGAGCAGGGCATGATCCGTGAGCAGGGCATGATCCGTGAGCAGGGCATGATTCGTGAGCAGGGCATGATCCGTGAGCAGGGCATGATCCGTGAGCAGGGCATGATTCGTGAGCAGGGCATGATTCGTGAGCAAGGCATGATTCGTGAGCAGGGCATGATTCGTGAGCAGGGCATGATCCGTGAGCAGGGCATGATTCATGAGCAGGGTATGATCCGTGAGCAGGGTATGATCCGTGAGCAGGGCATGATCCGTGAGCAGGGCATGATCCGTGAGCAGGGTATGATCCGTGAGCAGGGCATGATCCGTGAGCAGGGCATGATTCGTGAGCAGGGCATGATCCGTGAGCAGGGCATGATCCGTGAGCAGGGCATGATTCGTGAGCAGGGCATGATTCGTGAGCAAGGCATGATTCGTGAGCAGGGCATGATTCGTGAGCAGGGCATGATCCGTGAGCAGGGCATGATTCATGAGCAGGGCATGATTCGTGAGCAGGGCATGATTCGTGAGCAGGGCATGATCCGTGAGCAGGGCATGATCCGTGAGCAGGGCATGATTCGTGAGCAGGGCATGATTCGTGAGCAGGGCATGATCCGTGAGCAGGGCATGATTCGTGAGCAGGGCATGATTCGTGAGCAGGGCATGATTCGTGAGCAGGGCATGATCCGTGAGCAGGGCATGATCCGTGAGCAGAGCATGATTCGTGAGCAGGGCATGATCCGTGAGCAGGGCATCCCTGTGTTCCTGTATTTCTCCTATTTCTCTGTGCGTCTGTCTGTCCCTCCCCATTGCTTCACAGACTTATGAGCAGAAGCGCGTCCCCACAATGACCACTGCTCTTCGAGATGCTTGCCTTCTCATTCATTTCTTTCCTTCTCCTGACCCCCCTGTGTCCTTCCCAAGCGGTCCGTGTATTAGATCCGAGCAAGTACAGACATGCACCAAGGATATAGAGTCTAGGAGCGAAACGGGCCTCTAACACTCCTATATCCTACTCACACCCTTGCTCCATCTAAGGGAGCTCCAGAACCGGCTCCAGGATGGCCACGCAGTCCCCAAGGGACATGCCATCGCCCGGCATCTCCACAGGTGGGTTCTCCACCTGAGCTGCAAAGTTACACTTGGTCATGAAGCTCACGGACTGAGCCCGCTGCAACGCCACGGACCACCGCTGGCGGAACTGGTGTAGCAGCTTCGTTGCCTGGTAAGATGAGGGGCCCGCATTGAAGTGCCTGCGGGCGGCAGTATCGGCTAGCAGTTTGAGAAATTGGGGGACTTCCGCACAAGGGCAGCCGTAAGTGTCGACGGCCAGTGGAAAGAATCCGACCCACGAGGCCGTTGAGCCCTCGTAATCGGAGATCTTCTTCTCTGCCGCCTCACGGGCTGCCCACCCCCTGCCCTTGACCGCGTTGGGGTCTCACGTGTGCTAATGGGGTCCGTGATGGTAACGTCCCCAATCCACACGGCCCCTGAGGTCTTGTCTCTGATTGCTATGTCGGCCTTCTTTCTCGTGACAGGACAGAACGCCGTCGTCTCGCTGTGAGTCATGAAATCCGCGTCGCTGGCCATCCGCAAACACTCGTCGCGCAGCTCGTTGTGAGTGTTTGTCCTCCCCTTCCCCGTGTCACAGCGCAGGAGATGGTTGGGCAGCCGCCTATCTGGGATTAACGTTTCGTTGCGGCAGTCACAGGCACCAGGGGCCGAAGAGGGAAGCCCCATCCGAAACTCCAGCGCATGAGCAAAATGGGCCGGGGCAAGGCGCAGCGAACTGTTGAAGGGTACCGCGTTGAGCCAGTCTCCCGCCCCGTACCCCGAGAGCGAGAGCATGCGCTGCGTGTGCCCGCTAAGTGGGTTCAGCGGCATGATGCGTGTGGCCTGCACCTGCTCGGCGTAGCGCTGGCCATGCACCGCGATAGCCAGCCCCTGCTGCAACTTGACACCCTTGGGATCAGCCCGGTCGCTCTGCAGCAGCTCCTTTCCCTCGTCCGGCAGCGACTCCTCGCACCGCTCCAGCCAGTCAAATAGGGGGGTCGTGTTGATAAAGGGCCCCTTCATCCGTATCCGTACTTCCGCCAGCGCGCCTATTGCTGCCTCGTCAATAGAGGTGAGTAGGTGCTGGGCTTGGGTGTAGCTTGCAAGGAAACCCACGCGTCCTTCCACCGAGGGGTCCGTTATCCCCAAGCCTCCAAGCGAGATCGGGAGCGAGGCTTGCGCCCAGGTACGTGAAATCTCATCCTCCCCCCGGGGGTGGTGGATGCCACAAGCTGTCAGCAACGTCTCGAAGAGGCGCTTGCCCCAGTCGGACCACTCCTCAACAGGTAAGGCAGAGAGGGGTGTGGTGCGGGCAACATAAGAGACCCGTCGTGAGATGCACCGCGTGAGCAGAAGTGATGCCAACTGCGGCTCCATCCGCTCGATTAAGGGGAGGGGCCCGCCCATGTTGTCAAGGCTATCACGCAGGAATGCCGCCGTTGCATCGGTACCACCAATGAAACTACCGAGCACCTTCACTCCATCATCCACGAAAGGTACGCCCTCTGGAAGCACCGCTCCTCGCCGACCTGTCTGTGACCACGCCGCGCATTTGTCTGGATTGTGGCGCAGCCCAATCCCCCCAAGGTTCCCCGTGAAATCGTCAAACGCCGCTGCACACGAGGCTGGCTCTCCAAGAAAGGTGACGTCGTCCGCGTAGGCAAGGCAAACCACGGACGGGAAGGTAAGAGCCGTCTTCGCCAGAGCAGGGTGAATGGCAGCAGCAAAAAGCAGTGGACCGAGGGGGTCTCCCTGCCGCACTCCGGTCTCGCTCAGAAGGGGTGGGTGTGAGAAGCCGGCGTCTAGGCAGAGTGCCGAGGGAAGGCCATACAACAGTTTTACAAGCGGCAAAAGGGAAGCGAGAGGGGATCCGCAGAGCGACGTGACGATGGCTGCCCTATTCACGCTGTTGAACGCGTTCGCCAGATCCGCTTGGAGGACCAAGGCCCCCGTGTGCATTGTGAGGTAGGTGCGTGTGATGTGGATAATTGCTTCAGCCCCCCCAGGAACCGCCACGCCAAACTGGTGCGGAAGGAAGAATTCTCTAGCGGCTCCTGCGGTCAAGGTAAGCGCTGTTTTTGCAGCTAGGCGTGTGATGCTTTCGCCAATAGCAATTGGCCGCGTTCCTCCATCGGGCTTGGTGAGGGCAATCAGCCGCGAGGCAGTGAGAAGCTCGGCTACTGCTGGTGGTAGCTTTCCTGTGAGTATCATGTTGACGAGTGCGTGCAGATGTTTCCCGACGGAGTGGTTGATCAGCGCCGCATCACGTAAGTGTTCGAATGTTGTTCCAGAGGGGCCCGCTCCCACTCCCATCTCACAGCTTCCCAGCACCTTGGAAAACACTGCGAAAGGTGCAGATAGGCCTGGGTCAGGTGCAGGGAAGGTCCAGTCCGGTAGGGAGCTAGGTGCCGGTGGATGCTTGGCGCGCAAGGCCTCCAGCACACTTGGGGAAGGAGTGCTGACTGGCGTGGCTTCTAGTGCCAGCACGGCACGCCGTAAGCTGCCACGTCGCGCGAGACCCTCCGCCCTGGCGATGACACCAATGTCATCGGGCTGGTGTCTGGGTGGCTGGGGCCACGAAAGGGATTCCACTGTTTCAGTGTACAGTTTGTCCCATTCTCCAGACAGAAACTGACGAAGGCGGGCCTCAACAGCCTTCCAGTCTGGCCGACGTGGTGACATCTGGCGGAGAGTCAAACGTGCGACGAACAGCAACAACGTCCAAGCAGAATCCGAATCTGGATTTTCAGCCAATCGCAGGAGAGGTACAAGCAGTGCTGTGGCGAAGAGTTTGCGTGGGTCTGATGGGAGGTGGCGGGAGAGAGGAGCGTGGCGAGAGTCGCGCAGTTTCGCTAAATCCCAAGTGGTCACGCTGGCGAAGAGGGCGTCATCCTTGGCGAGAGATTCTGGGGATCTTTCCTCAGGGGGTTGGGGTTGAGTGGGGTTTCCACCAGTGGCAGAGTGTGGGGCGGTTCGTGGAGGGGTTGGAAAGTTGGAAATTGAGGTTGGGGGTGGTGGTGTAGCAATAATGCCCATCGCGGCGCGGGTTGGTGTTGGGGGCCCCCTCCGCCCTATGGACCGCGGAGCCGTGCCACCTCCCCCAGTGTGGGATGGTGTGGCTCTTCCTGCTCTAACTGGAGTCTGGTGGTGTGTCTCATCCACGGACTCAGAACTCGAAGTTGAGTCCGTCGATTCAGCAGGTACAAAGCTGCTGTCCGAAGTACTGCTATCCCCATTCATCCTGTGTCCTTCCCTCGTGCTCCTTAGGTCCATGAGCAGTAGCGGTATTACCGAGCACTTCCCTGCTATACTGGACTTGGACAATATCCTGTATCCCTCTATATCTGTCCATCCCTCCCCCCTCAACCCCGTGGTTGCTTCCCCTGTCCCTCCCTGCTGTTGCTACTTTCTCAGGTCCATGAGCAGAAGCGGTATTTCCCAGCCCTTCCCCACTATGATTACTGCTATAGCTCTTCGGGATTCTCGCCTTCTCAAGTCTTCTGTCCATCTCCCGATCCCCCTGTGTCCCTCCCTGTTGCTTCTCAGGTCGATGAGCAGAAGCGGTATTTCCCAGCCCTTCCCCACTATGATTACTGCTATAGCTCTTCGGGATTCTCGCCTTCTCAAGTCTTCTGTCCATCTCCCGATCCCCCTGTGTCCCTCCCTGTTGCTTCTCAGGTCCATGAGCAGAAGCGGTATTTCCCAGCCCTTCCCCACTATGATTACTGCTATAGCTCTTCGGGATTCTCGCCTTCTCAAGTCTTCTGTCCATCTCCCGATCCCCCTGTGTCCCTCCCTGTTGCTTCTCAGGTCCATGAGCAGAAGCGGTATTTCCCAGCCCTTCCCCACTATGATTACTGCTATAGCTCTTCGGGATTCTCGCCTTCTCAAGTCTTCTGTCCAGCTCCCGATCCCCCTGTGTCCCTCCCTGTTGCTTCTCAGGTCCATGAGCAGAAGCGGTATTTCCCAGCCCTTCCCCACTATGATTACTGCTATAGCTCTTCAGGATTCTCGCCTTCTCAAGTCTTCTGTCCATCTCCCGATCCCCCTGTGTCCCTCCCTGTTGCTTCTCAGGTCCATGAGCAGAAGCGGTATTTCCCAGCCCTTCCCCACTATGATTACTGCTATAGCTCTTCGGGATTCTCGCCTTCTCAAGTCTTCTGTCCAGCTCCCGATCCCCCTGTGTCCCTCCCTGTTGCTTCTCAGGTCCATGAGCAGAAGCGGTATTTCCCAGCCCTTCCCCACTATGATTACTGCTATAGCTCTTCGGGATTCTCGCCTTCTCAAGTCTTCTGTCCATCTCCCGATCCCCCTGTGTCCCTCCCTGTTGCTTCTCAGGTCCATGAGCAGAAGCGGTATTTCCCAGCCCTTCCCCACTATGATTACTGCTATAGCTCTTCAGGATTCTCGCCTTCTCAAGTCTTCTGTCCATCTACCGATCCCCCTGTGTCCCTCCCTGTTGCTTCTCAGGTCCATGAGCAGGAGCGGCATTACAGAGCCCTTCCCCGCTACGATTTTTGCTCTTGGGCATTCCCCTGTATCCCTCTATTTCTGTTCTGTCCATCTCCCCCACCTTCAACCCTGTGGTTGCTTCCCCTGTCTCTCCCCGTTGCTTCTCAGGTCCATGAGCAGGAGCGGCATCACAGGGCCCTTCCCCACTATGATCACTGCTCTGCCGAAGCTCAAAGACGTGTGCGCATGGGTGACGTGGCATTAGATGGTGACGTGGCATTAGATGGTGACGTGTCATTGAATGTGTGACGTGGCATTAGATGTGTGACGTGGTACTGGAGGTGTGACACGGCAGTTGATGTAGATGTGTGACGTGGCATTAGACGTGAAATACATGCATGCTTGGTGAAACAATCTTCTTTGCACTTCCCTGCACCACGATCTCTCATCTCATCTCTCGCTTCCCTACTAATGCCTTCCTGCTGCTTTTCTCCATTCTACGGCAGAAAGATGATCAACAATTCAATGTCTGGGCCAATCCCTGTGGCATTCTCTGCACTGACTAACCTAACTGTCCTGTGCGTACGTTGCAATTCCGAAATGGTCAGCTGGAGTTTTGGGGCGCCTCAAAACCCAAAGGTGTTAGAACTGACTGTCTAAACCTAAGTCGACTCACAAGGCATTCTCTGCACTGACTAACCTAACTGTCCTGTGCGTACGTTGTGAGTTGAAGAGGTGATATTGAAAACGTGCTCATACATATGTTCCACAGTGTACTGAGGTGGTGTGATAGAGTCCACTGAAAGGTCTTTGCACTGTATGGACTAACCCTACAGAGTCAATTTTGAAAACGATATTGCTGCACAGAATCACTGAAAGACTTCTCAAATCCTTTGCTGTCCTCCCCTTCCCTTCACCTCACCCCTCTCCCCGTCCAGCCGGCTAGACATCAATAAGCTCACGGGTTCAATTCCCGCTGGGCTCTCAAGACTCGTAGCACTAACCCAGCTGTAAGCCCCACACCCACCCACACCCAGCTGCTCGGCTTTAACGTTTCCCCTTCTTTGCTTTCACTTCTGCCCCTGGCTCTTACCTTTGCCCTTGCCATTGGCCTAACTTTGCCCTCGGCACTTTTGTGATTTTTCTTTAACGTGCAGCTGCGCTGAGAATCGTAATTTGAATCTCTCATCTATATAATGTTCCACTCTGTTATTAGAAAAATAGAAACAATTTCTATCACCCGATACGCCTCTCCTCCCCCTCAGCTTCTCGAACCCTCCTTCCTGCCTCACTGCCTCTCTCTCTGTACAACTGCCATATGCTGGAAAAACGTCGTTTTCTCCACTTTGCTTGATTCCCCCCCTCTCTTCGTTCAACCTTTTGATCGCCCGCCTGTCAGTTTCTTGCAACGCTTTATATTGCACCACCTTGCGCCACTTTGCACTCCCGTGCACCACTGCAGTAACCTGAAAGACAATCTGCTCACAGGAGCGATTCCCCCGTCTCTCTCTGCACTCAAGGCCATGCAAACGCTGTAAGCTTCAGGGAAGTTTTCCACGGGTCACCATTTTTCCATGGGTCACCATTTTTCCATGGGTCACCATTTTTCCATGGGTCACCATTTTTCCATGGGTCACCATTTTTCCATGGGTCACCATTTTTTCATGGGTCACCATTTGTCCATGGGTCACCATTTTTTCATGGGTCACCATTTGTCCATGGGTCACCATTTTTTCATGGGTCACCATTTTTCCATGGGTCACCATTTTTCCATGGGTCACCTTTTTCACAGGTCACCATTTTTTACAGGTCACCATAGGGTCACTGTGAGGAAGAAAAAGTCTTAAATTATATCGCAGATTCTGCCCGCAGGGCAAGTATAACCCTCCACCCCTCCACCACCATCCATTTATCAACCCCCCAACAAACCCATCAACAAATCCACCCGTCCACCCGCTCACCTACTCAAATCAGGGAGCTCTGGAGGAACACGCTTACACGTGCAACTTACTAACACAACCGCGCACCCCATTCACCAAACCATTCCTTTTCCCTCACCCATCCCCCCACCTTCTCAAACCAGGGATTTTCGGAACAACAAGCTCTCTGGCACGATCCCCTCTCAGCTCAGCGCTCTCACCAACCTGGACGGACTGTAGGTCCCTTTGGTTTCTCACTACTCCTGTTTCATCAATTCTATATTTGAGTCCAGTCCCTCCCACCTGTCCGAACCAACCTCATTCCACTCCACCCCACCCCACCCCCCCCCCCCGCCCAGATATTTGAGCCACAGGAGCCGTTCCAGCGCAGCTGCACCCGCGTCTTGTGACACCCCATCCCAACCCATTCCACCCCACCCCACTCCACCAAACCCCACCCCCCCGCCAGCTATCTGAGCAACAACACGCTCACAGGAGCCATCCCATCACAGCTCAATCTGTGACTCATGATAACCCATCCCCAACCCATCCCACCCCACTCCACCCCACTCCACCGAACCCCACCCCCCCGCCAGCTATCTGAGCACCAACATGCTCACAGGAGCCATCCCAGCGCAGCTCAATCTGTGACTCATGATAACACATCCCAACCCATCCCACCCCAGTCCACCGCACACCACCCCATCCCACAGCTATTTTAAGCAACAGCACGCTCACAGGAGCCATTCCAGCGCAGATCCACCTGTGTCCCATGACATGATTCCATCCCGTTCCACCCCACTCCACCCCATCCCACCGCACCGCACCTCTCACCAGCTATCTAAGCAACAACACGCTCACAGGAGCCATTCCAGCGCAGCTCAGCACCCTCACCAACCTCCGCTTCCTGTTAGTACAACACACAAAGCAACCTTTCTTAGCTTAAACACCCTCTTTCGTTTGTACTTCGTTCACAGCTAATCACCCTCATCTAAGTTCCTAGGGTATCTTACAGTAACACTGAATTCGCTTTTAACAGCAACCTTCCGATTGGGCACTTCATTGTTTTGTTCCTTCTCCCTTACCTGTTGTTTGGTTTTGCACCTTCTCTTCTCTCCTGCACCTTCCTTGCACCTCCTTCCGTGCAGCTTCATCGACAGAAATGCCCTGACAGGATCTGTGCCCGCTTCAGTCTCCTCCTTTGCCTCTCTCATTTACCTGTGAGTCTTGTGAGTTCAAGTGAGTTCGAGTTAGTTTGAGTGAGTGCGAGTTAGTTCGAGTGAGTGCGAGTTAGTTCGAGTGAGTGCGAGTTAGTTCGAGTGAAATGCGAGTTAGTTCGAGTGAGTGCGAGTTAGTTCGAGTGAAATGCGAGTTAGTTCGAGTGAGTGCGAGTTAGTTCGAGTGAAATGCGAGTTAGTTCGAGTGAGTGCGAGTTAGTTCAAGTGAGTGCAAGTTAGTTCGAGCGAGTGCGAGTTAGTTCGAGTGAGTGCGAGTTAGTTCAAGTGAGTGCAAGTTAGTTCGAGTGAGTGCGAGTTAGTTCGAGTGAGTGCAAGTTAGCTCGAGTGAGTGCAAGTTAGTTCGAGTGAGTGCGAGTTAGTTCGAGTGAGTGCTAGTTAGTTCGAGTGAGTGCGAGTTAGTTCGAGTGAGTGCAAGTTAGTTCGAGTGAGTGCGAGTTAGTTCGAGTGAGTGCGAGTTAGTTCGAATGAGTGCGAGTTAGTTCGAGTGAGTGCGAGTTAGTTCGAGTGAGTGCGGGTGAGTCCTTACGATTCCTTGTGCCAAGACATCAGGCAAGGTCCTCGCCTTCAGACCTTTGCCTCGCCTCTCATCCCAACCTCCTACTTCCGCATCCGCCTCCCCTCCCCCATACCCCACTCCCCCTCCCATGAAATGCCTCCCACACCAAGCTCTCAGGCTTTTGTCTGCAGGCCTCGCTTCTCAGCCACTCTCCCCACCCCAACCTCCCCACTTCTTCCTCTACAGCCCCTTCCCCCTCCCTGCCCAACCCCCGTGCCCCCCCTCCCCAGGAATGCCTCCCTCCCACAACAAGCTATCAGGCTCCTTGTCTGCAGGCCTCGCCTCGCACACTCACCCAACCTCCCCACTTCTTCCTCTACAGGCCCTTCCCCCTCCACCTCTCCTTCCCAGGAGACCATCTTACAACAAGCTCTCAGGCTCCCTACCTGCAGGCCTCAGCTCTCCCGCTCACCCACCCCACCCTCCCCATGTCTCCTTTCGCTTCCCCTCCTCCCCTCTCCCACTCTCAGGAGTGCGTCTTACAACAAGCTCTCAGGCTCCCTGCCTGCAGGCCTTGCCTCTCACCCACCGTGCCTACCCAACCTCCCCACTCCTACCCCTACACCACCCTTCCCTTCCCTCTCCCCCCCCTCCACCTCTTCCCCCCTTCCACAGGAGTGCGTCGTACAACAAGCTCTCAGGCTCCCTGCCTGCCGGCCTCTCCTCTCTCGCTTGCCCACACACTCTCCCAACTCCGACTGGCCACCCTTTCCTTCCACCTCTTCCCCTCTCAGGAGTGCATCGTATAACAAGCTCTCAGGCTCCCTGCCTGCCGGCCTCAGCTCTCTCGCTGCACTCCAGTACCTGTCAGTTATCACCTTCCCCTGTCAGTTACCACCTTCCCCTGTCAGTTACCGCCTCCCCCTGTCAGTTAACCCCTCCCCCTGTCAGTTACGACCTCCCTCCTGTCAGTTACCACCTCCCCCTGTCAGTTACGACCTCCCTCCTCCTGTCAGTTACCACCTCCCCCTGTCAGTTACCCTTTGACATCTTGACAGCCTGACCCGCCTGACAGCCTGAAGAGTTTAGGGGGGAATCACTTGTTTGCTCACATACCGTCCCTTTATCCCTTGTTCTCCAGCAGAGGCCTGCCCAACAACACGCTCACTGGGTCGATACCCTCTGCTCTGCCCTTTCCTCCCTTGCAGTTTAGGGTTTTAGCTTCTCACCTTTCCTCCTGTCGACCATCTCTCTCTCTCCCTTGCTTGCTCTCCCGCAGAGGCCTGGCCAACAACACGCTCACTGGGTCAATACCCTCTGCCCTCTCCTCCCTGGGCTCTCTGGCTATCATGTGAGTAGTCATGTAACGTGTTGGCTCATGTTGACTCGTGTTGACTCACGTTGACTCACGTTGACTCGTGCCGAGCTGGACTTGCATTCACAAACCAACACACTCACAGGGTCGATACCCTCTGCCCTCTCCTCCCTGGGCTCTCTCTCTGTCATGAGTAGTCATGTAACGTGTTGGCTCATGTTGACTCGTGTTGACTCACGTTGACTCACGTTGACTCGTGCCGAGCTGGACTTGCATTCACAAACCAACACACTCACAGGGTCGATACCCTCTGCCCTCTCCTCCCTGGGCTCTCTGGCTATCATGTGAGTAGTCATGTAACGTGTTGGCTCATGTTGACTCGTGTTGACTCACGTTGACTCACGTTGACTTGTGCCGAGCTGGACTTGCATTCACAAACCAACACACTCACAGGGTCGATACCCTCTGCCCTCTCCTCCCTGGGCTCTCTGGCTATCATGTGAGTAGTCATGTAACGTGTTGGCTCATGTTGACTCGTGTTGACTCACGTTGACTCACGTTGACTCGTGCCGAGCTGGACTTGCATTCACAAACCAACACACTCACAGGGTCGATACCCTCTGCCCTCTCCTCCCTGGGCTCTCTGGCCATCATGTAAGCATGCTTGCATTGCCTAGTGCGCACTTATGGATACCATGCACGTTCCTCCATCGCAACTCGGTCACGGCCTCTCTGCCTCTCCAGCTCTCTCTGACCTCACCTCTCTTCTCTCCCTCTTATCTCTGCACCTTCTTCTCCCTCTGTCCCTTCACTTCTCACCGCAGGTTCCTGCATCACAACTCGCTCACGGTCTCTCTACCTCTCCAGCTCTCTGTCCTCACCTCTCTTCTCTCCCGCTTATCTCTGCACCTTCTTCTCCCTCAGTCACTTCACTTCTCACCGCAGGTTCCTGCATCACAACTCGCTCACGGGTTCGCTGCCTCTCCAGCTCTCTGACCTCACCTCAGTCTTGTCCCTCTTATCTCTGCACCCTTCTCTCTCTCTCTGTCCCTTCACTTCTCACTACAGGTTCCTCCCTCCATCACAACTCGCTCTGGGATGAGTTGAGGCGCCTCAGAACCAATCTTCACCCCTTTGTGCCCATCTCTGATCCTTCATTCCTCTCTGCACAGGTTCCTACATCACAACTCGCTCACGGGTTCGCTTCCTCTCCAGCTCTCTGACCTCACTTCGCTCTTTTCCGTGTAACCGCCCTTCTGTGCCTCCCTCTCCCTGCTCTTCTCGTTACCTTTTTCCCTTTTCTTTCCCGAGCCGTCTCAATTGGTCCGCTGCCTCTCCAGCTCTCTGACCTCACTTCGCTCTTTCCCCTGTAACCGCCCTCTGTGCCTCCTCCTCCCTGCTGTCCTCGTTACCGTTTTCCCTTTTCTTCCCGAGCCGTCTCAATTGGCTGCCTGCCCCTCCAGCTCTCTGACCTCACTTCGCTCTTTTCCGTGTAACCGCCCTTCTGTGCCTCCCTCTCCCTGCTCTTCTCGTTACCTTTTTCCCTTTTCTTTCCCGAGCCGTCTCAATTGGTCCGCTGCCTCTCCAGCTCTCTGACCTCACCTCGCTCTTTTCCGTGTAACCGCCCTTCCTCTTTCTCTTTTTTGTTTGTTCTTTCTTTCCCTCTGCCTCTTCGGTTTTTGTAGCTCACCTCCCTCATCTCTTTGTCATCGACCTTCTCTTCCTCTCTTCCTGTCACTGCTCCCTTCCTTCTCCCTCTGACCGCCCTCCTCCCTCTGACCGCCCTTCTCCCTCTGACCGCCCTTCTCCCTCTGACCGCCCTCCTCCCTCTGACCGCCCTTCTCCCTCTGGCCACCCTCTCTCCCTTCCGTTCTCTCTCCCCCCGCTGCTCTCTCTCCCCTCGCAGGGACCTTTCATACAACAAGCTTAACGGCACTCTCCCTCCCATATTCACCAGCAGCATGCAGTTTCTAGGCTTCCTGTACGCGCCTTTCCTCCTTTTGAGCCAATTCAAAAGCTTTTAAGCTGACTGAACAGCGTTTAAGTCGACTCAAAAGCAGCATGCAGTTTCTAGGCTTCCTGTATGAACCTTCCCCTCCCAAAACGGCTCAAAGGCCTTTCTACTAGGCGCCTTGTACGGGCCTTCCTCCTTTCAGGCGGTTCTCTAGAATCGAAGAAAAACAAAAAAAAAAATCCTACAGCAGCAGCATGTTCTTTCTTCTAGGTGTTTGTACGAGCCTTCCGCTTGGGCAGGCAGCTTGTGAGATTCTTTAAAAATATGAAGAAAACCTCACACTGTAGCCTATTGTTGCAGAGAAAGAAAAAGCATTTGAACCTCAGCAAGCTCCGCACATTTTGAGGCGACTTTTGATGCGACTTTTGAGGCGACTTTTGAGGCGACTTTTGAGGCGACTTTTGAGGCGACTTTTGAGGCGACTTTTGAGGCGACTTTTGAGGCGACTTTTGAGGCGACTTTTGAGGCGACTTTTGAGGCGACTTTTGACTTTTGAGGCGACTTTTGACTTTTGAGGCGACTTTTGAGGCGACTTTTGAGGCGCCTCAAAAGCATTTGAACTTCAGCAAGCTCCGCACATTTTGTTTGTGTTGTTTAATTGCTTGCCTCTCACCTTGAACCGCGCACCTCACGTTTCCCTCCTCCTCTTCCCCTCCTCCACCCCCTCTTTTTCCCGACTCCCTCTTTTACCAGGCACCTATCACACAACTCCTTCTTAGGTCCGCTGCCTTCCAATCTGGCCACCTGCCAGTCGCTATATGAACTGTGAGTGTGTGAGCCAAGACAACTTCTGAGGCGCTTCAAAAATTCCCCCCCCCCCTTCATCAAGCATCCATCACACAACTCCTTCTTAGGTCCGCTGCCTTCCAATCTGGCCACCTGCCAGTCGCTATATGAACTGTGAGCTCCTGATTGTTGCGTCTTAAGAGCTCGTAACCAGATGCGGCAATCTCTTAGGCTCCCTAAAGAACCTGCCAATCACTTATCAAAAGCTTGTAGCCGAGTGGTGAAGCTCTTATGCTTTGTGCCTTCCTTTCTAGTCATTCTATTCTGCTTTCTTTCTGACCTGACAACCGCCTCTCCCTCACTTTTTGCCCACACACATGACCAGTGACGTCAGCAACAACTATATGAGTGGCATCGTGGCGCCTGTCATCAGCTCGCTGACGTCACTGCAGACACTGTGAGTGCCATGTGCTGTATGTGTGCTGTATCATGATGTGCTGCTGACAACACATTATCATCCTAAGTGCTGACACATCGTCATCGTATACTACTGTCACAGAAACCATATCTTCAATATATCCCTGTTACCTCATCCCACCCCACTTCACTTCACCACACTTCACCCCCTCCCACCGCAGAGATCTCTCCTCCAACTATTTCACTGGGCCAGTCCCTCCCATGACCTCAGCGCCTCATCCTACTCTACAGCATCCACACCAGCTATTTTTCCAATGCCTCCCTCTTATTCCCTCCCCCCCTTCCTCCCCCCATCTCCCCCACTCCACGAAACCCTACCCCACCCCCACCCACCCTGCCCCACCTTCCTTCACCCCTTTCCACCACAGTGATCTCTCCTCCAACTATTTCACGGGGCCAGTCCCTTCCATGAGCTCAGCGCCTCTCATTCTACACTACAGCATCCACACCAACCATTCATTCCATGAACCCCTCTTATTCCCCACCCCACCCCACTCCACCGCATTCAACCCCGCTTTACCCCACCCCACCCATTTTCACCGCAGTGATCTCTCCTCCAACTATTTCACCGGGCCAGTCCCAGCCATGAGCTCAGCCTCTCTCATCCAACAATACAGCATCCACACCAACTATTTTTACGGCTCGGGCAACGTTCTCGACCTCGCCGGAAATTCCATCTGCCCGAACGCCACCTCATCCATCCAAACCACCAACAACTGCCTCCAATACGCGTCCGACACCTGTACCAGCACCACCAGCACAGGTGGTAACCCTGTTACCGTAACTGAGGCACAGCGCACCGCAGCAGACTGCACAGCGTTTTGCTCGACGAGTTTTGGGCTGGTTACCACTCCGGGAAGTAACGCGCAGTGCACGTATGGGATCGGGGTGTGTGTGGTTAGCGCGGTTGCGGTTACCACGGGTGCGGTTACCATACAGTGTAACTGCACGTGGCGGGGGTCGACTCTTGCGGCTAACAAGACTGCCTGCCTACCTCCTCGTAAGTCTCTCTACACCTCTCTCCACCTCTCTCCACCACTCTCCGCCACTCTACGCCTCTACACATCTGTCTTTGAGCCATCACAAACGGGACCATACAGTGTAACTGCATGTGGTGGGGGTCGACTCTTGCAGCTAATAAGACTGCCTGCCTGCCTCCTCGTAAGCCTCTGACCCTCTCTGCACCTCTCCCCACCTCTCTCCACCCCTCCACCTCTCCACATCTTTCCACCTCACTCAACCACGTTGCATCTCTGCTCTCTTTCTGTTGCCTCCCTCCATCCTCCTTCCCACCCTCTTCCTCTCGTCCTCCCTCCATTCTCCTCTCTTTGTCCCTTTCCCCTTTAGATGCAGCTTCCCTTCCTTCCCTCATGTCCTTCCCCTCCTTCCTCTCCTCCCCTTCCTCCCTCTCCTCTCTCTCCTCCCCCTTTCCTTCTGTCTGCCCTACGAACAACTTTCATTCAATGGTTTTCAGCCTGATAATTAGTCTCATAATAACTGCCATAATAACTGCCATAATAGCCCTCAGTTGCACTCAAACTCCCGTTTCTACCCTCCCCTTCTGTGCCCCTCCCTTCCTCCCCTCCTCGTTTTCCCTGCAGCACCCCCCCCTTCCCCGCCCCATCCTCCCCCACTTCCCCCCAACCATCACCCCCGCCCTCGCCTCCCTTCCCCCCTCCGTCACCCCCACCCCCCTCTCCCCCTCCATTCCCCCCACCTTCCCCTCCGCCCCCTTCCCCTCCCCCATCCCCCCCTCCTTCCCCGCCTCCCAATCCTCCCCCCTCTCCTCCATCCCCCCCACCTAGACCCCCACCTCTTCCTCCTCCGTCCCCCCCAAACCCTCCCCCATCTCCCCCTTCTCCCCCGCCCAAGCCTCCCCCATCTCCCCCTTCTCCCCCACCCAAACCTCCCCCTTCTCCCCCGTCCCCTCCCCCCAACCCCCCCCCCCCCTCCTTCTCCCCCACCTAAACCTCCCCCTTCCCCTCCATCCCCCCCCCCAACCCTCCCCCGCCTCCCCCCCCTCCCCCCCCAAGCCTCCCCCATCTCCCCCTTCTCCCCCACCCAAACCTCCCCCTTCTCCCCCGTCCCCTCCCCCCAACCCTCCCCCATCCCCTCCTTCTCCCCCACCTAAACCTCCCCCTTCCCCCCCATCCCCTCCTCCTAACCCTCCCCCATCCCTCCTTCTCCCCCTCCCCCCCCCCAAGCCTCCCCCATCTCCCCCCACCCAGACCTCCCCCTTCTCCCCCATCCCCTCCCCCAACCCCCCCCATCCCCCCAACCTCCCCCCTCTCTCCCCACCCCCTCCCCCAAACCCCCCTCCCCCCCCCTCCCCCTTCTCCCCCCCCAAACCCCCCCTTCCCCACCCCCCCCCCCCTCCCCCTTCTCCTCCCCCCCACGCCCCCCTCCCCTCCCTCCTCCCTCCCCTCCCCCTTCCCCTCCCCCACGCCCCCCTCCCCGCCCTCCTCCCTCCCCTCCCCCTTCCCCTCCCCCACGCCCCCCTCCAAGCCCTCCTCCTTCTCCTCCTCCTTCCCCTCCACCCCGCCCTCCCCCCGCCCTTCCCCTCCCCCCCCTCCCCCTCCCCCCCCCACGTCCCCCTCCAAGCCCTCCTCCCTCCCCTCCCCCTTCCCCTCCCCCACGTCCCCCTCCCCGCCCTCCTCCTTCCCCTCCACCTTCCCCTCCACCCAGCCCTCCTCGCCCCCCATCCCCACCTCGACCTCCCCATCCTCCTTCTCCCCCCCCTTCTCCCCCACCAAACCCTCCTCCTCACCCCCTCCTCCTCCCCCCTCACCTCCCCCCCCCCCCCCCCACCCCCGTCACCGCCCCCATCCCCCCCGCCACCTTCCCCTCCTCCATCCCCCCCTCCTTCCCCCCCTCCCCCTCCCCTCCCCCTTCTCCCCCATCTCCTCCACCAAAGCCACCCTCGCCACCACCTTCCCCTCCCCCCCCTTCTCCCCCACCGCCTTCCCCTCCTCCCTCTCCCCCTCCTTCGCCTCCCCCTCGCCCACCCCCGTCCCCCCCTCCATCCCCTCCTTCCCCTCCCCCATCCCCGCCACCTCGTCCCCCGCCTTCCCCGCCCCCATTCCCTCCCCCATCTCCCCCTCCTCGCCCTCCCCCTTCGCCTCCCCCTTTCCCCCCTCCGTCGCCCCCCCCGCGGCCACCACCCTCCCCACCACCGCCTCCCATGTTGCCATTATTGGAGTGCTACAAGACAAGTCTCAACGATCATTGCAATTGTTTTTGTCCGTTCTTCAACCGATGCTATTGCATACCATAACCGCTCCTTTGTGTAAACATATAATATATCTCATATGTTTTGCGAAGTTTTACTGTGAATAAAACTCTGGCAGCATAAGTTTTGCAAATTGATTATACAATCCGGATCATTTGTTTGGCCTATATTGAATATACTAATATTCACGTTAAGTATTCAAGTAACATGGTGCTCAAAGCAGACTGAGCTGCAAACGAGGTGAACCGAAGAATACACTAACGAAGTTGCACGCCAGTGCCCAAACCCCGAAATCTCGTACCCTCAGTTTCTTACCTTTTGAACAAGTATAAACCTAGGTGCGCTACGGTGGGAGTGTCAGACACAGTACTTCAATCGAGGATGCTTCGCAGAGTGTTTACATTATTTGCTCCTTCAAAGTTAGATGTGGCGTAAGTAGTCATACCGGTATTAGGTGTACGTTTTGATGGCAATGTCCATACTCGCACGAGGCGCCTCGGCGGCGGCCGTGTCTCACGCCGCCCTTAGTGCTAACCGCGGCGCCGCGACCTCATCCGCCGCAAGATTCCCCCAACGGCCTTCTTTTCCGCCGTCTGCGCTTCCGCGAGCTCCCCTTCCGTCGTCTGCGCTTCCGCCATGCCCACGTCCGCCGCTTTCCGGCCGGCGCGCGCGACGCGGTCGATTAATCCTCACCGCCGCGGCGGCGGCGGCGGATGGACGAGAGGGAAGCACGTCGCCGCACGACGCGGCGCGAGACGGGGCGAAAGATGCGGCCGATTCGCCCCGTTGTGGGCGGCAGAGAAGGCGAACGAGGCTCGGTGGCGGTCTGGATGTAGGATCGCCTCAAAGTTCGAATCTAGGTTCACCAGAAAGTGCGAACTCAGGTTCGGCTCAAAGTTCGGATCTAGGATCGCCTCAAAGTTCGGATGGCAGCAGCGGTGGTAACCCTACTAGCAGAGGGGAATGGCAGGGAGGGATGGAGGCGAATGGCGGAGGGATTTTGGGCGGAGGGGAAAGCGCGGGAATGGGCGGAGAGAGAAGCGCGGGGATGCGCGGAGAGGGAAGCGCGGGGATGGGCGGCGGCGGCGGCAGCGGCGGCGGCGGCGGCGGCGGCGGAGGCGGATCGGGGGAGGGGGCGCGGAAGGGATGAGCGCAGCGCGGCAGCGGCGGCTGGAGAAGTCGCGGGAGGCGCGCGTTCAGCGGAAGGAATCCGCGGAGGAGGAGTTTCAGCAATGGGCGCGGTGAGGGGGGAGCGATGGGGGAAGAGGAAGAGGAAGAGAGAGGGGGAGGTGGGGGGGAATGAATGTTGGGGGGAAGACTGGAGTGCAGCGGAGGGAATCCGCGGAGGAGTTTCAGCAGTGGGCGAGATGAGGGGGGAGGGGGGAAGGAGAAGGAAGTGGGGATGAAAGGAGGGGGAGCAGATAGCAATGGGCCATATGGGAGGTGGATGGAGAGGGGGTGGAAGGGCGACGGTGAAGGGGGAAATGGGGAGGAGTGAGGGCCGAGGGAAAGTAGGGTTCCGGGTTGAGGGTTTATGAGCGGGACAGGCTGTAGCAAGTGTTCATAAGGGTGCAGCAGAAAAAGAGAGTGTGAGAGTACACACACACTCCACGCCACACTCCCTCCACTCCACTCCACTCCACACCACACCACACTCCACAGCACTCCACTCCACTCCACTCCACTCCACTCCACTCCACCACACTCCACTCCACTCCACTCCACTCCCGCTTTGTGCTTTGACAGCCAGGTAGCAGCGCAAGATCTCGAGCTGATGGAGCTGTTCGGAGATACCATGCTGGACCCTCTACCCTTAAACCCCACCTACCCGCACCACACTCCACCCCTCCTTTTTTCTCTGGCAGCCAAGTAGCAGCGCAAGATCCCGAGCTGATGGAGATGTTTGGTGATTCCATGCTGGACCCGCAGCAGATGCAGGAGAAGGTGAGAAGGTGCAGTGTGGTGGAGTGCGGTGGAGATGGGTTGCAACGGGGTGGGATGGGGTGGGGTGGGGTGGAATGGGGTGTGAATTGCAGCTGACTCTTACAAGGATGTTGTGAGATCACATGCTGGACCCAAAGCAGATGCAGGATATAAGGTGAGGTGCGGTGCGGTGGGGTGGGGTGGAGTGCGGTGGGGCGGGACTGGGACATGGTGTGGTGGGGTGGGGTGGGGTGGATTGGGTGTGCAGCCGAATCTTACAAGAATGTTGAGAGGTGCCATGCTGGTCCCGCAGCAGATGCAGGAAAAGGTGAGGTGCGGTGGGGTGGGGTTGAGTGCGGTGAGGGGGGTGGGGCAGTGAGGGTGAGCACTGCTGTTCAGCCCTGAACCCTTTACTGCGTAAACCCGCAACCCTGACATCATTTTACTTCCTTTCAACCTCGAAATCCGACCCTTTGATTCTTAAACCCTCAATCCTGAGCTTAGATCGTGTAATCCCTGACCCACAACTGTAAACTCAAAAAACCCAAACCCTCTCCCCTCACCCCCTCTCACACTCTACTGCGAGTTGGGAGGAGTGCATTTTCTCAAGCCAGGCGGAGCTGAGAACTAAGCCAGCAGTATGGCACATAAACCCCAAACCCCACACCCTTTCCTCTCCCTCTCTCCTCCTACCACCAGATGGAGGAGCGCATTCACTCAAAGCAGGCAGAGCTGCCGTGTTAGCCTGCGCCCCACCTCTAGAACCCTTCTCAACCCTGTACCACCCCTCTCTCTCTCCCTGTGGTTAGATGGAGGAGCGCATTCGCTCGAAGCAGGCAGAGCTGCTGGCGGAGAAGCGAGGCAGTGGGGCGACCATGCAGGTGGCCATTAAAGAGTATGTACAGTAACGGGTTAGGATACGGTGTTTTGAGTCGACTCGAAACAGGTGGCCATTAAAGAGTGTGTACCGTAATGGGCTAGGGTACAGCGCGCAGCAGTGGCTATTTTATTCAAGCTGTTTTGCAAATTAATATGCTCGACCTGTTACAAAAAGTATCATGCTTTGCACCCATTCTTCTCCATGCTATCCCACCCAAGGCGAAATGAAGAAAGTAGTTAGTTATATTAAGGGCAGTTATTTACGGTCTTATGTCACATAGTTTTGCACGCCTATCATAATTTTTCACAACAGTCATTTTCATGTCAGAGCACTCGGCTCATCCCAAAACCAGGTGAAAAAAAAAAACAAACAAACAAACAAACAAACAAAACTATGTATCCCGATTCTATCCCTGTCCTCGTTATAGGATTGACCCATTTGACATGTACATCTGGTTTGAACTGCTCTTGCTTATTCCCTTTTGCTATACGCACTTGTTCTCCCCACCCCCTTCCCCTCCCCCCCTCCTTATCCCTATCCTCTTTATAGGATCGACCCCTTTGACATGTACATCTGGTTAGAGCTGCACAAGACACCATCAGAAGACGATATGAATACGCTTGGCAGCGTGAGTGGACAGGTTTCAGAAAGGGGCATTGTATTGAAAGGGGCCTTGTTTTCCCCCTCCCTATCCCCATCCCTCTCTGTCATCCTTGGTTCAACAGCCCCTCTTGTGTCCTGTAATTCCTCTTTTTGAGGTGCTTCAAAATGACTTTCTGTCTATTCCCTTTGGGTTCTGTTCCTTGTATTAATAACAAAGTTTTGAGACGTCTCAAAAGTCTTTTTGAGGTGCTTCGAAACGACTTTCTGTCTCCTTTCTAGGGGTTCTGTTCCTCGTACTAGTAACAAATCCTCCCCACCTCCCTTCGGAGACGTCTCAGGAATCATCCCCCCCACCCACCCTTTCTCTGCACATCGCCATCCCCATCTGATGGCGGCAGGTCATACGAGCGTGGTACGTTGTGGGCAAGCTGGGAGGATACAACTCGGCCAACCTGCAGGTGTGAGGATAGGGCCCCTTGTGTTGTATCCGCACCAAGGCAGGCTGTGTGAGGAAACGGTGTGTGTAGGCAGCAAGCTTGGCAGTTAATCATTCGAGCATGGTATGTGGTGGGCAAGCTAGGGGGCTACAGCTCCGCCAACCTGCAGGTATAAAGATAAAGAATTATAATTTTAGGCGCCTCACAAGTATGAAGCCAGGGATCTAAGAATGAGAATGTTTGCAACTATGATGTGGGCACGGCAGCATCTGCTCTTCATGCTGCGGTTATGCTAATGTTCTTCCTTCACCATCACTTTGCCGTGCCATCCCTCCCTCCTATTTCCACCCCAACCAATGGAGGGAGACAAGTCATCCAAGTACGATGTGGGCACAGCAACATCTGCGCTCCCTGCTGCTTTTATGCGTGCCAATTTTCTCCCTCACCCTCCTTTCAAGATTAATCTACCCTGCCATCCCCCATCCTCATCCCGCCCGGGCTAATGGAGGGAGATGAGTCGTCTAGTACAATTATGATGTGGGCGCAGCAGCATCTGCGTTCCATGCTGCTCTTGTGTAGTACCCACATGCCTCTCTCCTGCCATTCCCCCTCTTTCATCCCACCCCAGCTGATGGGAGGGGACGAGTCCTCAAAGTACAAGGACGGTAGCAGCTGCTCTCCATGCTTCTCTTGTCTAGCCACGTCCCTCTTTTCACCCTGCCATCCCCGCTCATTCCCAGCTAGTGGAGGGAGACGAGTCGTCCAAATACAAGTACGATGTGGGCACGGCAGCGTCTGCTCTCCCTGCTGCTGCTCTCTCTCATTCTAGACGAGTTTTTCTTTCCCCTCGTCCCTCGTTCCCAGCTAATGGAGGGAGATGATTCATCCAAGTACAAGTACGATGTGGGCACGGCAGCGTCTGCCCTCCCCGCCATGATGCACAACATTGGAGATCTCGAGTTTCAAGACAACCTGGGGAGGATATGGTGAGAGAGAGTGCAGAGATGGTTACCAGGTGTGGTTACCAGATGTAGTGGTTACATCTGGGAGCCTAGTGTGTGAATATGGCACTACCTCCCCGCCATGATGCACAACATTGGCGACGTGGAGTTTCAAGACAACCTGGGACGGATATGGTGAGACTCACATTGTGGTTACCACATGGTTACCACCTAGGTGGTGACCAGAGGTTACCACATGATGGCAGTCAACATTCTCCTGAGTAACCCCTCTCCTTCCCTCCTCACTCGCACTCACCCTTTCTCTCTCACACACCCTTTATCAACCCAGGCTAGACATGGGGACAGCAGACATGATGGTGTTAGAAATAGGCTATGAACACAATGTGTACTATATTCTATATCTTGTAGGTTATTTGTAGGTTGGGTGTAGATTGTGATCCCAACCCTATCTGGTTGGGATTCCCTCGTAATCCTGCAAATCTGCCAACTCACCAATTGGAGATTTGCTAGGATTCCCATCCCATCCTTTCCCTAGCTTTGCTCAACCCAACCTTGTTTGTACTTAAGGCCTAGTGCCTTTTCTGCTGATCAATCAGTTGAGCTCCATTTCTATCAGATGGCAGTCCGAATACTCTCCCCTCTCCTTCCTCACGCCACACTCTCAAACATTCTCCCTATGTCTCTCACACACCCTTTCTCTCTCCCCAGGCTAGACATGGGCAGCAGTCGTGATGGCAGTTGACGGTCTCCTTCATTCTCCTCTCTCTGCCTCTCCCCCTCACACTCTCCCCTTCTCCCCAGGCTACACATGGGCACAGCAGACATGATGGCAGTTGACGTTTCTCGATCATTCATCTCCCCTTTCCTTTCACTCTCTCCCTCCATTTCTCACTCTCTCTCTCCCCAGGCTAGACATGGGCACAGCAGACATGATGGCAGTCGATGTTCTCCTCAACTCCCTCAACGCTGTGAGCTCAGAGTAAGTTGCCTGGAGGAGTGGCGTGGACTCATCTTTTGTCTGCAAGTCGCTTCATAGCATCTCATTTTCTTCTCGACACCTGGTACGCTCTTTGTGCCTCATTTTTTTTCTCAACACCTGGTACGCTCTTTGTGTCGTCGACTAAAAAATTACCTCACAGCAAGCCATTTTCTTCTACACACCAGGTACGCCCTGAAAGACCACAAGCACAAGCACAAGCACGGGCACAAGCACAAGCACAAGCACGGGCACAAGCACGGGCACAAGCACGGGCACAAGCACAAGCACAAGCACGGGCACAAGCACAAGCAGAAGCACGGGCACATGTGCTAGCAGCACGAGTGTAGTCGAAGCGCTCATGTTCTCATCGCACTTGCGCTGGTATTCTCATTCCTCAGTCCCACGTAGCACTTGTATCATCCTGCACGTGTGGTTTTCTTCTAATTTGTCATCAACGAAAGCCAAGTGTTGTAACCACGGTGTTGACGTGTGTGCCTCTACCCTTCTGGTTACTGTTCTTGCAGCCACGTGGGTATAAAGAAGGTGACAGTAGGCGGTTCAAAGATGGACGATTGGGAGGAAGGCATGACACGAGCTGAGGATGGATACCAATGCTATAGCATATGAATAAACATTTTTCCCATCAGTTTGTTTACATTTTACTAATAGTTTGCTGTCATCTCCTTTTTATAGTCACCTCACTTGAGCTTGTTAGGTTTGTTTCAATGGCAACAGTTGAGAAACCCCCCTGGTGCATTATGCCACCGAAAAAGTACCTAGCTACATTTCACACAATTTCAACCTATGAATTATAATCTGGCAAAAACTTAGCAAATACGGTATTGGTACGTGATCCCAACCAAGTGAAATGGTGCGATGTGTGTTTCCATCCATCTTGAATCTTGATTTGCTTTGCATTATAATGGTTCACATTATGTCAGAGTCTGTACATAGGACACTTCATTGAGTTTCCTCCTAAGGGCGGGATCAGCGCATTCGTTTTACACAATTGTACAGTTCATCCTGAGCAGTTACTCTACTCTCGTTCCGTCATGGTTAAATACCGTAATACCCCGGATATAAGCGCACATGCGCTTATAATAAAACATGGTTTTTTGGGGGGGTGCGCTTCTAATTGTGTCAGATTTATAAGCGCATGCGATTGTATAAGGGAAAAAATAAAATTCACTTTTTAGCATACCAAAATGAAGCTCACAATAAGGCGAATTCAACCGACCATGCACCGAGTGGGATCGTGCATGGTTTTCAGGCAGAAACAGCTGCGGTTCGGTTTCCCAGCGCACAAACTTGTCTGGAACCATCGAACGTGACAGCCGTGACGAGGATGTTGCCGTGCGGCCCAATCACAGCCGCATGCGCTACGTGGCATGTGTAATCGGACAGAACCATCTCGAAGGGTGGGGAAGATTCCCTGCCAGCGCTGTGTATATGCTGCCACGCAGGTTCCTCTACGGGAGTAGGCAGGGGTTTCCTGCCTATCATCGACGAGGACCCCGAGCCACCAACCAGCAGGGGTCCCCGTCGTTGCCCATTTGTGCACCCTCGTCTTCATTTTTTCCATTCGGTTTCCAGTCTAGCCCGCCTGGCAGGCGAAGCCATGGCGGATTTTAGTGGGACTCACTTCCTCTTCAAGAAAAAATCACGCCGCACATGGTGACTTACCGAGGACGGGTGGTATACCCGTGAGCCACCATCGCCTCCAGTGCCACCGGATCCCCCTGCACCCCCTGCTCCTCCTGCGCCTCCTGCGCCTCCTTCTCCACCTACTCCTCCTGCTCCTCCCGCACCTCCCGCTCCTCCGAATCCGCCTGATTCTGTTACGGTAGGTGCTCACCAACGGCCCGTGCTGCAGCTGTATTTATCAGCGACGTTCGACGAGTGGTTGGCTGAAGCGGACACCCCCAAGGCCCCCGCTGAGTGCATCCGAGCTCCGGCGCCTGCACCACGGTGGGGAAAACCAGAAGCCTGCGCGTGGGACGAGTCGGCTGTGGGCGCCGACGATGATGTGGCCGCCAACAAGCATGACAGCGGCGCCGGCGAAGCTGGAGGTGACGGTGCAGTGGGCGACAAGGAGGACGTGTTCCCCGACCGTGACACAACTGCCGAGGACGATGACGGTGTGGAGTCCTGGTGGTGCGACGCACCACGTGCGAAGATGCCGATACCGACGTATTCGCCCGTTAACAAAAAAACGCCCCCACCCGTCTTCCGAGAACCGTGATGCCCGCCCCCCTTCCCCCAGGCACAAGCCGACGCAACATAAGCGACCTACACCGCCCAGGAGAAATTGAGGTGGCTCGTACGGCTCGAGCTTGCGGCATCGGTTAGCGAAGTGGCGCGGGAGTCGCATACACCGAAAATGCCTGACGGAGTGGAAGAACCAAGCGGATGCCCTCAAAGCTGCACATGACGCACGGATGAGACTTCATGGCTGCGTGAGGTCGTCTTGGTACCTACCTATGGAGTTGAAGGTGTACGCGCAACTCCTCGACTGGCGACGCCGCGGAGTTGCGGTTTCGGTCGGTTGGCTGCAAGAGTGGTCGAAAGAAGTGATGAAGGTGCTGTTCCCTGACGTCAAGTGGAAGGGCAGTCAGCGGTGGACGGAGCGCTTCCGCAAGCGGTGGAACCTCAGCGTGCGCATGAAAACAAAGGTGGCTCAGAAAACACAGGAGCGTATGTGGTTCGCTTGCCGTTGAATTCGATTTAAATCCCTTTATTATTTTGTTCTTTCTTGCATGTCTCCTGTGCGCCTTACTAATCCGGCTTACTCTGTGTCCTTCCCTCCCTGTGCGCAGACGTGGAGGAACAGTGCAAGGGGTTCTGACAGTACGTTCGCGATGCCCGGCATGAATACGACATTGACAACCGCTACATTATCAACGCCGACCAGACACCGCTGTGGTTGAAGATGCCGACGACGACCAAAGTGGAGCAGACGGGCGTGAAGTCGGTGCCCATCCACAGCGGTGGGTATCAGAAGGAGAGAGTCACCGTGATGCTTGCGTGCACGGCGACGGGCGAGAAGCTGAAGCCGTGGGTGTTTTTCAAGCGCAAGACCC